GTTCGTCTTCGGTGGGGGCATAAGTAACCACGACCACCACTCCTCGCATCCGATTGATGGGAAGGCGAGCCCAAAGTAGCCTGGGGCTTAGAGCTTCCCACACCTCACCGCCACACTCCCACGCCTCCTTCATTCTTTTGTTCATAAGAAGAGCCACACCCTGTTGTTTGACAATCTGCTGCCCCGAGTAGAGGACTGTCCACCCCTCATGATGGCAGGAGCCAGAACCGGTCCACCGGACCTCCTGAATGCCACAGAGATCCAGGCGGTACCGGTCCAGCTCCTGACAGAGGAGTGGCAGCCTCTCCTCCGCAGTGAGCGTTCGAACATTCCACGTGGCCACACGTAGTGGCTTTTCGTTGTTTCAGGAGGAGCCCCGAGGGTAGAGATTCAATCTCTTGATCCGCCAATTGGGGTTTGGCCAGGAGACGTCATAGACGCCTGTCCCCCCGGGGCCTCCGGCACAAGCTTATTAGTTAGATATTTTATACGTGGTTTAGTGGTAAATTTTTGAAGGTGGTCAGACGCCATGAGGGGAGGAGCCAATCGGAATTGGAACCTCCCCCCACAGCACTGTCCACGACAGAGTTGGATGTGTGTGTGTGTACACACAACAACCGTCATTCGCCACTAAGTGGCGGTGACGTCACCACGACGCTTGTGCCAGGCTATGTGCACCCTGAGGCCACGTGAAGTGTCGAACGCCCGTTGGCAGGTCACGGGGCAGACCCAGGTGCCACGGGTCGACTGACTGAGATGACTGGCTGATGCACCACCTGTGCCCCCTACTGTGCCAACCTGCTGTGCTTTAGCCACCCGGCGCTCCGCTCGTTGTTGTGAGCGTCGCTCCTCCGCCCTCCGTTGTTGTTGGAGGGCGACTACCTCCAACTGCCCAGTAGCATCCTTCACGCGCCTCCTCCACAGAGGCCGATCTTGACACCGCTGGTACCAGTCATCGGCAAGTCCACTCAGCTCCACGTCCTCCTGTACCACGTCACTCCATCTCTTCTCTAGCCCGTGCTGCGCCCGTTTAGCCATCTCGATCCTGCCGAACAAAAGCTGTTTCGGCATGCGTTGGCTGGGCATGCGGGCTACATAACCCAGCCATCGCAGCCTTGCCTGCCGGAGGAGCTCACACACACACATCCACATACACACACATCCACACACACACCCACACATCCTATTTAAACAAAATCAACATCAGCGTCAAAAGCCTCTCCCCCCCCCCTGCCCGCCACAAGGCGAGAAGGAACAGTCCGCCCGTGACGTCACTCCTCCAGCCGTGACGTCACTCCTCCAGCCGCACCGCGGCCTGCGATCCGTGCTTGCAGTGCGACGCTGCCGACATTGCCAAGGTGAGTGTGGTGTGTGTGTGGTGTGTGGGGTGTGTGTGTGTGTGGTGTGTGTGTGGTGTGTGTGTGGTGTGTGGGGTGTGTGTGTGTGTGGTGTGTGTGTGGTGAGTGTGTGGTGTGTGTGTGTGGTGTGTGTGTGGTGTGTGTGTGGTGTGTGTGTGTGGTGTGTGTGTGTGGTGTGTGTGTGGTGTGTGTGTGGTGAGTGTGTGGTGTGTGTGTGGTCAGTGTGTGGTGAGTGTGTGGTGTGGTGTGTGTGTGTGGTGTGTGTGTGCATTGTGTGGTGTGTGTGTGTGCATTGTGTGTGTGTGGTGTGTGTGTGGTGGGTGTGGGGTGTGTGGTGGGGTGTGTGTGTGTGGTGTATGTGGTGTGTGGTGTGTGTGTGGTGTATGTGGTGTGTGTGTGTGGTGTGTGTGTGGTGTGTGTGGTGTGTGTGTGGTATGTGTGGTGTGTGTGTGTGGTGTGTGTGTGTGGTGTGTGTGGTGTGTGTGTGTGGTGTGTGTGTGTGGTGTGTGTGTGTGGTGTGTGTGTGTGGTGTGTGTGTGTGGTGCGTGTGTGGTGTGTGTGTGGTATGTGTGGTGTGTGTGTGGTGTGTGTGTGTGTGGTGTGTGTGATTGTGGTGTGGTGTGTGGTGTGTGTGTGGTGTGTGTGTGGGGTGTGTGATTGTGGTGTGTGTGGTGTGTGTGTGTGGTGTGTGTGTGGTGTGTGTGTGGTGTGTGTGTGGTGTGTGTGGTGTGGTGTGTGTGGTGTGGTGTGTGTGGTGTGTGTGTGGTGTGTGTGTGGTGTGTGTGTGTGTGGTGTGTGTGTGTGGTGTGTGTGTGGTGTGTGTGTGTGGTGTGTGTGGTGTGTGTGTGGTATGTGTGGTGTGTGTGTGGTGTGTGTGTGTGTGGTGTGTGTGATTGTGGTGTGTGTGTGTGTGGTGTGTGGTGTGTGTGTGGTGTGTGTGTGGGGTGTGTGATTGTGGTGTGTGTGGTGTGTGTGTGTGGTGTGTGTGTGGTGTGTGTGTGTGGTGTGTGTGTGGTGTGTGTGGTGTGGTGTGTGTGGTGTGGTGTGTGTGTGTGTGGTGTGTGTGTGGTGTGTGTGTGTGTGTGGTGTGTGTGTGTGTGGTGTGTGTGTGTGGTGTGTGTGTGGTGTGTGTGTGTGGTGTGTGTGGTGTGTGTGTGGTGTGTGTGTGGTGTGTGTGTGGTGTGTGTGTGGTTTGTGGTGTGTGTGTGTGGTGTGTGTGTGGTGTGTGTGTGGTATGTGTGTGGTGAGTGTGGTGTGTGTGTGGTGTGTGTGTGTGTGGTGTGTGTGTGTGGTGAGTGCGTGGTGTGTGTGCGTGGTGTGTGTGCGTGGTGTGTGTGTGCGTGTGGTGTGTGTGTGTGGTGTGTGTGTGTACGGTACACCTAGCACACGTGTGAAACAGACTAGCAGTGGATAGTCTTTTGAAGGGCATTTAAACTCCCCGATCATGCGGTGCGTTTCAATTGCATCGATGTGGTCAAGTGCTATACGCGTAGCTCAGTGTGACACAATAACATCTTGACTTAAAGCTTTCGTGACTGCAGGAATTCATATTCTTGGGTCTTTCGGTAAAACACGTAGATCGGGGCCGTTCATAAATGACGTCACGCACCTGGGGGGGGGGGGGGGGGTCAGACATTTGTGACGGTGTGTGACGAAGGGGGTGGGGGGGTGAGAAGTGTGACGTCACATCAAAATGCGCAACTTTAAATAAATATAGGCAACACGTTCTACTTAATTAAATAGACTTTTTAATAAATGTTGTCTCCTACAACATCAGATTGCAGCGTCACATGAAATACGCACTACAATGACAATAGTTTAAAGCGATTTGAAGCATGATTTTTTTGGGTCGGGGGCAGAGCTTTGTGACGTCATTTGAGGGGGAGGTCAAAAATCACCTAAAATAGCGTGACGTCATTTATGGACGGCCCCATAGGTTCAAAGAAAATTTCGGTCAAGTCACGTAGATAGGTTTCAAAGAAAAAAAATATTTGAACCTATCTACGTGACTTTACCGAAAAACCTAAGAATATGTGACACAATTGTTTTCGGAATCAGAATACTGTATGCATTTGTACTGGAGAAATCCGACGAGCTATAAAGATCTTTTTTTCACAGATGTCCAGTAGGGGCACGGAGTCAGAACGTTAGAACAAACAATAAAAAAACACGATAGCACTGCAAAGTATGGGATGGGTAAGAAAATCACTACTATGTCAAGCCTACTGAGCTCTATTAACTTATTTTTCAGAAGCGACCTGGCCACAAATGGTAGCTCAACAAAGTGGCCTGTCGTGTGGACATGTACAGCGGCCAAATAATATTCGAAACGCGTGGCGATGTTGATTCTAAACGTGGAGGGAAAAACCGGAGGACCCGGAGAAAAATCCACGCGACCACAGGGAGAGAGAGAGCGAGAGAGAGAGACACGCAAACCACAAATATACAGCAGGCGTCAGTTTTAAGTTTCATGTATTAGCTATAACCCTGTGAGCCATGCGGCTCTTGACTCGGGTGCAACCGCAACAAAACAAAAACACGAACAAATAAACGTCTTAAAGCGACTACGCGCAACAGGAAAATCCAGGAATAAACAGCGTCAGGGGTCAGGATCGAACCCACGACCTCCAGCGTTCCTGACGAGGTTAGTTTACATAATTTGAGGGGCAATTGAGCTGGAATATATATTCCTACAGTATATATCTTCCAATAATATAGAAGATATTCTTGGTTCTTTCGGTAAAGTCACGTAGAAGGGAAACAATTAAATAATAAAAATATATAAAACAATAAAATTCTCACGACGTTTCGACCGCAACACAAGCAATCATCATCAGGTGTGAAAACCACAGCAAGAAAATTTGAACAAAGTGGCGGTTATTTTTAACGTTAGCACCACGGAGAGCGATCTGACAGTTTGTTCAGATGGACGAGTCCATCTATGTTCGGAAAAGAGGAAGGGGGAGACGAAAAATAATGGATGCGGTCTGAAAGCCACTTTTTCAAATTTTCTTGTTGTGGTTTTCACACCTGATGATGAGTGCTTGTGTTGCAGTCGAAACGTCGTGAGAATTTTATTGTTTATATTTTTATTATTTTATCATTTCCCTTCTACGTGACTTTACCGAAAGAACCAAAAATATTAATCCCCTGCAGTCACGAAAGCTTTAAATCAAAATATAGAACAGTCCACATTGAATTGGTGAAACATTTCAGAGTCTGTGTGTGTGCTTGGTGAAATCGGAAAGAGGAACACGGTGGAGTCTTGAGGACACAGCGCAGAGATTTGAGTGACCGTCATTGAAGCCTTTCAGAAAAGTGGGCTCATTGCAAAGGGCACGCCCGCTAGGCAGGAAGACGTCCGATGGTCGAGAGTAGCTCTGGAGTTGCCGCCAAAGGAACGGAGCACGGAGCGCGTCCGCGAAGGGAGATGGGAGCGATTGCGGAGAGTTCTCGCGTGCACGCATCGCGATGCTGTACGGACAGTAATAATTATTGGCATCTCAGCTGTGATCACCAGGTTGGGGAGGGCGGTATCTTCATCCAGCAGTGGATTGGCCACGGCCGAGGCTGGTGGTGACAGTGGTTGGTAGTAGGGGGTTGGGCGAGGGTGTGCGTCCAGGGATACATTCGTCGAGTCAAATGTCATCGTTGCAGACGCAGGCTGACTTTATATTTAGAAGCCAGTGCTGTATGTGTGTACGCTATATATGCACAGAAAGTCGGTGCACAGTCCTCAGTTGCCACTGTGGGTGCAGGAGTTTGCAAGACAAGACTCATTGAACTCAGGCAAGCAATGTCATTATCGTTGTTGTTATCGTCGTCGTCATCAAGATCCGTTGTTGTACCTGTATTTCACGATTTCGGATGTACATTTCACTGGACATCTGTGAAAGAGAAAAAAAGCATTACAGCTCATCGGATTCCTCCAGGAGAAATACATATTCCGATTCCGGGCAGTTGTGATCCAGAGGTGGTTTAGTGTCAGCCAATTGGGACTGTAATTCAGGACTTCGTGTTTTACACTGAGAGGTTGGTTACTGGCAAGTATTGTTTGAGAGCCACGATTCGCATCACAGCCATATGTTCGTTGCGTGTTCGCGTGTTGCATGTTCTTCGGGGTTGTCACTGCGGTGTGCAAAATGCATGTCAGGAACGCAACGTGCGCAGAATGCTAGTAACAAGGGTAATTATGTACATGAAGCGTGATCCGTGTATAGATATCCTACCGATAGCTCGTGACCTTTTTAACCTTCCTTTCCGTACATGGTTGAGTATTGTGAACGTGATGGCTCTGCATCTTGGACGAGGATCGTTAAACTATTTCGATTGGGATTGGTGAGAGGCTTTGACATTAAACCGTCACTTCCAATGCAGTAACCTCCCACTTACTCTCTACTGCATTTTAGCGGGGTATCTACAAATGGATATCCTGCATAATGCATACCACTGCACATACTGTGGCAATGTACTCAATATATCAATGTGTTGTCAGTAAATTGGGGTCATGTCAGCCCTTCATCACACTGGGGTGCATGATTCGAGTACCACTTTGTGAGAAATCGACAGCAGTGGCTTTCCTCTGGACCGACTCATCCTTGCCATATGAACGTGGAGTTGCAATCGCTGGCTTTTGGACTGTGGACAGGCAATAAGGGACTTTGCATGCGAGTTTTAAGTGTGATGCCACATTGAGTATGTACAGTACAGTACGTTTAATGCAGCTCACGTATTGCGGTAAATCTGGTCGTAAAACAGCTGATGATCCTAATGCACGGGACTTATCATCAAAAATACATTTTTTTTAAAACGTCTGCGTCTTGATATCCGCACGGACATATACACATATAGGGTAGATGTACATTTCTACAATGTCCTAAATACACGTTAAAGAGTCATGCAAACGTTACAGTAAACAAAAGCCTGATTTAGAATGTGCATTTCATGACTGGACTAATAGGCATACTGCATAGTGCAGTCAGAAATTGTGTCGTTACAGTACAACCTTGGATCGCGAGTAACTTGGTCTTCGAGTGTTTTGCAAGACGAGCAAAACATTTAAATAAACAATAATTTGATAAAAGAGCTAGGGTCTTGCAATACGAGTAGTAGTACGTATATACGCTTTGTCTGCCGAGCGTCACGTGATCACAACTGATATACGAGTGCTTTGATATACGAGTGCTTTGGATTACAAGCACGTTTTTTCCGGAACGATTTATGCTCGCAATCCAAGGTTTTACTGTACTTGCATAATTGATATACTACATGTGTAAGACTGATACCCACATTATATACAAGCACAGGAGTCGATGAGCACGGTTGGCTACGTACGGTGCTAAATAAATTCAACATACATACATTGGTGATAATGGGAGGAACACTCTACGCTTATGTATGTCAGCAATATGTTCAACCTAGGGGAATGCCCAGAACCCGTTTGGATCATCGTCACTGGTGTTGGTAGCCGTGGGCGGGAATCGAATTTGTGTCGATGGGGTTTGGAACGCAGTGTGCTATCCACTGTGTTACCGCTTGGACATATAAAGACAAAGATTCCCCATATAGCTTCAACAGATTGTTGGGGCAAGTGCTGTCAGCGAGTACCTATGAAGGCCGGAACGGTACACGAGGGGGTGGGTGGACAGCACCATTCCCGACCGCCTTTGTCTCCCCAGTAGTGATGACACCGCACCAGGTGCTCATTTGAGGCTGAGTCGGCCTAGGGGAATGCCTACGACTGGTTCAGATCATCGTCACTGCTGTTGGTAGCCGTGAGCGGGAATCAAACTCATGTCACCGGGTTTGACGTACACACACACACACGGACACGCGCGGAATCGACCGGTCAACGTCTTTACGCCCTCTCCGCAGGTCGCCGGTCAACCATGGCAGCTCACAAGGTGGTGCGGGTACCGACCAAGCCGTACGATGACCAGAAGCCCGGTACCAGCGGCCTGCGCAAGCGCGTCTCCGTCTTCCAGAGCAAGGAGCACTACGCGGAGAACTTCGTGCAGGCCGTGCTGGGCTCCCTGGAGCCCGGCGAGAGAACCGGGGCCACCCTGCTATGCGGCGGGGACGGCCGCTTCTACATGCACCACGCCATTGCCCTCATCGCGCGCATCTCGGCGGCCAACGGAGTACGTGCCGTGCGTGTGCGCGTGCCGTGCGTGTCCGGTCTTCTTCTTCTTCTTCTTTTGTACGGCTGATGCAGATGCAGAGCAGCAAATTATAATTTCACATTGAGGTGGTCGAGCCAGATAACCGCGTCAGGAGCAGCGAGAGTGCCATCGGTGTGATGTCGCCGTCGTATTTGCGGATCGGGCATTGCGTCGTTTTATGGCGTGGAGGTGGAAGGTGGCAGCAGCCTTCACGCGGCCCACTCCGTTAAGTGAGAAATCGCGACGAATGCCGACAGCGCGGCGACCGAACGTCGATCATTGATCTCGCGGTCTCCGGAAAAACAGCGCAAGCGTGTGTCCGGTGCTCGCCGCCCCGCGTCTGCTCCTCGCAGGACAGAGACGGACGCGCTACGGCCCGACCGTCTGGCTGGGCCGGAGCGCGTTCAGCCGCTTTGGTGTGGCAGATGTTCGCGGTCGAGGCCAGCGTCCACCCCAGTGGGGAGATGTTAACTACCTCGCCTAGTGTGCAGGAGGTCGTGGTTTCAATCGTGACTGACGCCTGCTGTATATTTAGAGTTTGCATGTTCGCTGTGTTTTCCCCCTGTTGGTCGCGTGGATTTTTCTCCCGGTCCTCCGGTTTTTACCTCCACATTTAGAATCAACGTACGTTTTGAGTATTTGGCTGCTATAAACTTCTACGTGATAAGCCACTTCCGTTGGGCTATCATTTGTGGCCAGGTGGCTTCTGAAAAAGAGTTACGTAGCTCAGTGGGCCTTACCTGCTGAAATAAAAAAAATGAAAAAAGGTTGGTGCTGCTAATGCTTACAGAATGTGCCCTCCGGCAAAAAAAATCTCTTGTCAATGAAATGGTATCTCCCAAAGTGTATTTCTCCCAGATCCGTGCGGGGGTCTTGGCACGGCGTGCACTAGCGGCGAACGTGTATAGCACTGACCTTTCCGAGGCGGTGACGTGGCTAAAATTAACGCGCGGATGCTCTGCAAAAAGGGGGTTCCGCACTGCTCCCTGATTTACCGCGCCGCTTATAGAATGCGTCGCGCGGGAGCGGTTCTCAACCGTGGTGCTGGTGGCTCCTCCGCCACCCGTCACACGATTCACACCCCACCCACACCCCCCCATGCCTCGGGCTAACGATTCGATTCTAGAATTTATTTAGATTTGTATTGTCCCATTTGTACCGTGTGTCTCGTGCTGTGCTGTCATCCGTTCCCATGGAGCTTGGCGTTGTTAACGCCATCGGAATCGGCCGCGATGACCTCTTCATCTCAGTAAACGCGATCTCTTGATGATGGCGATGGTGGTGGTGATTATGATGATGATTATGGCGATGGTGATTTACTGCAGATTGGGCAGCTGGTGATCGGACAGAAAGGCATCTTCTCCACCCCGGCCGTGTCCAACCTCATCCGCAAGCGCAAGGCGGTCGGAGGGATCATCCTGACGGCGAGCCACAACCCCGGCGGCCCCAACGGAGACTTTGGCATTAAGTTCAACACGGCCAATGGAGGTCGCTACCTTCCCCGTGCTGTCCGGGTGGCGGGTTTGCGCCGGATAGTGCGCCCACGTGTTTAAACAGAATTACAAATTGACTTGACTTGACCGCGCTGCCGTTTCTTGTACGGTGGCTCCCAGTCAAAGTCACGGTGGCGAGATGTTAACTACCTCGCCTGGTATGCAGGAGGCCGTGGGTTCAATCCCGACCCTGACACCTATTGTATATTTGGAGTTTTCATGTCTCTCTCCCAGTGGTCATGTGGATTTTTCTCCGGCTTCTACGCTTTTTCCCCTCCATATTTATAAATTTCCACGTGATAAGCCACTTCATTGGGCTATCATTTGAGACCAGGTCGCTTCTGAAAAATAGCTATATAGCTCAACGGGCCTTACCTGGTAAAATTTCAAATAGCTTGTTAAGGTCGTAGCGACTGTTTTGTTCCAACGTCATGCGGTGATGGCGCTCGTCCACGTCGAACACTTCATTTACTTTTATCTTTCGCCGCCGTTGGACTGAACCGCGCGCTTGCGTGGCAGGGCCGGCGCCCGAGGGAGTGACGGCCAAGATCTTCGAGTTGAGCAAAACGCTGAAGGAGTTCCTCACCTGCCCGGACGTCAACGTGGACCTGACGAAGGTCGGCACGCAGACCTTCAACGTCGAGGGCGCCGCCCAGCCCTTCACCGGTAACCGTCACGCTCCCATCGCTCGCTCACTCCGGCTATTTACTAGTCACCACTGCCTCTGACAAAAACAACGATGACGACGACGACAGCAAGAGCAGTCATTTGATTTGATCTGATCCATGGTCTTGCTCCGCCCTATCTAGCTTCACTCATATCTTGATTAAAATCTTGACTTAAAGCTTTTGTGACTGCAGGAATTCATATTCTTTGGGTCTTTCGGGTAAAGCCACGTAGATAGAGAAAATAATAAATAAAAATCACGACGTTTTGATCGCAACACAAGCAATCGTCATCAGGAGGTTGAACTTGGCAATCAGGTTATCTTTGCATTTAGCTGATATTGAGGCGGCTGACGAGGTAGCCATGTTATCTGCATGCTCCCAATCAGATGTAGACATTTTTTTCTGTCAACGTTAAGTGTCATTGCAAGAGAGTCTTGTCTAAATTGTCTAGTTGAAGTTCAACCTTCCTGTCCAAGAAGAAGCCAGATCCACACGTTAAAAAGTTAAACGGTGACAAGATTGTTATCAATCAGAGTAACAGCCCAATTTCCCACAGCCTAAAATCGGTTCCAGCTAAAGGATTGAATTTCGCAGTCACCCCTAAACACATCCCAGTTGATGATATCATTGGCCAGGTCGACGTAGCCCTGAATGGTTTGGGCTTCACCAGCCCCACCCACTTCGCTTATGACCCTTGGGCTACACCCATCTCAAACCTTTATAACATCCTGCCTCAGCAGCTCTCTCGCTATTTTTTCACCTGATGACGATTGCTTGCGTTGTGATCGAAACGTCGTGATATTTTTTTTAATTCTATCTACGTGGCTTTACCGAAAGACTCGAAGAATATAATATCTCAATTCTTTAACCCATCCCATCGTCTATGCTCCCAGTTTCTGCCATGCCTCCCTGTGCCTCCCTCGCCCCGTGCCCAGTCTCGCTGTCTCGTTCCTGTTCCCTTCTCGCTCCCCTTCTATCTACGTGGCTTTACCGAAAGACTCGAAGAATATAATATCTCAATTCTTTAACCCATCCCATCGTCTATGCTCCCAGTTTCTGCCATGCCTCTTTGTGCCTCCCTCGCCCCGTGCCCAGTCTCACTGTCTCGTTCCTGTTCCCTTCTCGCTCCCCTTCGTGGCTGGAACCAAATCCCCCTGCAGCACATGAAACATTTATCTTCACTATAACAACCCGCAGCTTCCATTCCTCCCTTAAAACAATCCCCATCCCTTAGCCCACCCTGCTGCTACTGCTACTCCCTGCCCCCACCACCCAGGCTATGGCCAACCCCAACCCCCTATCTCTGTCCATATCACTACCCCTATCACTACCCCTACCTCTACCCCTAACTACCCCTATCACTAACCCGATTACCACCCCTATCACTACCCCAACTCCTATCACTATCTCTGTTACTACCCCCATCTCTGACCCTAACCCTATCACTACCCGTATCACAAAGCGCACGTAGATTTTAAATGTGGAGGGGAAAAAAAACGGAGGGCCCAGACAAAAATCCACGTGTCCACCACTGGAGGGGAGACACGGGGAGGGGGGTCAGACGGGGGTCAGCCAGGGCATCGTCAGGGAGGAGATCAATGTGCCGTGGCGATGCCGGAACGGTGGCTGTGTGCGTGTTATTTTTTTTTTGCGCCCGCAGTGGAGATCATCGACTCGGTGGAGGACTACCTCGTCATGCTCAAGGACATCTTCGACCTGCCCGCTATCAAGTCGCTCCTCACCGGCCCCAAAGCGCTGAAGCTCCGCGTGGACGCCATGCACGGAGGTGAGGGCCTGGGTCCTGGCAGGTCGGACACACACTCTCTCTCGATGGAATTACTTGCGGATGGACGGGTGCATGCTCTGGGGACAGTTGGACGGACACGTGGGGGGAAATAGACGTTGGATGGAAGGGCTCGAGGGTGGACAGAAACATGGCTAAGACAAGCGAAACTGTTTAAACGAAAACTATTTTTTTTAATTTTACCAGGTAAGGCCCACTGAGCTCTACAGTTGTTGTTTTTTTTCATCGGAAGGAACCTGGCTGCACAGATAATGGCTCGACGAAGTAGCTTATCATCACGTGGAAATTTATAGCAGCCAAATACTCTAAAACGATGAAGACTTGACTAAAGCCGCGGCTGGAGAACGTATATTCTGACTTGAGTCGTAGATGGCCAAATTGGATGGGTGGAGACGTGGACAACTTGTGAACAACATGGCACTGACATCACCGTCCCTGGGTGGCCAATGATGACCGTTGTTGCTACGCGTGTTTGTGTTCGGGCGTGTGTGTAGCGGTTAACGCACTGCGCTATGAACCCAGCCTCCCGAGTTCGATTGCCGCTCACGGCCAACACCATTGTCAATTATCTGAGTCGGTCCAGGGCCTCTCCTAGGTCGACTCAGCCTCAAATGAGTACCTGGTGCGGTGTGTAAACGTCGCCACTCGGGAGACAAAGGCGGCCGGGCTGTGGTGATGGCCTCACCACCCCCTCGTACGCCGTGCCAGGCCGTCATAGGTGCTGCTGCTCGCTAACGGCGCTCGCCCCACAAGTCTGCTTAAAGGCTACATTGGGGATCTTTGTCCCGCGTGCGTGCGTCCCCTCCGCAGTGATGGGGCCGTACGTGCGCCGTGTGCTGGTGCAGGAGCTGGGCGCGCCCGCCGATTCGGCCGTCAGCTGTGAGCCCCTCGAGGACTTCGGGGGTCACCACCCGGACCCCAACCTCACGTACGCGGCCGAGCTCGTGACGGCGATGAAGTCCGGCGAGTTCGGGGTCGGCGCTGCCTTCGACGGCGATGGGGTGAGCGAGACCGCCCGCCGCTGGCTCCAGGGCGGGGCGACGCACGCAATTCGCAAGTGGCCGACAGCGACGCGTAGATTGGTATCCGTCGATAACTATGGGTAGATTGATAACCATTGATAACAATGAACTAAAACTGAACTATTTTTTTTATTTTACCAGGTAAGGCACACTGAGCTATATTGCTCTTTTTCAGAAGCAACCTGGCTATCACAAACGGTAGCTCAACGAAGTGGCTTGTCACGCGGAAATTTATCGCAGCCGAATACTCTAAAACACATCTTCCAAAGTGTGGAGAGAGAAACCGGAGGACTCGGAGAAAAATCCACGTGACCACAGGGGGAGGGACAGGGAGAACATTCAAAATCTAAACATAGAGCAGGCATCAAGAGTCAGGATCGAACCCACGACCTCCTGCCTACCAGGCGAGGTAGTTAACTTCTCTCCACCGCGGAACCCTCAATATGTAAATTGATAACAGTCGATAAGAACGGGATTCCCACCACCTCCGGTGGCTGGGGACCTTCCCACATTGGCACGCTAATCTCTCGCATTTACATTTACGTACAAATTCCTTCGCTAGCTCCGCCCACTTGCCCTTGGGTTGAGCCCACCAGAAATCCGACATGAACTCCTGTTGCAGCAGCTCTTTCTCCTATGTCAGCAGTTCTCCTGCTGTATCCGTCCCACCTGATGACGGTCGCTTGTGTTGCGATCGAAACATCGTGATTCAATTTATTTTATACTTACTTGACTTTACCGAAGGGACCAAAGAGTACCAAATCGATAATAGTCAATGAAAATAGCGAAATGGATAACAGTCGACAACCATGGGTACATTGGTAACAACTTACATTAACGGGTAAATCGATAACAGTCGGGCGATCGTGCCGCGCCTTGGCCCCTGTGCAGGATCGCAACATGATCCTGGGACACAAGGGCTTCTTCGTGAACCCCTCCGACTCGGTGGCCGTCATCGCCGCCAACATCTCGTGCATCCCGTTCTTCCAGCGCACGGGCGTCAAGGGCTTCGCGCGTAGCATGCCCACCAGCGGCGCCATCGACCGGTACGTACCTACGGACGGACGGACGGACGGACAGTCTGTCCGCCCATAACGCGGTCGTAGTTGCGTTCCTGAAGATCGCCGCGTAACGGGCAAAGCGCATTGTAATTAATTAAATACAATTCAGGGGTAATAGCAGTCCACGATAACACGTGAGATGCGTACAGAGGCCGAAAAAAGACTGAGGTGCTTGGGTAGCATCTAGAAGCATCCAGCAGCATCCCGCCATTTGCGCGATGCTACACCGAGGCAGCCGTTCAACCGCTTGTTCCCGCTCGCGCGACGTAGTTCAGTCGCATTGCATCCCAATTCGCATCCATGTGATAAAAAAATGCGTTCCCTCAAACATTAATCGCGTTATATCCAATTCGCGTCGTGAAAACAACACGCGCTGTAGGAGAACAGACTGCGCTGACGTGCGCACGCCAAGAAAAGCCGGTTACAAACGAGGCCGTCGTGCAGTCCCCCACAGCGACGACAACGATCTCCGTTTTGCGACTGTAACGCGATGGCCGCCGTGAGACGGTTCGCAGCGCACCGCCCGGCTGTCTTCGCTGGTACTGCGGTAGCCCGGTTACGTTGGACGGGGGGGGGGGGGATGCGTTCCTGAAAGGTGGGACAACGAATATCGAAACGACGTGAACCGAAGAAGCGATTTACACGGTAGTTGGTGGTGGAGGCGATGGCTGAGAGTCGACAGATAGCGAGGAAGGACGGACGATGATGCTGTCGGCGACGTGACGTGCGTAGGCCGAGGCGACGCAAATCGGGTAGCGGTGTTAATAATAAAGTGGCGACGTATGTTGCGAAACGACGTGAAATGGGGAGACGTAAATTGTAGTGTTACTGTTCCGGCGCTGCTCAATTAACTCGCCCGCTCATGTGTTCAGAGAAGAGCGACAACAACAATATCCACAATATAAGTTTATTGGGTTAGATCGCGTAAATATATAAATGTGTCGTTAAACCCGCCACCACCCGACACAGCCGATTAGTAAGGTTTGTCACGTAAACAGAACGTGGCCAATTCGTTACTCGTACAGCACACCGGTTGTGTGTTGTAGAGCAAATCCACAACATTTACAATCTGAGTACGACGTTTTGCCAGTAATTACAACTAGCTTCATCGGGCGACAGCCAGATTTGTGGAGAAATCCTCCTCCTGTTTCGTGTCGAGTGGTGGCGGGTTTCACGACACGTTTATATTTACGCGATCTAACCCAAAAAACATATTATGGATGATATTGGTCGCGAAAGCCTACGTGTTAAACTGACGACAACAACGGTTATAATTTACGTCGCGTATAATTGCAATCACACTTGAAGGAGCTATTTGTAAATTGAACAAAAACTATTTGGCTCGAAGTTCAGGAGGTTCAGGGAGTCGTGGGAGAGAAAGGCAAGAGAGCCAACGGAACACCGCGGCACAACCAGGGGTAGAGCAACTGTGGCCCAGCACCAACAGCAAAGACGTACAGTGAGGGAAAAAAAGTATTTGATCCCCTGCTGATTTTGTACGTTTGCCCATTGACAAAGAAATGATCAGTCTAAAATTTTAATGGTAGGTTTATTTGAACAGTGAGAGACGGAATAACAACAATAAAATCCAGAAAAACGCATGTCAAAAATGTTATAAATTGATTTGCATTTTAATGAGGGACATAAGTATTTGACCCCCCTATCAATCAGAAAGATTTCTGGCTCCCAGGTGTCTTTTATACAGGTAACGAGCTGAGATTAGGAGCACACTCTTAAAGGGAGTGCTCCTAATCTCAGATTGTTACCTATAAAAGGCACCTGTCCACAGAAGCAATCAATCAATCAGATTCCAAACTCTCCACCATGGCCAAGACCAGGAGTGGGCAAGTACGCCATCTAATGGGGAAATGGGGGCATTACAGGAGAAAGGAAAAATTTAATTTAATAATAATATTTGGACAAGTTCAGCGGGCCATATACGGCCCAGGGGCCGTACTTTGCCCATGTCTGGCCAAGACCAAAGAGCTCTCCAAGGATGTCAGGGACAAGATTGTAGACCTACACAAGGCTGAATGGCCTACAAGACCATTGCCAAGCAGCTTGGTGAGAAGGTGACAATAGTTGGTGCGATTATTCGCAAATGGAAGAAACACAAAAGAACTGTCAATATCCCTCGGCCTGGGAACCCATGCAAGATCTCACCTCGTGGAGTTGCAATGATCATGAGAACGGTGAGGAATCAGCCCAGAACTACACAGGAGGATCTTGACAATGATCTCAAGAGAGCTGGGACCATAGTCACCAGGAAAACAATTGGTAACACTACGCCGTGAAGGACTGAAATCCTGCAGCGCCCGCAAGGTCCCCCTGCTCAAGAAAGCACATATACATGCCCGTCTGAAGTTTGCCAATGAACATCTGAATGATTCAGAGGACAACTGGGTGAAAGTGTTGTGGTCAGATGAGACCAAAATGGAGCTCTTTGGAATCAACTCAACTCGCCGTGTTTGGAGGAGGAGGAATGCTGCATATGACCCCAAGAACACCATCCCCACCGTCAAACATGGAGGTGGAAACATTATGCTTTGGGGGTGTTTTTCTGCTAAGGGGACAGGACAACTTCACCGCATCAAAGGGACGATGGACGGGGCCATGTACCGTCAAATCTTGGGTGAGAACCTCCTTCCCTCAGCCAGGGCATTGAAAATGAGTCGTGGATGGGTATTCCAGCATGACAATGGCCCAAAACACACGGCCAAGGCAACAAAGGAGTGGCTCAAGAAGGAGCACATTAAGGTCCTGGAGTGGCCTAGCCAGTCTCCAGAACTTAATCCCATAGAAAATCTGTGGAGGGAGCTGAAGGTTCGAGTTGCCAAACGTCAGCCTCGAAACCTTAATGACTTGGAGAAGATCTGCAAAGAGGAGTGGGACAAAATCCCTCCTGAGATGTGTGCAAACCTGGTGGCCAACTACAAGAAACGTCTGACCTCTGTGATTGCCAACAAGGGTTTTGCCACCAAGTACTAAGTCATGTTTTGCAGAGGGATCAAATACTTATTTCCCTCATCAAAATGCAAATTAATTTATAACATTTTTGACATGCGTTTTTCTGGATTTTTTTGTTATTGTGTCTCTCACTGTTCAAATAAACCTACCATTAAAATTATAGACTGATCATTTATTTGTCAGTGGGCAAACGTACAAAATCAGCAGGGGATCAAATACTTTTTTCCCTCACTGTAGATCCCGCGTGTAGCCTTAACGTACTGTTGGGGCAAGTGCTGTTAGCGAGCACCTATGAAGGCCGGCACGGCACACGAAGGAGGTGGGTGGCCAGGACCACGCCCGAGCGCCTTTGTCTCCCCAGTGGCGATGTTTACTACACACCGCACCAGGTACTCATTTGAGGCTGAGTAGACCTAGGGGATGCCCAAGACCGTTTCAGATAATTGTCACTGGTGTTGGCCGTGAGCGGGAATCGAACTCGGGACACTGGGTTCGTAGCGCAGCGCGACACGCTACCCGCTGCGCCACTACACCAACATCACCAACGTCACCAACAGCAGCAACAGCGACAGCAGCAAAAGGAAAGGAGAGCTCCAGGAGCAGCCAGGAGCAGCCAGGGGCAGCCAGGGGCAGCGACAAACGAGTCCCAGGGAATCCTTTGGGTGTCGGCATCGTTCATCAACATTTCCCACGGCATAGCACTTTATTCCACCCAGAAATATCTGACTGAGAGCCGATGCCAGTCGAGAAAAACACAGATTATTCGAAAGATGAGGTGGACGTATGTACATGTGTTGGTGATTATGTATCTAAGATATCCAAGCCACTTGTGTTTTTGGGTTACATCTTCCTTTCAGCAAGCCTATTTAAAGCAACAGTCATATTAAATAATGATATTAATCGAAGAGCTAATGTCAGTGTCTGTGTAACGCAACGTGCCTCTGAGCGCAAACACAGGCCGGCTTCTCTATGAAATCTACGCCGGGTACCATGTGGTCTGCGTTAGGAGCACAATGGGGGCGGCTGTGTTGAGACAACAAGTGCTGTCAGTGCCGCGGTGGCAGACGACCGATACGTTCGTGGCGTGTGAACAGAGCGCTCATTCAACCAACCAACCAACCAACAATTTATTCATTGGCCCCCTACGCGTTGCCCATCGGGAGAGTTAATTGGCGAATATGAAACGCGCCGCGCTCCGTGTTAGTGGTGTTTTGTGTTTACGCAATGGCCAGCCGTGGGGTTACTGGAGCCAAGCGCTTGGCAACGTTACGCTATCTGTGCATTTCACGCGCCCCGTCTCGCAGATAATAACAGCAACAACAATAAAAAATAATAAACTCGGTTTTCTATAATAGCGCAATTCGCACAAGGCCTCAAAGTGCTTTATATAAAGCGGTTTAAGTTACGGAGAAGAGGCCGTTTTAAAAACAGGCGAGTTTTAAGACGCAATTTAAAAAAGTGTAATGGACTCAGACTCCATCATGGAACGAGGAGGAAGGGAATTACACAGTGGCGGAGCTTGGCTGCAAAAAGCCTCTGTCTCCCATAGAACAAAGTCTGGTCTTTGGAATCATAATGAGCAGTGGACCAGAATGAGCGGATCTAAATTTTCACTGTGGAATATAAAACTGAACCAGATAGGTGGTGCGACATTTAGGAGCCAACTCATTCGAGGCCTTAAACATGATAAGAAAAATAATATAAAAAATCGATTCTGTACTTTACAGGGAGCCAATGCAGATTCGGTTAAAACTCCAGGCAGCTAAGTTTTGAATCGAATGTGGTACCTTTAGAGCACTTTTTAGGAACACCGAATTAAAATGTAATGCACGCCGCCGAGTGGACATCGCGTGATAAACGACGCAGAGGGGCGTGCGGGATAAGCCCTACAGCGCCATTTAAAATGTGACATTTCCATTTAGGCTGCACTTTTACGACCCACTCAAAAAAATATATATATTTTGGCCAATAGAACGTAAATAAAAATTCTGTGTCCCATAAACCTCGAACGGATTATTTTCGAATTTGTTTAACCTTTAGTTCAGTAACACAGTTGAGCATTAAAGTTCAACTCGAAGTGCTTGATCGGTTGGTTTAATCACCGCTGGCTCTTAACCCAGACGCAAACCGCCCCACCTTCCCGGCCATCCTGCTCTGTCTCGCATCACGGGCACGAGAGTACTGCCCGTGTCAAACAGGGGTCACGTGACGGATTCTTGGAGGTAACTCTGTGGTATCCACCTCCGCGGACCGTTCTCGAACACGAAGAGTGAGCAATCCTAACGGATACTTCTGGCACATCCGGGATGAGATTGGCAAAATGACAAAACTGAAACAAATACTTTCATGTCGCGTAACGACAGTTGTGGGCCCTGGGTTCTCCACAGTTGTGGGCCCTGGGGCCTCCACAGTTGTGGGCCCTGGGGCCTCCACAGTTGTGGGCCCTGGGCTCTCCACAGTTGCGGGCCCTGGGTCCTCCACAGTTGTGGGCCCTGGGCCCTCCACAGTTGTGGGCCCTGGGTCCTCCACAGTTGTGGGCCCTGGGTTCTCCACAGTTGTGGGCCCTAGAGCCTCCACAGTTGTGGGCCCTGGGTCCTCCACAGTTGTGGGCCCTGGGTCCTCCAGAGTTGTGGGCCCTGGGTCCTCCAGAGTTGTGGGCTCTGGGTCCTCCACAGTTGTGGGCCCTGGGCCCTCCACAGTTGTGGGCCCTGGGCCCTCCACAGTTGCGGGCCCTGGGTCCTCCACAGTTGTGGGCCCTAGGGCCTCCACAGTTGTGGGCCCTGGGTCCTCCACAGTTGTGGGGCCTGGGTCCTCCACATTTGTGGGCCCTGGGTCCTCCACAGTTGTGGGCCCTGGGTCCTCCACAGTTGTGGGCCCTGGGTCCTCCACAGTTGTGGGCCCTGGGTCCTCCAGAGTTGTGGGCTCTGGGTCCCGGTGGACGTGCGACAGGGATGATTGTGGGATCCGTCTGCAGGGTGGCGGAAGTGGAGAAGGTGGCCTTGTTCGAGGTGCCCACGGGATGGAAGTTCTTCGGGAACCTGATGGACGCGGGGAAGCTGTCGCTGTGCGGAGAGGAGAGCTTCGGCACAGGTACGTGTCCTAAACGAGCAACGCAAACGCGCGAGGGAGCGTACACGTTGTGTTCGCAATAATAACCCAGCAGACTGGTGGCGTAGGCCTGCAGTCCAGCACTCTATAGGCAGGGTTTGTGTATCAGGCAATGCTTTTTATACGTACGTTGGTTGCTGACCCAATATTGTTAACAGTTATCTCTTTGAATCACATGCTAAGTACTCATGAAGGAACTGGTGAGACATCACAAACAAGACCCCCCCACCGCCACCGTATCTTTAAACTCGCATCAATCAATGAATGTTTATTTTACGTGCCGATGTCGCCCTCAATAAAGTGGGCATCGGTGCACGCTACGGCGGAACGGGAATGGTTACAGGGGGCACGGAGGAACAAGAATGAAGAAAGAAACCCATCACGACCTCAGTGGCTAACGCTGACTTGAGCAGAGCAAATCGCATCCTTGAGCAGAGGAAATCGCAACCGTGCTCAATATAGAGTGCAAACATTCCCAACGAGAAGCATAATAATATTTTATTTTATATAGCGTCATTCATGCTAACAGCATCCCATAACACTGTACATTAACTGCATATTTAAGGACCGCATCACATACACCGCAACTACCAAGCAAATTAAGACCCGACTAAAGTGCCAAGCAAAATAAATTAATGAACAAACAAATTATGAAATGGCGCCAAAGCAGAAAGCACAAACAACAACAAACGTCATCGCAACAGAGCAATGAGTCCATGAGGTCTACTACTACTACTACTACACATCCCAGACCACAACTTCCCAAACAAGCCAGAAAACACGTCGAGGAGGGGCGGTAGAGTGCCAGAAAGTTACGACTAAGAAAGCTGAGTAGTAAGTTAAATTAAACCAATAATAAGGCGAGACCGAATTAGATGCGTCTTGCGCAGACCACGGAATCGAGAGACGCTCGGCGCGTTTCAGGACGTCAGCGCGATCCACACCTGTCCGGCAAAAACGATGCCTCCTTAAAACTCTCCACCGAATCGCAGATCCTCTTGCTTCCTCTCTTCTCCTCCCATTCGCACATTAAACACCACTCGATACTCCTCCATTCATTAGACGAAGAAGATAGCGCCTCCTGACGTTTGCCGATTTCAAAAGCAATCCCAGGTTCAGAACCCCCCCCCCCCCACCCCACGTCGCTTGTGTCCTTGTTTCACAATGAACCCAAGGCTCCGACCACATCCGAGAGAAAGACGGGATGTGGGCCCTGCTGGCGTGGCTGTCCATCCTCGCCTTCCGCAAGGAGAGCATCGAACAGATCATGAAGGCACACTGGGCCAAATACGGACGCAACTTCTTCACCCGGTAAATGGACACGCACGCACAAGGCGAAGGCAGAAGGTCGCCCGTCGAGCCTGTAACAGACTTTTCGGGGCAGGTGCTGTGAGCGAGCACCTATGAAGGGCTGGCACGGCACACGAGGGAGTGGGTAACCAGCGGCACGCCCGGCCGCCTTTTGTCTCCCCCAGTGGCGATGTTTACACACCGCACCAGCTACTCATTTGAGATCGAGTCGACCAAAGGGAGGCCCAGGACCGGTTCAGGTTATCATCACTGGTGTTGGTGGCCGTGAGCGGGAATTGAACTTGGGTCGCTGGGTTCATGGTGGAGCGCGCTTACTCCTACACTACTGCTCCCCACACGCATACTCACATAGGCACAGATACAAACCTTCCATTTGTTATGGAGGAAAGGAAACGGTGCAGCCCTGCAATTACTTGCTCATTCCACTGCTGACAGAAGGGACCTCCTCTACATTGTAGCTCAAGAGCACCACGTTTAGAAAGTTTTTGGCCGATGCTACTACGCTAGCCAGGCATCTGGGAATTAGGTGGGAGTACCCACACTTTACCCCACCACACGTGACCGACCTATGGCTTGCCTATGGGCCTATGGTTTGCAAGTGAGCTTTGCAAACCGTTACATGACGGCATCAACCATTTATTCGTCGTCAATTCTAAGAACTTTTTTTTTTTTTAAACGACGAAATCTAAAAGCGGACATGTCGTCCTCCGTCAGCTACGACTACGAAGAGGTGGACTCGGGCGCGGCCAACACGATGATGTCCGACCTGGAGAAGAAGCTGTTCGACCCGGCCTTCGTGGGCAAGGCCTTCACCGAGGGGGACAAGACCTTCACGGTCGCCAAGTCGGACAACTTCTCCTACACCGACCCCGTGGACGGCAGCGTCTCCAAGAACCAGGTTTGTGCCGCGCTGCCGTTTGGCACTTGCGTGAGATGCGGGGCACGGTGGCAGCACGAGAACGCGTGCGACTCGGTTACAGGCCCAGCGTTTCCTGAATTCTCGATGATGGCGCGATTCGACCGCACGCATTGCGAGCGCCGGAGTCGACTTCGGGCGCCACCGTGGCGAGATGTTAACTCCCTCGCCTGGTATGCAGGAGGTCGTGGGTTCAATTCCGACCCTGACACCTATTGTATATTTGGAGTTTGCAAATATACAATGGTGCTGGCCACCCACCCCGTCATGTGCGCTTGCCAGCCTTCATAGGTTCTACTTGCTTTCAGCACTTGCCCACGTGGTCGCGTGGATTTTTCTCCAGTTCCTCCGGTTTTTCCCTCCACATTTATAATCAAAATCAAACGTTTAAAGTATTTGGCTGCTGTAAATTTCCACGCGACAAGCCACTTCGTTGAGCTATCATTTGTGGCCAGGTCGCTTCTGAGAAAGAGCTATATGGCTCAGTGGGCCCTACCTGCTAAAATTAAAATAGTTTAGTTTAAATCGATCTTGTGTGTGCAGGCAGCAGTGCAGGTGGGGAGCCATGATGTAGCGGTTAGCTCGCTACGCAACGAACCTGACCACCCGAGTTCAATTCCCGCTCACGGCCAACACCAGTGACGGTTATCTGAACCGGTCCTGGGCCTCCCCTAGGCCGACTCGGCCTCAACTGAGCACCCGGTGCTGTGTGTAAACATCAGCACTGGGTAAACAAAGGAGGCTGGGCGTGGTGCTGGCCACCCACCCCCTCATGCGCGCTTGCCAGCGTTCATAGGTTCTACTTGCTTGCAGCACTTGCCCCGACAGCTTGTTACAGGCGATGCAGGGGGATCTTTGTCTACGGGCGGCGGTTGCAGTCACCGACGCGGCCGCATGGCGGGGACAGTCGTGGGGCCGATCGGATTTTGTTGCGAATATTCCGGGTGTCGTCTTGCGCCGACGCATACAGATTGGCGACGGTGGGAGCTTGCAGGCCCCTTATATGGGCGCAAGGGTTAAATGGTAGCCGAAGTGATGGGGGGGGGGGTCTACATTGCGCTTATGGTTTTTTGCAAGGTTCCCAAATGTATGTGCGCAGCATACCGGGACGCACGGGGCCCTTGTGACGATCCTCCGTTACGATTTTGCACAATGCATTAATGAAACCTGCTTCTTGGCTCGTCGTGTCACTCGGAGCAAAGACTTTTGCAAAGTTAAATGGGATTTTATTTTTTCAAGCGGACAATTTGGCAGGGGGGTCATTCATGCAGTGGGTGGGCCACACACCCTTGGAGCAGTGTTTCCTCACTCCGCTTGGGTAAAATTAGCAGGCTGGCCTTTCGCGAGGCCAAGTATTTTTACACACATCTGAGTCGTAATGACTCTTACCATGTCGCATCGTTGTATTTATGAAGCTATTTTGACAGCAATCGATATGGCAAATACCGCAACGTCATTCGTCTCAATTAAACCCAAAGCAAGCGCCCCCCCCAGTTAGAAATGATCCGTGAATGGCTTTACTGTACGAGCTTGGCTCATGAGCGGTTTTGCGCCCTTGTTTTACGTCAAAAGATATTTGCTATTCACTTCTCGAGATTTGTAAGGAAAGCCTCTTTTGAACGTCACCCGGAATGTGCCCGATCTCGGAAGCTAAGCAGCGTCGTGCCTGGCTAGTGCTTGGATGGACGACCGCCTTGCTCAGCTGCTTGCGATAGGCTGCTGCGGTGGGTAGCAGAGGGCAATGCAGCTAAATCCATTGCTAGACTGTTTTTTTCTTTTTTACTTCTCTGCTTCCAAGTACCACGCTCTCCATCTTCATTGACCGGCGCAGACCAGCGTGGTGAAATATGGACAGTGAACCCCCAACAATGCGCACGGCATGTGCCTGGCTTTCATCCCGCAGTGGATCGATGTGCGTTTGTAAGGAGTACAGAATGTACGCTCCATCTCTTGTCTTTTCCCCAGGGTCTACGCCTCATCTTCACCGATGGCTCGCGCATCATTTTCCGGTTGAGCGGAACGGGCAGTGCCGGGGCAACTATCAGACTCTACATCGACAGCTATGAGAAGGACCCTGCCAAGATCTACCAAGACCCTCAGGTGCGCACAAGCGAGGAAGTGTTTTTACCCGCTTTTATTTAACTCGCTCTCTGTTTTGATTTAAAGCTTTCGTGACTGCAGGGATTCATATTCTTGGTTCTTTCGGTAAAGTCACGTAAGAAGGGAAACAATGAAATAATAAAAAAATATTAAACAACAAAATTCTCACGTCGTTTTGACTGCAACACAAGCAATCATCATCAGGTGTGAAAACCACAGCAAGAAAAATGAGAATTTTATTGTTTTATATTTTTATTATTTTCTTATTTATTCCTTTGTTTGGGTGACAGTGGTAACAGAAAAATAAAGTGGGCTTGGGCAGGACACATTGCGGGCTGTGTTGATGGCCCCAGCGGTCGAGACTAACCATGGAGTGGCAGCCAAAGGAGGAAACACGTCCGAAAGAACGTCCACCGTGGAGATGGAGCGATCAAAGCCGTTCAGGAGTAGGTGATAGGTGGATTAGTACCGCTTGGGGAGGTCTTCACCCTGCAGTGGAATCATTTATTTATTTATTTAGCGTGCGAGTTTGCGCCTATGATTGTTTCATTCACCGATACCTCCTTGCAGTGGTCCCTTCAACTTCTCTGTCCGTCGGCGCGTCTTTCAAGTGCGATGGCTTCCATCGCATGGAATGTTTAACGTTTGACAGCCAGTCAGATCGTGGTCTTCTTATTTTGTCCACCGGGCACCTTCGACGACGAGCGTGGGTGGCGGTGGCATTGGAATCAAACGCATGAGAACAATCGCAACGAATCGCGCGCCCCCTTTTCCTTTTTTGCAGGTGATGCTGGCTCCTCTGGTGGCCATCTCCCAGAAGCTCTCCGATATCCACGGGCGCACGGGACGCACCGGCCCGACCGTCATCACTTAGTCGGCACGCGCCACGGCGACAGACACGAGAACACGACTCCGCACGCGGTGTACTCCTCCAGCCACCCCCCCCCCGCCCCTCCCCGCCCCTCCCCTTAGCTTACGTCTCGTTCGCCGATAGCTTTGACCCCCGACCCAGGGTAAAAATGCCTTTTGGTGTTGTCCGTCGCTAACCTTTGTCCAGTGTAAGAAACCAACATTCGCAAACCCATGGATCTTGTTGCCGTTGCCTTCATTGTGTTGGGCAGTTGTGGGAATTTTTTTTCTCTCAAATTCAATCTTCTGCTGGTAGCTGTGCGGACTACGTATTTTGAATTGGTGTAAAACAGGACTGTTATCAGAGGTTAAACAAATTTTGGCGCGGTACTGCATTGGCAGTGGTCGACAAGCACAAATAACAAAAAGTCAACACATTCGTCAATAACACGTCTTCCCTAAAAGGTACGAATATATAATAGATAACGTTTCTTCTGGCCGTGGCCATTCATCGCGGTGGAAGAAAAGAGACAGCATTGGTGAAGTTTTAGGCAATAGCCTTTTTTTTCCATCGCAGAAGTTGGGCCATTTCCATAAATATCGCCCGTGATATTGTTTCTTCTTTCAGGGCAGTGTTGTTGATTATTTGTTGAGGTTTTGTTATTCTTAAGGTTGCATTGTCTTGTGCTAAAATTCCACGAAAAATGCCGTCATTCTCCCTTAATCACATGCTTGATTCTATCAAAATTATTCGGGTAATCTGCGACTGGGCGTTTCCATAAGATATATCCACAGGACGATCAAGCCACAGTGGCAATCTGTAGCAGCACATTTGTGCGCCTGTAAAGCTTGATTGCACGACATTGTAGCGAAACTGTATCGTGCACTCGTTTATGTTGCAAATATCACGCACTGAAGCCAACATTGTCGTTAACTCAGTTGAGAATGAAAACGATAACAAAAAAGACATTCACTTGTGGCCCTAAGCACCAAGTTTGAGGAGTTAAAAGTTCACAGGTGGTGGTTTCAAAAGAGGGTTATTTTAACGTTGTCAATAATACTCTCTGGGTTTTTTTCGGTAAAGTCACGTAGATAGAAAAAATAATAATAATAAAAGAAAACACGACGTTTCTGTCGCAACACAAGCGACCGTCTTCAGGTGAGAAAAATGATCTTCTGTTGTGGCTTTAATTTTTCTCACCTGAAGACGGCCGAAAGAACCGGAGAGTATGGATTCCTGCAGTCACAAAAGCTTCAAATCAAGATTGTCAATTATATTTAAAATGTGATTTCTTTGTAGCTACTTTTCTTCACATATTAGCGTTTCAATTCCCAGCGCTGTATTCCATCAAACCTGGAGCAGCAGATTCGTATTGTGTATGTATGGTGTATCGAGCTCACCAGCAAACATGGATGTATTCAATATGAGGAGGTACACTGTTATAACGTTATAACGTTAACATTTAACTCTCACAAATAGTATTTTGCTCAGTTCCCTTGAAATGCTGCGCAAATAAGATGAATGTTCGTTTAATCCTTGCAGGGGTTGGCATGATGCAAAGCCCTAAATAGATACATCCCTGATTGTATGGCAGCCAAAGTGAACAGTGCCGATGGCCTGCGGCAATGCACTCCAATAGATTTTGATTTAAAGCTTTCGTGACTGCAGAGATTCATATTCTTGGTTCTTTCGGTAAAGCCACGTAGAAGGGAAACAATAAAATAATAAAAATATAAAACAATAAAATTCTCATTTTTCTTGCTGTGGTTTTCACACCTGATGATGATTGCTTGTGTTGCAGTCGAAACGTCGTGAGAATTTTATTGTTTTATATTTTTCTTATTTTATTGTTTCCCTTCTACGTGACTTTACCGAAAGAACCAAGAATATACTCCAATAGATGTTTTGCTTAGGCCATCTCCTGTTCACAGGACCGCAAGATAATAAGTCACGTGAATCGCTGTGGAGCTGATGATGAATTATCTTTGTGAGATGTCATAGGTCGCCTACATCGTTAGACTCAGGTTCGCGGGTACTGAACTCGAAACCGTTTTTCAATCTGGCCTGACTTGTCCTTCAGTTCACACACACACTGATAATGGTTTACTTATTCTTGGTTCTTTCGGTAAAGTCACGTAGAAGGGAAACAATAAAATAATAGAAATATCAAACAATACAATTCTCACGACGTTTTGACTGCAACACAAGCAATCATCATCAGGTGTGAAAACCACAGCAAGAAAATTTTATTGTTTCCCTTCTACGTGGTGACTTTACCGAAAGAACCAAGAATATGAATCCCTGCAGTCACGAAAGCTTTAAATCAAAATGATAGTTTACTTGTTTGGAAAAATTAATGTATGTTTTTAAAGAATATAAATCAGGTCCGTAACGGTTGTGGATGTGTCGGAGTATAAGAGCAAGGGCAGTAAATACGAGGTACGCAGGGATGTATGTGCGGTGTCAATCTTGCTGGGGACATTGTGCAAACCAGATGCCCTGTCACAAACAAATTACAATTAAGGGGGAGGCAGGATCTTTTGTTGTCACTGACGATTTACTACTGCACTCATTACACAAAGTGCTTTCCACAAATGAACCATGATACCTTGCTGATCTCGTCAAGGGAACAAACCGTCGTACGAACTCCGTTCGTCCTCACAGCGGCTTTTGGCTAGCCATTGAACAGAGTAGGTCACCGCATCGCGCGATTTGGGATGCGCTTCTGTGGTCGCCTGGAACGCTCTTCCGATATTGTGAAGCCTCTGGAGCTATGCACTTTTAAATCTAGATTGAAAAGTACTGCCTTTAAAACTGCTTTTTGTGTTTAGTTTGTTGTCTTTCTCCTGCACCTCCGATTATCATGGTTGGCTACATGCGGTGCGAAATAAGTTCAGCATACATGCATACTGCTGTAGAAGGTGACATTGCTGCAAAGAGGCAAGTGGAAACGAGCGAAGCGAGCTGACTTGCACGGAATTAAGTCGTTTTAATCTCCGCTTGAGGCATGCAGCGTGCAGAGTGCAAAATGGCTTTTACTGGGGCAACTCTCAAAGAGTGAAAGTCAAAATAATAATGGTTCGAGATGAAGAATGTGGAATGACTGAAATACTGTAAACTCAAAGCTACCCACCATTTCACTGCAGTCTGCATACACTCAAAAGCAAACCCGTAAATATCCTTTTGAGTCGGGTGCATTAGTGAAAGTGTTGTTATAGATAGGCGTTGTATGTAATTTGGATGTGTCTTCCATCATTTCTACCAATGGACTGTAAGTTGATTTAGGCTAAACAATACGTAGTTTACTTGCAAGTTCATGGTGACATTTCATATTGACGGGGCACGTCAGACCTTGCCAGGATATTCGTCTCGCACGCTGGCACCAGCACACATTTTGACAAAGTCCGCTGTTGATCGTTCTTGATGTTTCCAAACCGTAACTTCAAAATCACCCTTGCACGCTGGTTCATCGGCAAGGGGGAATGTCCGTACGTGGTGCGGAACACGCTTATCGTTGATGTGAAATTAACAATAAATGTATTGGGAAGGCTTAAGCCGAGTCGTGTGTTGTAACTGATCACGAGTAAGGTAGATGATTGGAAAGCCGAATGGGAGTTCACAAGAACAGATGGATGATTGGAAAGCAATTTTGTCCGTCCCACGCATCTCCGATGAGCATGGTTGGCAACGTACGGTGCGAAAAAAGTTAAACATACGTGCATACAAGTGAAGAAAACTGGCACTATTTGGACACATGTAGGATGCACAACAGGAAAATTAAGTGTGTTCGGAAAAATTACTTTACGACGACATAAGAGATTGGCGCCAGAAAGATGTGCCACTAAGGGGCCGTCCATAAATGACGTCACGCGATTTTGGACGATTTTTGAACCCCCCCCCCCCTCGTCACACGGCGTCACAAAAGTCAGACCCCCCCCCCTCAAATATGACGTCACAAAGCTCTGCCCCCCCCCCCCAAAATAAAACATGCTTCAAATCACTTTAAACCCCCCCTCCTCGTCACATATCGTTACAAATGTCTGACCCCCCCCCCTAGGTGCGTGACGTCATTTATGGACGGCCCCTAACTTGAGCACATTGGCACAAGACAGAGGAAAGTGCAAATGATGAAATGTGCTGTGGACCACCTACTACGGGCGATATGCCTAACGGATCGTGATGATGACGACGACGACGACGACATACAAGAAGCCGCAAAGAAACACGTCGTGCAAGACCCGACTAAGCAGAAGATCTCCTGGCTTTGACGTTACACAAAGCTCACGGGGACACAACCCGAAGCCGCATCTGCACGCAAACCGTGGCGGATGCGGATGCTTGATGATGATTACGATGCACACATGGAAAACTCTCCTCCAGTGTGCAACTGTGGCCACTTTGCTTTCCAGACCAATATAATCCGGCAGCATTTGTTTTAAGGGAGTGTTGGGGACACGGGCCCCCGGCTCCCACCTCCGGGGGAAGGCTGATCTCGGTAGGGCTGCGGGCTCCGGACGCCTCGCTCGTGTGAGAGCCGCCGTTATTCGACTCCTCGCCCGTGGTGGGAGGGCTGCCGCCCTCCGTCTCCTCGCGGTGCAGCCCCTCGGGTCCGCGGGTCCTGCTTGGGGGGGCATAGCTCGGGGCTGGCGCACGGCTGCCTTGAATCTCGGCCACTCAAACGCGACGTCTCCGCTCACACAACCCCGCGCACCACTCACACGCGCTGAACGGGGGTCAGGGGTCAGAGGGCAAAGACGTCCTTCGCACACGCGTTGCCGCTTGGAGGGGGTGTCTCGGAGATTATTTAAAGGGCTGTATGAATAATCTCGCGTGTACCCGGGCGAGTCCACCGTCGCTCGCCACACGCACACGCTAACCACGAGCTACACGTATGGGCGAGCGCAAACACGTGGGTAAATACACGCGCGCAAACACAGGGTACAACGACGCAGGAACCCTGGTCGGGCGCGCACACAATGGCCGCCTCAACAGAGCTACCCGCGCGCAAACCCCCCCGTATCACGACGAGCGGACTCTCGCCACCATGCGCCCGTTCCACACTCGCAGAAACCACGCGACAAGGTTTATCGATCACTGACGATTTATTCCCGACGTGTCTGCGAGCTCCTATCACCCAAATCAGTCTGAGTCAGCAGGGCAGGTCTAACCTATCTCCTGATGGTCTAACCCGATCTACCTCGTCCCCTTAGAATTGAACTCCCTAGGATCTTATCCTAAAACCCAACTCCCTCTTTCGTGACCCGCGTTTTGCCTTGGATGTGCAGGAAGCCGTGGAGAGGCGAGGCTGCTCGAAGTTCTCGCTGGGAGCGGGGCCTGGCTCCGCTGAAACTCGTCTCACGGACGATCCAGTGGCCGGCAAGGTGACTACCACGATCCCTGACTCGAGAAGAACACGTGACTCCCCTATCCCTACCTTCTCTCGCCTCTTTATTGTTCCCCACATCAAAGATAATTCGGCGCTGATCTGCTGGCCTTCCCGGCCAATCAGGTGGCTCGGATTTCCCGCCACTCTCTCGCGAGCCGGTGCTCTCTCAGACGTCCGCATTTTACCCTCTACACAAGCGCATCTGTCCTACCAATCAGAGGACCGGCCCTGTTTTCCCGCCGTTCGTGACTCCGCCCCCCCCCCACCCACCTGCCTGCTGACCCGTGTGTGTTGCGTGTTTTCTACCCGCGGTGGCTCAGCAGCCCCGTCGTGACCATGTGATTACTACCCAAGTCACGGCGCCGTGGTGCGAGTTAGCCTCGGGGGAGGTCGCCCAGTTCCCTGGTCGCAGGAAACCGTGAGGATTGGTCCCATGAGAGGGCTTCTGGGTGAAAACCTGTCGGCCAGGTGACTTCCCCTCGGGGCTCTGTGTGGGGATGTGTGTGTGTTCATGTGGGGGCTCTATGTGGGGGTGTGTGTGTGTTCATGTGGGGGCTCTATGTGGAGGTGTGTGTGTGTTCATGTGGGGGCTCTATGTGCAGGTGTGTGTTCATGTGGGGGCTCTGTGTGTGTGTGTGTTCATGTGGGGGCTCTATGTGGGGGGGGGGGTGTGTTCATGTGGGGGCTCTATGTGGGTGTGTGTGTTCATGTGGGGGCTCTCTGTGGGGGTGTGTGTGTGTGTTCATGTGGGGGCTCTATGTGTGTGTTCATGTGGGGGCTCTATGTAGAGGTGTGTGTGTGTGCTCATGTAGGGGCTCTATGTGGGGGTGTGTGTGTGTGTGTGTGTTCATGTGGGGGCTCTATGTGGGGGGGGGGGGTGTTCATGTGGGGGCTCTATGTGGGGGTGTGTGTGTGTTCATGTGGGGGCTCTGTGTGGGATGTGTCTTTGTGTTCATGTGGGGGCTCTATGTGGGTGTGTGTGTTCCTGTGGGGGCTCTGTGTGGGGGTGTGTGTGTGTTCATGTGGGGGCTCTATGTGTGTGTGTGTGTTCATGTGGGGGCTCTATGTAGAGGTGTGTGTGTGTGTGCTCATGTAGGGGCTCTATGTGGGTGTGTGTGTGTGTTCATGTGGGGGCTCTATGTGGGGGTGTGTGTGTGTTCATGTGGGGGCTCTATGTGGGTGTGTGTGTTCATGTGGGGGCTCTGTGTGGGTGTGTGTGTGTGTTCATGTGGGGGCTCTGTGTGTTCATGTGGGGGCTCTATGTGGGTGTGGGTGTGTTCATGTGGGGGCTCTGTGTGTGTGTGTTCATGTGGGGGCTGTGTGTGTGTTCATGTGGGTGCGGTCAAGGGATGGCTCCCTATTGCTCAACCACGTTATGTATGCCGATGATTTGGTAATAGGTGCTCATTCAGAGGAGGAGTTGGAGACGCTGCTGCTAAGACTGGAGCGTGCCACTAAGAGATGGGGCCTTACCATCAGCCCCACCAAAACTAAGCACCTGCCTGGGTATTTTGTACCATCGGACACTCCACCCCTACAACTCCAAATCGGTGATGGGGTAGTTGTGGAGAGAGTGGAAAGTTTCCCATACTTGGGCAGTGTGCTTATGACCGGCTCCAGTTTAACAGCAGGGGTCTCACTCCGAATCAGTCGAGTGGCAATATCTTTTCATCAGTTGTGTAACGCTGTGTGGAAGCTACCTGGTCTGTCGCTCCGCACTAAGCTTCAGGTCTTCTCGGCCACGGTCATTCCCTCCCTTCTCTACGCTTGCGAAACGTGGACCCCCCTAATGGAACATCTTCGCCGGTTAGAAACATTTAGGCTGGCCTGCCTACGATCCTTCCTGGGTTTAACCAGACTGGATTGTGTGAGGAGCTCACAAATCCTTGAAAGATCTGGGCAAGGTCCCATCGGTGAGCTCCTCCGGCGGGCAAGGCTGCGATGGCTGGGTCATGTAGCCCGCATGCCCAGCCACTGCATGCCGAAACAGATTTTGTTCGGCCGGATCGAGGGGGCTAAACGGGCACGGCACGGGCTAGAAAAGAGATGGAGTGATGTGGTACAGGAGGACGTGGAGCTGAGTGGACTTGCCGATGACTGGTACCAGCTGTGTCAAGATCGGCCTCTGTGGAGGAGGCTCGTGAAGGACGCTACTGGGCAGTTGGAGGTAGTCGCCCTCCAACAACAACGGAGGGCGGAGGAGCGACGCTCACAACAACGAGCGGAGCGCCGGGTGGCTAGGGCACAGCAGGTTGGCACAGTAGGGGGCACAGGTGGTGCATCAGCCAGTCATCTCAGTCATCTCAGTCGACCCGTGGCACCTGGGTCTGCCCCGTGACCTCCTGCCAGCGGGCGTTCGACACTTCACGTGGCCTCAAGGTGCAGATGGCCTGGCACAAGCATCGTGGTGACGTCACTGCCACTTTGTGGCAAATGGCGGTTGTTGTTATGTGGGGGCTCTATGTGGGGGTGTGTGTGTGTGTGTTCATGCGGGGGCTCTATGTGGGGGTGTGTGTGTGTTCATGTGGGGGGTGGTGAGTGAAGAGCAGCGTTGACCCCGTCGCTCGTAGGTGGCGGCGTCGCGGCCACGGCTCCGACGGAGCGGCTTCGCTGCTGCGGCACCACAGGAGCAATGTGGGGGCTACCGTCCCCCGCCATAACCGAATTGTCGGGGTCATTACTCTCCGACTCCCCCGTAACACTCGTCCCACTACCTCCCGGCTGCTCTGTGGGGTCCGGGCTACCGACCCCCAATTCTTCGCCACCTTGCGCTCCTGACTTTGCGGCTGCCCGCGTCGGCATGTTTCAATTGGTGCAGTGGTCTGCTTTTACGCTTGCGGCGCGCTTTGCCGTTCAGGGGCGGCGAACCGCGATGAGCGCGCTCGCAAAGTAAAACCCCGTCTCGCCCGTAAACAAACAGGTGCGGCGCGCCTACGCGTGATTCCCTCACTCACACGCTCCACGCGCTCTGGCAATGGCTTTAGACAACCGCGCGAATACGCGCGCGCCAGGCGCTTAGCTCGCTACCTCGCTATTAGACAAGCGCGCAGGCGCGCGACCGCAACACAATCACACAGGCGCGCGAGCGCTAAGCACTGCTGTAAACAATCGTATGGGTACGCGAACACCAAGCAGCACCCCGCAGACAGCCGCTTAGGCACGCGCACGCTAAGCACTCCGCCTCGATGTAGACAACTCTGCGCGCACGCGATCACCCGACGCCACACTCCCAGAGACCACACGACACCGATTATCCTGCTACTAGTGATTTTATTTACCGAGAGTAACCCGCTGACTACGTGTGTCTGTGCGAGTCAGCCGGCCCTCTTAGCCTATCCTACGGGGATCCTAGGCTCAATTTACCCTGCCTACCGCTCCGCTCTCTACCCTCGATTAAATAGCTCCAACTCACCTCTCCTTCACTTATGCTTACGTTCACTCTGCTGCGCTGGAAGTGGTGGGAAGGCGATGCTGCGAGTCGTCTCCGCAGAAGATCGTGCCTGGCTGCGCTGAAATTCGTCACGCGGACGATCCGAACGGCCGGCCCCAATGCTCCGTGGACCGCGATGATTTTAAAGAAGGACTCTCTCTTGCTACGCTAAGCCCCCGTATTTTATACACCCGATCGCAAAGGCTGTTCGTGGTCCTTTCGTTTGTCTACCCGTGCCCCTTTTTCGCAATCGGAGGCCGAATTATTCCCGTCTCTTTCACATTCGGATCCGTGACCTTACCTAGAACAAAAGGCATTCAGATGCTTCTGCACCCGTGCCCGTCCTGTTCATTCAAAGGCTGAGTTACTTTCATCTCTTTCACATTCGGATCTGTAATATTACTTATGACAAAAGCGTACCGCCGTTCCCACCCTCTGTGCTGCCCTGTCCATTCAGAGGCTGAGTTACTTTCGTGTTCCTTTGTTATCTCGACCCCTAATCCTAACAAAGGCATTCCGATCCGTACTTCCCTTGGCCTCCTGACTCGTGCTCGTGTGTGTGCGGTTTCACTCGCGGTGGCTCAACGGCCTCCGCCGTGACCACGCAACTTTAACGTCAGGTCACGGCGCCGCGGTGCGTGTCGGCCTCTGGGGTAGATCGCCCAATTTCCCGGCCGCGGGGAACCACGAAGCTTGATCCCATTAGGGGCTTCTGGATAAAAACCCGTGGGCCAGGTGACCTTCCCTCCCGGCCCTACGTGAGGTGTGTATTCATGTGGGGGGGCACGCCGCGTCGGCGCCGTCACTCCCCGGTGGCGGTGTCACGACGGTGGTTACGGCCCCCGACGGAGCTGCTCCACCGCGGCGGCACCACAGGAGCAACCCGGTTACCAAACTTGTGTATCTCGTCAGCAGTCAGGCTTGTTAAAAAAAATTACGAATTACCGTGCTGCTTGGCAAGAGCACTCCAGATTTACAACAAAAAAACGGGACGCCGGGTGAGTGCATACGATGGGGTTGGGGGCCGTCCATAAATGACGTCACGCACCTAGAGGGGGAGGCGGGGTCAGACATTTGTGACGATGTGTGACGAGGGGGGGAGGGGGTTGAGAAATGTGACGTCACATCAAAATGCGTAACTTTAAATAAATATAGACAACACGTTCTACTTAATTAGACTTTTTAATGTTTTCTCCTACATCAGAGTGCAGCGCCACATTAAATACACACTGCAATGACAATAGATTAAAGCGATTTTAAGCATATTTTATTTTTTAAATGCAAATGATTTTTTTTTTGGGGGGGGGGCAGAGCTTTGTGACGTCATATTTGAGGTTGGGGGTCTGACTTTTTGTAACGCCGTGTGACGAGGTGGTGAGGTGGGGGGGGCAAAAATCGTCCAAAATCGCATGACGTCATTTATGGAAAGGCCCCTTGGGGTTAAAATCGTTAAAATTTTTGGAGGGGCGGTAAAAGGCTCTTAACGCATCTGTGCGTGAAATGTCTTTTTGTGTTGTGGGGGAGCGGTGGCGTCGTGGTCACGTGGCACGGCCCTTTGCAGCGGGCGAAGTGGCGTGCCACGACCTTCGTGGTCTCGACAGGAGACGAGCCCACACGCAACAAAGGGGCAATGAGGCCGAGACAAAAGCCAACGCCGTTCGTCAATGCCGCTGTGTGCGGTCCTAACACTGTGTAAAAATTAGCGACGTTTCTATTCAATGCCCCCCAACCGGACTTTTTTTCATGTTGATTTATGTGCGATCGAGAAGGGCTATGGCACGAAACGTCGCCGTTTAAAGCCGCAGTATTATTGACGAATGGGTTTTGAGTTGTTTTTTTGTTGTTGTCGACAAGAGGATCATTAATACTGTACAGTACTGGGTGGTCCAGATGTCTCGTGACCCCCAATTAATCGACCCCCTCACATTTTTTGTTCCTTTATTAATTTTTGTTTTAAATAACCCTTTAGAAAATATATTAAGTTTTATAGAGTTGAATGGGGGGGGGGGGGGTCACAAGACGTCTGGACCATTCTGTACAGTGTAGGGGTCGAGCGAGTCGTGACGTCACCACATTAACCCGACTCGGCGTGACGTCATCGCGTGAGGCAGGACCCCCGTCGCACCCCTCTCAAACGCGCCCCTTACCAAGATGTCCGCCTTGTAGTAGCCCGCTCAACATTTGAATAATAACATCGGCAACGCTGCCACGGCCCGATGCTTTAACAGCGACCAGTAATTATTATCACACAACGTCGCCATGACATTGAAATATTTATAAACTGAAGAAACAACGTTTTTGCGGGGCTCCTTGCCGCACGCTTTCTGCAGGCACCACGCCCGTAGCCACCCCGCCCCGCGAGGACCCCCGGACGCACGTGGATCTGTGCCCTTGGTTCCCGGCTCAAACTGCCCGGCCCAGCGACACGGACTCCAACACGAGGCCTCCTCGCCCGGCCATGGACTTCACTGGCGATTTCGGCGACGTCGCCGGTGCTGCAGGCGGCAAGGTGGACACCGGCATGCTCATGGAGCAAGTGAAAGTTCAGATCGCTCTGGCGAACGCTCAGGAACTCTTGCAGGTGAAGGCCTGTTAAGCCTCGATCGTGTGAAGTACAGTAATATCATGGGACCTCTGGCAATAAAACAGGTGGCACGATGTTCAAACACCAAATATAAACCTTTCGCATGCAGTCAAGTCTGCATTCACCACACACAGCACTTTGTGGTGAACATGCAAACACACGCGCTTCTGATCGTAATATACCTTCTCTTTGAAACTGATTGTCCCACACCATGTTTCTGCATGGCGTACAGAGCATGTGTTTTGCACGTATGTTTGAACTTCTTTCGCGCCGTACGTAGCTAACCGTGCTAATCGGAGGTGCCGCGTAACGGTACGCGGCACGTTCCAGTCTTGCGTTGACAGCAGGAGCTGAATACCAAACGTTAAGGGTCTTGCTAGCGACGGCCGGGGAGTGTTGTTTTACCATTCCTCCGTTGAGTGAGCGCAGACTGAGGGGTCCGTTTAAAGACCACCACGTTATGTAAGGTTATCTATTAAACTATTGTAGACCTAAATTCAAGTGAAACGTCTAAAGCCAGCGGTAAGCGATGGGTTTTTTGTTGGTCAGGATGTGATCAATGCTTGTGTTATTTTCAAAAACAAATCTACGTAAACACGACAATTTCGTCGGGTGGTGGAGGGTTCAATGACATTCCTAACCCCAAAAAAGTAGATGCAGATGGAGACGTTTGGTGATTTAAATGGAATCGCGCGATCACGACGGACGTTGTCGCGTCGATTTCAAGAAGTTTCTGATTCTGTGCGTGCGGTAATCTGCCACGATGACTGCCGCATTGCCTACGAATGTCACCATGCAAATGAGTGACAGAATATTTGCCTGCAACGTTCATATTCGTGGCTACCATGCCCATCGTTTGTACTGTCCGTATTGCCGCATCTGTACCGCGTGTACGGTATTGTTGCACGTTATCTATTGTACTGTCCAAAGCTGATGTTATATTGTCGGCGAGAAGTATCAGAATCTTTATGCTGGAGAAATCCGATGAGCTACAAAGCTCTTTTTCACAGATATCTAGTAATTATTCACTCTTCACGGTCCATCTTGCGATACGATACGATTCCATTAAATGACACTATTCAGGGTAACAATTCGAGTCGATTATTATTTTTGGTTTCGTTTGTACTGCCAATTCTGTTCAACCCGTCACATTCGTAAGTAGCTGGCTGGCCGGTCTCGTGTGTACTGTTTATATGTGCCGTATGTCGATTGTACTGGCTGGGTCGTCTTTAATCCATCCGTACTGCCTCGTTTTGCCTACAGCATACTGTCTCCTTTGTCATGTTGTGCACTTTCTGCAAACGTGTCTGTGCTGTTCACGTCTCTCCATTGTCTGCAAAATCTGTCTTTTATACAGATTGTGCGTAATTTTACTGTACAGTGCTGTCGTTTACACTAATCGATTCTCACAATCATGGGTAATCTCTGATTTCGGTGAACGTAATCGATCTGTTAGTCATTACATCGCTCACCGGAGTGTGCTGTAAATCAGACGCAATGGCTGGACGTGCAGTTGGGAGTTGCTTTTGCCTAAGTGCTTCCTCCCATCACTAGATGTCATCTTGTGCCACTGCAGTCCATTGTGATGGCCACGGATTTGGGGGGGTTCTCCTGCTCGTGAGATTGTAAGGTTAAATACTGGTCAGGGTCCACTTGTTCCATCAGCATCATCATCGTCATTATAATATTACTGTTGTCTCTTCGGTGAGTCCGACTGTAAGTTGCACCATTTGGTGAGAAATCAGTAGTCGTCGTTGCCATATTCAGCAGAACCAAGTTCAGTTTTCCCTAAATATTGAAGTGTTCTGCAGAGCTCTGTTGTAGTATGGTCATACCCAGATTTACGTCTCCCCCTTTTACGTCGTTCCGCAAATACGTCGTCACTTTATTAATTCCGCTATTCGATTTGCTTCGCCTCAACCCCACACTCACGTCGCTGACTGCATCATCCTTCTTTTCACGTATCCGTCGCCTCTCGGCGTTCACCTCCTCAATCACTTTGATTCACGTCGTTTCGATATTCATTGTCGCACTTTTCAGGAACGCATCCCCGTCTTAAACCGGGGTATTACTGTACCACTCTTGATTTGAAGCTTTCGTGACTGCAGGAATCCATACTCTTTGGTTCTTTCGGTAAAGTCACGTAGGTTTCACACCTGATGACGGTTGCTTGTGTTGCGATCGAAACTGTCGTGATCGATCATTTTTTCTACCTACGTGACTTTACCGAAAGAACCAAACAGTATGTACCACTCTTGTTTAATGTAAATACATGAAGCCACTGGGGAGGTAATAAGGAAGCATGGGCAACATTTTCAACAACGTACAAATGACAACACAGCTCAAGATGGTCTTTTCAGGCATCACAGGGGCATTATTACAAGGGCAGTGGAAAAATAACTGATGTCTCTTCTTGCTCGTGAAGAGCCTGGCTGAGATTCAACACGGACAAAGTAGAGGGTTATTGGCCGTTGATGTAGCACTGCAAGAGTATTGCAAGGAGTTGGGATGTGGCGGATGAGGGTTTATTCCTAGAGAGCTGCCTTCAAAGTGTTAATCGGAGAGATGCGGTTGTCTGGAGCAGTCGTTTTTAACTTCAGCGCTAATCCACAAAGTACAATTTTTTCTCAGAAGACCTTGACATAGTCATTCGTACACTTGTTTCATCCAAAGTAGACTCTTAAAGCTCACTCCTACCTACTAGGATTGCCTTTATCTCTTATTTATACACTTCAGCTGGTTCAGAATGCAGTACCTCACTGCTATGGGGGTATTTATTGCCGAGAACGAGTTGCATCAGTTTTTCGTGAACTACATTGGCTGCTGGTGGCTTACCAAACTTGTATAATCTAATTCATAATTTCTAATGCCCTAAATGTCTTGGGACTCTCCTACCTTCTGAGTGAAAGGAAAAACACTAGTACTCGGCACCAGTTGTGACAGGTCTTGCTCTAACCTCAATTGGTGTTAGGAAACAATTAAAATGTACTTTTCTCTTAACCCAATTGATCAGCTACAGGGTGTACGTCTCAGAAGTAAGAAGTGTTATTATGTAACTGACGTCAGGTGCTTTGAGACCAATGAAAAGACAACTCGCATGTAATTGTTTTTTAATTACTCATCTCGTATCTATTTACAGAGGATGACAGACAAATGCTTTAAGAAGTGCATCAGCAAACCCGGGACGTCCCTCGACAATTCCGAACAGGTTTGAACCCTCTACTCTTTGTTTTTTTCGGTAAAGTCACGTAGAAATAATAAAAAATAAAATTATATAATAGCATACGACGTTTCAATTGCAACACAAGCAATCATCATCAGGTACAGAAAGGCTAAATTTAAGAGATAGAGGAAACACATGACCGCAGATATATATACAGACCCTAAGTAGAGGGAATTAACACAGACACACCAGGGGACACAGAGAGAGACAGAGGAGCACACTAAATCAAACAGGGTTTAGCAAAATTTGGAAACTATATAAAGCAACACAGACGGTCGGTTAAAACACAATGAACGCATGGTCTGGTTGATTACGCTATTTCAAAGATTGCTAAATTGTAAGTTAAGTGTGAAATTTAAGAGTGATAGAACACAGACCGCAAAGAGACATGTGGGGAGAGACACGCACACAGTGAAGAAGTGAAGCAGCATCTCTGTGCCGAAGCCTTAAATAGACAGAGACGACGGGGCTGGGACTCAGAGACAATGGGACACAAATTAGCATGAAGAGAGCACATATCAAAGGACGGTGCGGGTAGAGGGCATGAGTTGTCACACAGGGGGCTGCGGAGGAAGTCGCATGCGCACACTCGGAGACACCAAGGCACACACAGGCAGAGACAACACAGCGATACAAACCCAAGTCAAGGCACAAAGGCAGATACACCAGCAGAGACAACACAAAGACACAGACTTCATACCTCCCCGTAGAGGTGGTTCGAACTTGATTAGGTGCTTTCGTGACTGCAGGAATTACTCTTTGGTTTTTTCGGTAAAGTCACGTAGAAATAATAAAAAATAAAATTATATAATAGCATACGACGTTTCGATTGCAACACAAGCAATCATCATCAGGTACAGAAGAGCTAAATTTAAGAGAGAGAGGAAACACATAACCGCAGATATATATACAGACCCTAAGTAGAGGGAATTAACACAGACACACCAGGGGACACAGAGAGAGACGGAGGAGCACACTAAATCAAACCATGGTGCTTTGATTCCCACCTCCTGCCTTGATGCAGTCTCAACTTTAAATTAGTTCAACCTTTCTCATATATTACAAACTTAACACTGAAATCCTTCTCAACGACAAACAATCCCTTTTTTCAATAAGGAATACAGCTGGAGCGTTGCATGTCCACAAAACCAAATCACGCTGGCAAAGGTCATCTGTCACCTTAGACTCATCAATATTCCCCAGCTTTTGTCTGTATTTCTCAATGCTACGGGCTCTCCTAGGTCCATCTCTTTTTTCCCCTGGTTGTCTTGTACAACGGTTTTGAATTAGGGTTGCATGTGCACATTAACATGTACAGCCCTATTTTTTATGGACCGCTGCACGAGGACCTCGCTACGCCATGCAGGCCATAGGAGTTATTTAACCACAGGTTACATTGGTCGGTGCAGGTTGGTGAAAACAGGAAGCATAGAAGTGGGTGCATTGAACAGTACAACAAAAGATTTTGCTACATTGCCCTCAACTACCCACAACGGAGTTGCATGTTAACATTACACGTATTGAAACTGCATTTGGAAATTTCGATCGGAGTGACCGACTGTGTGCGACTGCTGCTGTCATTGCAGAAGTGCGTAGCGATGTGCATGGATCGCTACATGGACGCGTGGAACACGGTGTCCCGGGCATACGGCACGAGGCTACAGCACGAGCACGCAAACATGTGAATCGTTAAGACACAGGTGGCGAATATGAGGACTACTCTGGCATTGGGGGGGGAGGGGGAACACGGAAACTTTACATTGGGCTCTTTTTATATATATAAAAAAGTTTCCTCTGTTTCAATGTTACTCATATGCTATATATGAAGTATAAGTTGTTTCAAAATATTTTTGATCAATGAAACAAATTCTGCATGGTCAACACGAGCAAGATCACACAGAATGTGTGATCCATCCGCATTCAGTTGGCTGACCCTGTTTCAGTGTGGGGTACACAAGTTCATTGAATAAATGAAATGTTTTCGGTGTACTTGTCTTTAAAACTATATGGGCATCTCGAATGCATCATGTTTCTATGGTAGTAAATGGTTTTGCATGTGTGACATGGATGCAACAGATTCTGAAGTTAAAATAATTATGAATCTGCCAAAGTAACTATTAAAGCCAGAATGTAAATTATTCTTTCATTAGGGGTTAAGTTGTGGTGTCTTGCGTAAAAATTGTCTTCTTTAAAGAAAAAGCTGAGAAAATGTAACAGGGACATCTTGTGGATGTTAAATTTATTGTGTACTTAACATCGATTTAGCTTATTATTTTACCTCGTATAGTTTTTGAGCTTGTGTACCGAACCTGAAGCTATGCTGCCTCATCGGGTGTAGTTAGGGTACATCCTTTATAATTTAATATTCATATGATTGGAATCTGGGTTCAAATTTGACTGACATACAGGGTTGTATAATTAAATCAGCTTTCACTGCACGATATAGCTTTGAAAACGTAAACACCTTATTATATCATCCAATGTTCTAATGCTATGGAATATTACAAAACACTTGAAATTATATAGATATTTTACCATTGTCACATTTATTGTGGTCCAGTCTGGGTTCTCTAACTTATGAATCTCGTCATCGTATTGTCAAACAAGTTAAGATCTGTAGATTTGAAAAGCTGAACCTGATGTGGCCTAAATACCTGTTGTTCGAGAAGCCTTTTTGCATGTACTGCGATGTTAATAAACGAGATACAATGCCGATTCTTTGCTCTGGAATTGTCTGGTAATTAAAGAACGGTGCATGTACTTTCGAGATTGTATAATTACCACCTGCGGGGTTGTGCTACGCAAGTGGTCAGCAGAGGGCAGTGCAGAAAAATCCCTTGTGCTTGCATGTCACTTCTCTCTGCCTGCATAAACCGCAATGACCAACGTGAGTGAAGTGTGGTCAAATAAACTCCCGCGACCCACAATGCGTGGGGAGGCCCTCATACTTGAGTCGGTTACACAGTACAGCAAAAATTGTAAATTACCGCAATGGTCTCGGCTACTATGTTGTGATGCAGAAACCCAGCAGTGTAATGGATAACAGCGATTCATCAATAACTAATGGTGTGTATTTTACTGTTTCTTCAGGAAGTAAGATGTGAAGAAAATAACATGAGAAACTAGCAGTATTTAGTAAAAACGTACAATTAGCGTAGACCGTGTTATGTAATATTGTGTTGCTGTATCGTGGAAACCCTAATGCAGTAGACCGTGGAGGGGAAAACATTACTTGAAAGTTGGCATTTTTTTTACGCTAACACCTCCGACAGGAAATACAATACTATACAGTGTCTTCGGGTAATTGCATGAGGTATTATTTTAATGCATTACTTAAGCATATGCATTGCTTGGAATTTCACATGTTGCAAGTTTTTTCGCTTTTTAAAACGTATGTGTACACAACTTTAAAAATGAATTGCCTATGCTGTTCTGTATTGTAAAATATCAGCCATCAATGGTGTTTGTGGTGTAAGGGTGAAATGGTTATAGCTCGACTTGAGTGCCATGGTAAAGTCATGTGGTGCTATGTCTTGCAGGGTGCGGAATATGCCCTTTGGTCATGAACGTGATGCGATGCAAAATAGGTTCAGAAGTTATGCTCTTGAATAAAAGTGCAAGATTAATCTACTCAATGCCAAACTCTTTTACCCGTGCCGGTGTCCTGTATTGTGCAAAACAACTCTTTTCAGTTGTCTTAGTTACAAAGTATCGTTATTACAGTATTATCATTCATGGCTCTTTGTATTTTTTATCGAGTTTCCTATTTTAAGTAGATGATATTACTCTACTTGAATGAGCATCCGAACGAAATTTGGAAACAAAGATATATATACAATGTAATTTTATTGAGTGAGTGTATTTGTTACAAAGGTATATTTTTTCTTTATTCATCCAAAAACGTTTGATTCCACAGCACTAAACCCAGTGATTTTAATTCCCCAACCGTTTTGTAAAACTACTGCCCTTTGCAGGAGGCGTTATGGACGTTAGACTTTTATCTGGTTGGAGCCATTCTACACAGGAGAAGAACCATTGCTAACTTCCCACAAAATACTGGTGTCCATTTTCTTGACCTCAACACGATGTAACTGACTCAATACCCCAACTATTTTTGTGATTATCAACATGTATAATTTGAGTACAACGTTTCACTGGTGATTACAACCAGCTGCATCACCAGCGAAACGCACATTGTAAATGTGGGTTTACTCTCCAACACAACTGTGCTGAAGTAGTAACTAATTGGCACGTTTTGTTTCCATGACAAACCTTACTAATTGGCTGCGTCGGTGGCGGGTTAACGACATTCATATTTACGCGATCTAACCCAAAAATACGTTTATGGATAAGATATTGGTCGCGAAAGCCTACGTGTTAAACTATGAAAAAAATGTCAGTGCTATTATATTATCCACGATAATATTTTTTTCCCCCAAAGTTAATTGCAGTACTGATTGCTGTTAAAACTTTATTTGAACTTGATTTGAAGTGATTCCTGTTACGCATACATTTATTTAGCTACTTCCTCCACATTCTGCCCTGGGACTGATGCCTGCTCCTTCCCACGCTCCCTGCAATAGTGGTGCCCCTTTCCCACCCTCACATTTTCCGCGGACAAGAGTTTTAGTTTATTTGCAAACACCGTAACAAACATCGCCAAAACGAAAAAAACGTCACGGTGCAAAACTTGCGTCGTCAAAAACTGGATGGGAATCCGACGAAAAATTCCACAAAAAACCGACACATTTCGGAAAATTCTGGCAAAGAAAAAAAAACCCACCGTGGATTTCGGCGTGACGGCTTCACCGCCGCCCTTTCCTCTCCATGCGCTCGCCCAACCTCCCCCCCCGCCCAATGCCAGGCAACAGCGGCCGCCGGCGCAGGCGATGGGCGCGGCCTGAGCGAGGGCACGGCACGCGCTGCGGCCCCTGCGACCAACAGGTGAGAGGGGAAGGGGGGTGAGAGGGGAAGGGGGGGTGGTTGCCCGCCTCCACCGCCACCACCCGTTTCAGGGGTAGACGCGAACGTCGGGACGTCTCCTTCGCACCGGTAGGGTTGAAAAAGAAGGTACCCTTCGCATCGTTCATTTAATTATTATTTTTTAAAATAATAATAAAAAAAAACTCTCCCTTCCCCTCACGCCACCCACCCACCCCCTTCCTTTCTCTGGGCTCAGGGAAATGGAGACGCAGCGCGGGCTGACCGGCGCCATGTTACAGTGGGCGCTCGTGAGGCGCGGAGCCTTTTCTGTTGTTTAAATGTTGGATTTCCTCCTCTTGTTGTTGTTGTTGTGATCGTCGGAGGTTTACGCGGAGGGGGGCATAGGGAGGTTTTTGCTTTTGAGGGAATTACGCGCGTTAAGGTAAGGTTTTATTTAGCGTTTTTGTGATTTTTTTTGTATGGCCGGCGTTTGAGAAAATGTGTGGTCAGGTTGAAGGCCTTGCTTAGGCCCCGTGCGCTTTTGTTTTCGTTTAAAGGTTACATTTAGTTTTTTTTAAACGGTACTGGCTTAAGCTATGCAAAATGTACCCCGGAACATTAAGTAACTTGTTGTCATGAACGTTCGAAGTTGCGTGAACGAGCGAAGTAAATACAATCAAGGGTGTTTTCGTGTCACCCCTGTTATGTAAACAAGCCAAGCGTTAATCGTTGTACAGTACCCTTACAAAGACGGTGAAATGCATCTGCGTACGAAACAAACTTTTAATTCCTTTTGCTTTCCCACCACGTTTACGTACGTTTTAAAGAAAAACTAGACGCGTATGTTATGCATGTGATAGGCCCGATTGTTAAACAATACAGCACCACTTTCTATTTACAAATGCTGTATGTGTATATACATGCCGTAAAGGTGACGCGAAGGCCCCCTTATAAGTCGATTGAATGAAATAAAGTTTAACTTTTTAACTGGGCCGAAATTAACGAAGGCAAATTGAACGTTTAACAATGTGTAGTCCTTTATGGACTGATAATCTGGTAAGTGGCGATGGTAATCTTAACCGTGGACCGATATGCGGACACATTATGTTAGGCAATTGGCATTGATTGTCTTTCACGCGCGTGGCGAATGTTGACTGCAGACATTTACCGTATTCTGCTCGGTGTGGATGTGACAAACTGATCCATTGTTTTGACGATTAAGCGAATCCTTGAAAACTATCGTCGGAAAGCCACTTATTAAGATGCACATGATGTTTATATAGAACTAAATTACAGACATTCTCAATTAACGAGTGGATGAGAGCCACCCGATGCCCTGACGGTTTATTTATCCTTCGTTCACGCCAGTCCGTGTGGGTTGGTAAACGCGTGGAAATTTAAGAACCGGTTCATGATATCACTTTTTTGTTGATGTTCGCGTGACTTGGAATCGAACTCGGATCGCGAGGTTCAAAGCGCCCCCCCCCTCCACTAACCACTGTGCATTCGTGCCCCCACCCATACATATCTTATTGTTTTTGTTTTGTTGTCGGTGGTGAAACAAACTCTTATATATCTAATAATCATTTTGTTTGTGTGTCTTTTTGTCTGTAGCCAGACGCAATGTCGGCACCTGGAGATCAGGCCATGGGTGGGACCCCCCACCCAGGCCTCTCTCCAGGGCCCGGCCCGTCCCCCGGCACCATGATGGGTCCCAGCCCTGGCACCATGCTGGGCCACAGCCCTGGCCAGATGGTGGGGCCCAGTCCTGGTGGGGCCATGATGGGACCTTCACCGGGGCCCATAATGGGGCCCAGCCCAGGACCTGGGCCCTCGCCCGGCTCCATGCACGGAATGATGGGCCCAAGCCCCGGACCACCACCCAGTGGGCACCCCATGGGCATGCCAGGCGCTGCGGGCTACCCACCGGAAAGCATGTACCCCATGCACAAGGTGTGATGCTTATATTGGTCAATTTGAACGTTCGTTGTTTTCATAATTCATGTTAAGGCACTTTGGGTCTTGAAGGTTGTTTTGTAGGCATGTAACAATATGTTAATTTAGATTTTTAAGTATGCATCAAATTGTGCGCGTGAGAAGTGTGTATGGTTGTATATTACTAATGCACAGCACCTTTGATTCCGCTGCTGGATTGTTATATGAAAATTCATCTTTAGGTTATTGTCACTTGAGAACATTAGAATAAGACTTTACAAACCAGATAAACACACTGGAGAAAAAAATTGATTATTTAAACAAATTTATTGTACTGTGGAAGACAGGAGATTTAATAATTACATTTAAAATATCTTGTCACTGCCTAAGATGCTGGTACTCCTACATTAAATATTAATGTTTCTACACCATCTGGACTTCCATCCTTTATGTACTTAATCGTAGCGTTTTGTTCCTATGCACTTCATATGATGTGTTTTAGAGTACGTTTAACTCCTGTTATGCTATATTTATACATTCCTGTATGTAAATGTTTGTATTTATCTTCTGTTTGCGTTTGACACGCAGTCAATGGAATCCATGCAGGACAAAGGCATGGTGGACGATCCGCGCTACGGGCCGATGCGCCCGATGGGCATGAGGCCGACGATGTCGAGCCTGCCTCCACCGCACAGCCCCATGGATCAGCATTCCCAGGGTCAGCCTCACTTGGTCTCGCAGCCACTTAGCGCAACACTTACTGCAGGCATATCATATCTACGGAGTGTCCTCATAATAACTTGAGCAGGTATATTTTGGTGTCTCCTACATGTAATGGGGTAGTTTTTTGGGGGGTTCTTGAAAGAGTGGGGAGAAAAAAGGGAGGGAACATTTTTTTTGGAATGTCGCACGTGCGAAGCTCATTTGTGTATCGTCAGGCAAAGAGATTATCCCTTTTTTTGTTAGCTGCGTGCCACACTGCGCGAAAATGTCAAGTGCAAACAGTGCCAAAATAAAGCTGTGCATTTATCCCATTTACAATCTGTAAATGGGATAAATGTAGTCTTATTGGAAAAAATGGGATTTTGGTAAGAATATACCAGGACACATCACACCTTTGAATTAGCCCGTTGTTTTGAGGATACGCAGAATTACCGCTGATGTAATTGTTCCTTTGCAAATAATAGAAAGAAAGACATGTTTGACAGTTTGTGTATAGCTGGCATACAGACACATCAAGACTAACTGGGAAACACTAACAACGTGATATTTTGTCATTTGTATTGGTAATAACATAATGTTCACTTACAAGTAGACACATCCATCACCGTTTTATATGTATATGCCAAAACATACCACTACAATTGTAAAAAAGGAAAATATTTGCACATTGTTGATGTGCGAATAGATGAGATTTTAAATGTAGAAAGCTTTTACTAGACCAATCAGTAGGCTTACTCATACATGGTTATGGCTCTTATCAATACCCACATTCCCATGCCACTTGATAATCAAAGTCAATTCTGATTGGTGTGAGTGGCAATATTTTTCAGGGAATTATCTGTTCCCTACAGTGCCCTCCCACCAATTGTGACCAACTGAAAACCGGCAGTACATTAAAAACTCTTCACGTTCCATGGCGATTGGCGCAGGTTACCCGTCGCCACACCCATCTCCGATGAGCGGCGCCGAGCATGCCTCCAGCCCCATGCAAGGCGGCATCGCACCTCCGCCAGCCGCGGGTCCGTCTGGGACCCCCGACCCAACCCAGGGCGCCGTCGCAAGCAAGGGCACCTCGCCCTCCTTCAGCCCCCTCCAACTGCAGCAGCTGCGTGCTCAGATCCTGGCTTACAAGCTGCTTGCCCGGGGCCAACCCTTGCCCGAGAACCTGCAGCTGGCAGTCCAGGGCAAGCGGCCGCCGCCGGGACCACAGTCGTCCCACCAGGCACCCCCGCCCGGTCCTCAGAACCTCCCGCCGCAGTTCAGCCGTCCACACGGTGAGAGAGCAGTAGAGCTGCGCCGTGAAGTGTTAGCAAACGTGCATTAGCCGCTCGCATCCGTCTCTATGCACGGACAAATTTACATGCACGTGTACAAGGCACAAAAGAAACACAAAGGGAGAGACACGAGAAAAGTAGTGTAGAAATACATGAGGCAAGACATGGGGTGCTGGGGAAACGTAAGGAGAGATAGAAAAGGAAAGACATCGGAAAAGGCACCTTCACGTGAGGTGAGAGAAAGAGACAAGAGTAGAGACATGAGAGACTTGTGGGGAGATTTAACAGATGAGGATATGAGAGGAAACGTGAGAGGCACAGGTATTGAAATCTAGGATAGATAGACATCGGTTGAGAGACAAGAGGTACAAGTACAGTGGTACCCCGGAGATCGAACTTTATTCGTTCCAGAAGGCCATTCGAACACCGATTTTGTTCGAACACCGAATTAATTTTCCCCATAGGAATGAATGTAAATTACATTAATTGGTTCCAGACACAATAAATCTCTCATTATAAAGCATTTTTACACGAAGTTTACAGTAATTACATGCATAAAATCGTACAAAAAAAACAAGCGACACAATATATAAATGGAATAAATGAATAAATATTTGGAATAAATGAACATTGAACGTCACTTTACCTGTAGAAAGGAGAGTTGATTGCTTGAGTGGAAGGTGGTGAGGAGGTGGTGGTGTTATTGTTTGGAAGGGGAGTGCCCTTTGTCTGGGCAAGCGTCATGCACGCTGCTGGCCACACGCGTCTCAGCCGTGTACAGGTTCTTTCAAGTCGCGATTGCCCGTTCGACCTCCGAATTTCGTTCGGTTTTTGGGGCAAAAAATGTTGGGAAATATCGTTCGAACACCGATTTGGTCGAGTTCTGGTGCGTTCGATCTCCGAGGTTCTACTGTATGTATGTTGAACTTTTGCACAGTACGTAGCCAAACGTGCTAATTGGAGATGGTAAATCATAGTGGTGGATGCTAGTTGAATGTTTCCGTATGGTTTTCGCTGCATTGCTGAAAGAAAGTTGTACTTTATTATGCAGGTCATTACTATTTTCTCCTTGCTAATGTTTGGCGATGTCAGAATTTATTTCTTTTTTCATTTTGCAGCAATGGGTATTTCCCCAATGCCTGGAGGTGCAGTACAAGGGCCTATGTCCACTGGCAGTAGCAAACCGTGGTCTGAAGGTATTGTGATTCGTTTAACTTGCATCGCTTTGTAGCATCAAGTTAATGCTTGAGAATGTTACTTTTGATACATTGTCTGTACAGACTTAGCGTTTCTGTATTTTACTTGACAACGTAAATTTCACCTCTGGAATACCCCACATCCATTATCTCCTGTCCTAAGGCCTTCGTGATCCATGGCATCCACTCTTTATTGTGGTCTCACTGCCTCTCCGTTTTCCTCTTGCCATGTATGGGTGGTGGAGGCCATCGGCACGTGACTGCTGTCATGTTCTTGCACTCCTCCTCATGGGCCAAGACTGCTATGTTCTGTGGTGCTCGAAGCTCAATTTGTAAATTGCTGATTTGGATTCCCTTTTTTTATTCAATTCGAACATTAAAATACCTCTGGGTCCTGGTCTAACCTGCATGCAAAACGTACAGTTGGTGCACCTCAAAACAGCAATTATGCACGAGGAGTTTGAACTATACTACTAACGACTTTTGTTAATGCTCGCTTAAATGCATGAGTTGATAATAACGCAAACACTGCGTGTAATTCTTCGTTGAAGGTCCCTCGCTGAGTTCGGTGGTGTCGAGCAGCACGCCCCAACGCCACCCGACAGCCGGCCGACCCTCTCCTGCCCCACCACCCTCCGTGCCCCCGACATCTGTGCCGGGCGGAGTGCCGGGTACCCCACAGGGGCAGTCGGCCCCCCACCCACAGATGACGCCGCAGCCGTTAGGGCCCGGTCCAACGCCGCACGGACCGATGGCTACGCCGGGCCATGTTGGGTCGAGCGTGCCGCCTTTCCAGTTACGCCAGAACCTCATCACGCCCATCGCCAAGCCACAGGGCCTCGACCCTGTAGAAATCCTGCAGGAGAGGGAGTACAGGTAGAGCTTACGGACTGATGATGAGAGCGGCAGTACCTCAAATCTTTTGCATGGAATGGCTATGTTTTTTTCATATTTATTGGAAATTTATTCATATTTAATATGTATCATTTTCTATAATACTTTACTGTCACTTGTCATGACTTCCATCAAAAGAAAATCCATGAAACCTAGGACGTGCTATTCAAATTTTTTGCCATATTCTCACATTAAACTTGATACATTATTGTTTTGGGTATTTTATTTATACATTAACTGACTGTTTCTTTTACAGTTACATACTCACCGTACCAGCCTTCGGCAAGTTGTAAGGTCCTTGATTCTGACACTGAATGCAGACATTGTTAATTAAGTTTGTGGTGGGGGTACCTTGCGTGCAGGCTACAGGCTCGCATCGCCCACCGCATTGAGGAGCTAGAGAACCTGCCTGGGTCACTGCCGGGCGACCTGCGCAACAAGGCCACCATCGAGATCAAGGCGCTGCGCCTCCTCAACTTTCAGCGTCAGGTACCACCTGACGCACACTGGGTGATCCATTTAAGTAATCCACTAAACTAATGGGGAGAAATAAATAAATCCTCATCATCATGATCCATGGGCAGATAGCCCGTCGGTGTCCACTGCACATTTTGCCATTTGTTTCCACTTTTCTCTGTCTAGTGCCATTATGCTAAAAGTAGTGCACATCTCTCTGGCACCAATCTCTTTTATGTCACCAAGCCATTATCTGTCAAGTCCTCCTCTCTTTCTGCTTTCTTCAATTTTTCTGAACAAATGAATGCATTTTAATTTCCACCTGTCTCCTGTGATTCTGAAGACACTTGTTTACATATTTTAAAACTCCGCTGTAAGATATATAGAGCTGTCGAATTCACGACATTCAACCACCTGCTGAGAAAGAGGAGTGTCATTAGAGATGAGTAAATGTATCTAGAAATTCATCACCTGATATTATTCTGCATCTGAGGCTGTCCGAGTTGAAGTTTAGTTGGTAAAAATAATAAAAAAACGCTAAGTTATTTTGAACCACATGATTGTGGCACTAATGATAACGCTGTCATATCAGTTCCATGAGGTTTAATACAGGGGTGGAGAACCTCCGAGTCATAGGCCGGATATGGCTCACGACTTCCATTTTCTATGGTTCGTGGCCACATGAGGGCATAGCACTTTAATAAAACCCACAAATGATATTTATCTGTCACCACAAGCATCTTAGCCAAACGATTCAGGCACTGGTGGGGTGGGGGAATATTTACCATCTTTCAACAACTTCGTCTATAATGTTTCTGTACTCGGTTGCTTCTGTCACCACAAGGACCTCTTTCAGTGATAGAAATGACTAAGGTGGTGTGTGCTTAATTTGTTTCCCACCAAAGGAATTTCAAGGACTTGTTCAAACGCAAAAGGTTCCGCACCCCCCGGTTTAATAAAACGCCAACGCGGTGACGTCACTGAAGTTCGATGACGACGTTTTTTCTTCATTCCCAACAATGTCCTGGGGGGGGGGGGGGCTGGTGTGCAGCTACGGCAGGAGGTTGTTGCCTGCATGCGGCGCGACACGACGCTCGAGACGGCGCTCAACGCCAAGGCGTACAAGCGCAGCAAGCGGCAGACGCTGCGCGAGGCGCGCATCACCGAGAAGCTGGAGAAGCAGCAGAAGATCGAGCAGGAGCGCAAGCGCAAGCAGAAGCACCAGGTGCGGCACCCTCCAGCCCCCAAAGTCCCAAGGGCCGGCGTTGGATTCTCTCCCCCCCGAAGAGCTTCGTTGTAAATAGGACCGGTGGAACAAAAAAAATTGATTTCGTCAGGAGGAATGTATCGCAGCGTTGTCGCGGGTCAGAACAATGATGCCCAAAGTTAGTATTTACACGTGTACGTGTGTGTGTACCAATGTTTGGTAAATTTTGGGTAAAGTTGAGTAGTGTAGATGTAGGGGAATGGAAGCGTAGTATTACAATGGATTTTTCTCAAATTTTCTTTGCTAACAATGACATAATTTGTTTTATACACAGTCATCCAAGCACTATCTGACTCTGGTATGTAAAAACATGTAGATTAGTTTCGTAAGTAGAATTGTTAAACATTGGGGGTAGGTTATATCGGGCAGGTTGTGCATGATAGGGTAGGTGAGGTTTAGGCATAGAATCGTAATATTTATACTGGAGGAATCCAATGAGCTTGAAAGCTCTTTTTCACAGATGTCCAGTAGATGCATTCAAGAACGTTACAAGAACAATCAATGGAAAAACATGAAATTACTTTAAAATATACAAATACAACTAAATATTTTTTTTTATCTTACCAGGTAAAGCTCACGGGTATCAACTTATTTTTCAGAATTGACCTGGCCACAAATGATAGCGCAACAAGGTGGCCTATCATGTGGACATAGCAGCTAAATAATCTAAATAATCTCAATGAATGTTTCTCATAATCTCAATGCATAGAGGGAAGTAGTGCATATTAGTGAGGGTCCCAATAATAGTGGCTACTAGGCAGTGATGGGGGCACCCGTGTGCTCTGCTGTCCGCGAACATACTCGGCATCGAAATAAACTCGCGCACACGTTTGCTTGCCTTCTCCACACGCAGGAGTACCTGAATAGCATCCTGCAGCATGCCAAGGACTTCAAGGAGTTCCACCGAACGATGACGGCCAAGGTGCAGAAAGTGACTCGCGCCGTGGCCACGTACCACGCCAACACAGAGCGCGAGCAGAAGAAGGAGAATGAGCGAATCGAGAAGGAGCGCATGCGGCGCCTCATGGTCAGTGCTGCACTAACCCCTACACTTCCCTGTATAACTGCCCGCAAGGGGGGAGGAGCGTGTGGTTTTAAAGAGACGTGTACGTACAGGCAGAGCCTCGCGTATTCATAATAACACGGGTGGCCCTCTTGTAAGCCCCCTTGTCGGGCCACCGGTGGGTTTTTGAAAGCCGAGTGCTAAAATGCCGATTTTCGTGTCCGTTTCTCGGACACAAGGCCCAGGGCGAAACGGCTCCACCTCTACGGCCGTACCCAATTTGGGAATACCAGAAGGGGCTTTAAAAAAAATCTTTTTTTCCCTAATTAAAGCCTTTTGAGACCACAAATCTCTTTCAAGGGAGGACCTGGCTTTCAAAAACCAAACCAAGTACAAAGTAGGTACAGCAAACACAGTGCAACAATTGCAGAATATCAAAGGTGTTAAAAGCCACGAATGAATCCCTTATATTAATAATTTGCTTAGTACTAGAATTGCAGTTGATTGTTGGAGGGACTTATCCACACATCGGTTAACCCATTTTTTTGGGAGAACTAATTTCTTTCAATCTACTTTTTGTGTTTAGTTTGTTGTCCTTCCCCACACCTCTGATTAGCACGGTTGGCTACATATGGTGCGAAAGAAGTTCAATATACATACATTCCAGCAACCTACAGGGCCTCTATTTGCTGCTTGACCAGATACACTGCTGGACGCTGGATTTTGCATCGCCACGTGTAGGTGTCCGTGCACACAATTGACAGGGGGCTACATAGGTATCCAGCACTGTCGCATCGCATATCCTCTTCAACCCCCTCGCCTCCTCACCACCTCCGCTCCCCGCAATTACATCGCTGACCTGTTAGCAAAAAATACTGAAAATGTGACTGACGTTGGCGATGGGGCGTGCAGGCAGAAGATGAGGAAGGTTACAGGAATCTTATCGACCAGAAGAAGGACAAGCGTCTGGCGTACCTGCTGATGCAGACGGACGAGTACATTGGTAATCTCACGGACCTGGTGCGCGAGCACAAGATTCAGCAGGCTGCCCGTGAAAAGAAGAAAAAGAAGAAAAGGAAGAAGAAGGTCAGACACCATGCACACTCGAACATTTCTGTTGGGTCATTTTTACCATTGACCAAGAACTTTTTTTTGCAACAAAATAAGAGCCCAGTGTAAGGCACAGACCGCAGCAATTGGGTGGTAGCGTAGGGTTGGGGGGGGGGACAAAAACGTCTGTGAACAGAGGCCTGGCCTCAATACTCATGGGTCCATACATGGGGAGGAGATTGGGCTCACTGCCGCACATGTAGGGACTACCAGCGGGAGAATAAATTATTTTTTAATATTTAGTTCCATTCCGTGTTCACATCGGGTTCTCAACTATGGTCTATTTGTTTTTTTTATTTTCTTTATGCATATTAAATCTCTAATGGCTCTGAGAAGGTGCATCGCACCGAGTTTTGATAGGGGGCATATGAAAGGATTCCAGAAGTAGTTCTGTCATGTCGTCTTCTAATGGCTGTTCCCTAACATGGGCGTGATTCTTAAAACTGATTTCCGTGAGGTTTCAGACTGTACATTTCCTTGTTCTAGAACGTAGCAATGATTACACTGTTGGAAATGAATTGTGACAAAACAAACAAAGAACTCAATCTGAACATTTGATGAAGGAGTTTGGGTGCACACTTGCAAAACTTCATTCTTTCTCTACTGCACATAAGTTGGCTTTTTTTTACAAACAGTGCATTGATAGCTCTTTTGACATTTCAGAAGCAGGAGGAGAATGGAGAGAATTCTAATTCAGGGATGGGTCCGGATGGAGAGGTACGTGCCGATTGGTTACTACTTCAACAAACCGCTGTGTTTGAGAGTAAACCCACAACATTTACAATTTGAGGACGATGCTTCTCTGGTGATTACAGCCAGCTCCGTCAGGCAATCGACTGGGTGCATTTACCATAATTACATGCCGTCTGCTTCACAGTGGACGTTAAAGATCCCGTGGCTTTGTTTGGAAAAGAGCAGGCCATATCTACTGGAATCATGGTCCAAATGTGCCAAATTTGAATAATTACCCACCAATTGCCTCATTTGGCGAACACATAGTCATCAACGCCCCTGCTGAAAGACTACTGCAGACTATGTGAAACATGCTGCCTTTGTAATAGCCTTGTGCGATAAATGGTGCCCATACGAAAGGGGCTAATGATATGTTTTAAGGCACTTAATACGCAAATTATCCTGGTATTTCGAGGACGGACACAATGTGTGGCGTTTTTACCAATGCACTTTAATTCAGCCGTCCGTTAGTACGGCTCACCGGAGCAGCCAGCAGTGGAGCATATTTGTCTCGTTCTGATACCGTGTATTGTTTGTCACGTAGCCACTGGATGAGAGCAGTCAGATGAGCGACCTCCCGGTCAAGGTCATCCAGACGGAATCGGGCCGCATCCTCACAGGCCCGGAGGCCCCTAAGGCCAGCCAGCTGGACACCTGGCTTGAGATGAACCCTGGGTATTTTACGCATTGCACAAACTACCAACCCACCTGTCTGCAATGTAATTTTTCACGATACAATTCCACTATATGGCAATGACGACATTATTTTCCCCTAACTTGGTAATTGTGTTTCACAATTTGTGTGCATTGGTTTAGCGTTTTACTGTCATTCTAGTATGAATAATGAGGGATAAAGTTCTTCAGTTGCAGTTCATTTAACATAAGCTTTGCCATAAGTCGTATAATCTTTGCAAATTTATAATCTATCCTAATAATGTATGAGCTGTCGGCTACACAAAACTAAATAACGTGAAAATATGAAAATAATGAAGTCTTACAATTGTCATACTGTAAATTATTCTGCTAAAAGCGTTTTACAAAGTAACATTTAAATGGACAATCGCAATTTAGTAACTACTTTAAATATTTAATTAGTAACTTCATAAATTTTTCATGAGAAAATCAAATATTTAACAACAGTATAATGAGCATGATAAATTAAGTATTTATGGCAGCCAAATACTATAGAAGGATGTTGATTGTAAATGTGTAGGGAAACAATCGGAGGGCCTGGATAAAAAAACCATGCGACCACGGGGAGAACATAGAAACTCCAAATATACAGGCATCAGGGTCGGGATCGAAACCACAACCTCCTGCGTACCAGGCGAGGGAGTTAACATCTCTCCACCACGGCACGATCTATCATGCTCTCTGTGATGTACTCATTCTGTTGCTTAGACCGAGGGGGGTGGGGGTTCTTTAAGAAACTGTATCCCATTGTGTCAGCTGCAATGCTAGTTGATGGAACTGATTGTATCTCCAGTGTGCTCCCCATTACACCTCGGTAGCATCCCAGTTAATTGATCACTTGTTTGTAAAAAAAATGTTTCTAACATTTCGATTTTGATGTGCGCAGGTATGAAGTTGCCCCGAGGTCGGATAGCGAAGAGAGTAGCTCTGAAGAGGATGACACGGTAAAAGAGACCTCATGCACCGACATTTAGATTGGTTTAATGAGTAAAAGAATACTGATATTTTACAGCGCTTTCTCAATGCACTGCTGGATGACAGCTACCCCATGGTATGTCTATCATGGGGGCTGTTTGACCATACTTCACCATGCTGGACAATTCAGGTTGTAGAAGTTGGGGGGGGGGGTCCAGGACCGGTTTAGGACCAGTAACTTTCTGGTGTGCCCCTGCTGGACTAATATAAAATGAGATTCGGAACTCATTGGATTCTTCCAAGCTAAATGAAGATTCTGAATCTGAGATGACTTGATTTGAAGTTGGATCACCTGGTTCAAATGCACCACAGCCTTACTGAATTTCCATAAATATCCTCACAGATAGGCCATCTACTTGTTATACTGCCAACTGCTAACCAGTAGAAGTCCTCAAGGTTGTGTGATTTGGACGCATAATATTTTTTTCGCAGCCCACCAAAACCTAGTTCCAAATCTCGCGCGGCTGATTGTATTTCAGTTACATTGAAAGGGCAAATGCGAGCACAACCTGCATAAGAACCTTTTTACAAAACACACGCTGTACACTCTTCAGTAACAAAATTGTTTACACACTGACTGTTTAAATTATGGGCAATATAATAATAAAGAAATGTTATCTTTCAACTCATTAGAGTTGCATTTGTCCCATAAGCCTATGGGGCCCTTTTGCACCGGGGTTTTTTTTGCGGCTTTTTTTTCTCTTTAGCCTTTTGTGTTTGACGGCGTGTTTTATCGTGTTTATGTTTTAAGGAAGATGAGGATGAAGATTCGTCTCAGCAGCAGGCGCCTCCTCCCGGCGAGGAGACCACGAAGAAAGGAAAGCGGTTGCCAAACCCCGACACCGAGGACGTCTCTGAGGACGACGCAAAGAACATCATCGAGTAAGCTCCGGCGTTATGTTTTGCTCGCGCAATTAGTGACGAAGGTATTCGTCTGCCAAGTGTTTGTTTTTTGGTCACCGACAGCTGTGTGGACAAAACGCCATCAAGCGTGATGATGACTGCGACGACCCACTGAAGAGTTTGACAGACTCTACTGGGATAACTCATAACTGGTCTGACTTAAGAAGCATACGAAGATAATATTGAAATGTTGAGACTGGCATTGCCACTGAGGAAGACCAAGAATTATAAATGGCTCTTTGTCTATTTTAAAGTTGACAAGAATTCACTGATTATCTGGCATGATAATGTTGAGTGAGGAAAACTTTGTGTACCCATCACCAACATTTAATAACACATAGGGGATTATATTTTTCACATTTTTAGTCTACCAGACCATTAGATTCACTCGGTGAAATCTACACACTAAGACGTGTCTATAATATGCCATGGGTATTTGTCGGCTGACTAAATTCACACAGGTAGGCATGCCCTGGCAACCGTGCTCACTTGTTTTCTAAATTTAAAACTAATTTCTTGAGAACTGCTTTTTGTGTTTAGTTTTTTGGCCTTCCCCCCCCCCCCGCACCTCTGATTAGCACGGTTGACCTATGTACGGTGAGATAGAAGTTCAACATACTTACAAATAAAAATCTACTTTACATTTTTTATGAAAACGGTGGTGGTGGTGTTGGAGAGCAGTATTGTCGCGATTAGTGTGCTGCACTATAAACCCATAACCAAGGTCCGATTCTGCTGACGGTTAACATCAGTGACGATTATCTGAACCGGTCCTGGGCCTCCCCTTGGTCGATTCAGCCTCAAATGAGTACATGGTGCAGTGTGCGATCATCTCCACTTGGGAGACAAAGGTGGCTGGGCATGGTGCTGGCCACCCACTCCCTTGTGTACGGTGCATTCATAGGTGTGCTACTCCCTTAACAGCACTTGCCCCAAGATTCTGTTAAGACTATATGGGGGATCTTTGTCTTTGGAGGTGAAGAGTGATTCCACACGGTCTTTTGTCGTTGGACAGGCACGCCCGGCAGGATGTGGATGATGAGTACCGCAGGCAGGAGGTGAGCGGATCGCAGTCCTACTACACCATGGCCCACGCCGTCTCCGAGAGGGTGGAGTGCCAGTCGTCCCTGCTTGTCAACGGCTCCCTCAAGATGTACCAGGTCTGCATCTTACCTATTGCTCCTTCGTATGCTCTGAACCTTGTCCGTATAAAACTCTGTTCTTTTCGTTAAATGCACAGTGCTCTGTAAGTCCCACTACAAGGTGAGGGCCTTTTCATTACTGTCGAGGTCTTTGAGGTTATTATTTGTGAGCATGAAGTATAGTACAACAATGGATTTTTCTGCACTGCCCTCTTCTGTCGACAACGTAGACCCGCAGCCTATACTGTTCTTCTGTGCGTGGCGTTCGCTCTGTCCAAAGAACTGCGCAGGCTCAAGTTTGCTTAGCTTCTGAGATCCGATGAGATTGGGGGGTTGTATTCTGGGTGGATTGGGTTATAGGCGTTGTCTTATACTGGTAGGAACGAAGTTGTAAACTGAGTGTACCAGCCTGCAATAGATTAATGTGTCCGTCCGTCCATCCGTCCGTCCGTCCCCTTTCAATACTTTAACGAAGTGAAATCTCGTGCTGTTGGGTGTAAAATCAGCAATAGACAGCGCAGAGACTTTATATGTCTTATTGCACCCAACATTTGGAAGTCACATTTCTCATTTGCGAACTTCTACCAGCCCGCCCTGCAGGGACCTGTTATGCTACAACCGCGTGTTAAACTGCCCCCCCCTCCTTCCTGGCTACAGGTGCAAGGCCTCGAGTGGCTGGTGTCGCTCTACAACAACAACCTCAACGGCATCCTGGCTGACGAGATGGGGCTCGGCAAGACTATCCAGACCATAGCCCTCATCACCTACCTCATGGAGCACAAGCGACTCAATGGGCCCTTCCTCATCATCGTACCCCTCTCGTGAGATTCATCAATTATAACCAGCATTGGCTTAATTGTAAAGCTCAATGATTTATAATTTGGTCGTACTGCATTCTCCCGATTTGTAAGATGCTCCGGAAAATAAGACTCAACTCAGACTTTGCCGTCATTTTTAAATAAAGTTTAATTTTTACTTGGGGAAAATGTGCTCCTACAGAGAGCTATCTGCAAGCAGATGATTACGAATGTTTTTTTTTTTAAATATGGTGAGGTGTCGATTTAAAGCTTTCGTGACTGCAGGAATTCATCTTCTTGGTTCTTTCGGTAAAGTCACGTAGAATGGAAATAAAATAATAAAAATAAAACATAACCAAGAAGATGGTGAGGTGTCTTTTGGAAAATGATCCTCAACAGCTCGTGGTATCTTCTGTCCTCTGGGTGGTCATATATTGCTGTGGAGCAACTAAGATTCAAAGATGTTTTCCGGAAGACAATGTATAATCCGGATAAAAAAACAAATTCGTGACTCTTAAATTAAAATACAAGGGGAAAAAGTAATCTTTTAATTTGGAGTATATGGTAATAGTATTAATAATAATAATTCACAGCCATTTGTCAATCCACTGCTGGGTGAAGGCCTCTCCATGCTGTGTCAATCACAGGGTTTGTTTGGCAAAACATCACCATGCTGGTCAGTGTAGGTTGGTGAAGGAGGCATGGGGCAGGACCATTTCAGTTATTTTACCACTTGGCTGGGAAATTGAATTTGGGAAACTGGGTTCATGTTGCAGTGCACTAACCACTCCACTACCGCTCTAACCCCATAACATTTTTGGGAAGCTGTAAAATTATAATGGCCCATTGCTACTGATGGTCCATTGAGATTTGCTTTTGTGTATATGCAAATGACTTTGGTTCTTGCTCCACTTTTATATCTAAGTTATGCGTAGTATGTAATATCTTCAACTTTTCACTAGGCTGTAAATTGCACAAAGGTGATAATCTATTATGCATATCACACTAATGTGGCCTTTTTAATATATTTGACAATCTTTATATTTTTTTAACAGGACCTTGTCAAACTGGATGATGGAATTTGACAAATGGGGCCCATCCGTGGTGAAGATATCTTACAAGGTGGCTATTGCTGATGCAAAATATAGATAAAAGTAATATCACTGCCTGCTTCATATCAGACAAATGAGCTGTAGCGCGTTCATGCATGTAATGAGTGTGTGTACGTATGTTCTTGATAACGGTGGCAAAAATATTTGGATGTTCTCCAATCATTGTAGAGCCCATTGAGATGCATTTGTATTTTAAAAGGAGATCTGGAGAACAGCATAGACATGTTTTATTTTTATACTTGCAAATGCACAAAATATTAATAAAAAATATGCAAGAAGAGAAAAATAACAGTGAGTTCGCTGTTGACTTGCTATGAGGTGTTGGCCCATACAATGGGGTGTAATATTTCACAAGTTCCTGAACAAGAGGCAGAATTTTAAATGTGCTTTGCTCACAAAGTGCGCTCTGCGAATTCCTGCAGGGTTCTCCTATTGCGCGGCGAGCATTCATGCCACAGCTTCGCAGCGGAAAGTTCAACGTGCTGCTCACCACGTACGAGTACATCATCAAGGACAAGCACGTGCTGGCCAAGGTAGCCATCGCCTCGGAAATGTGCTGACACGGCCTGCTGTTACCTTTGCTCTTTTTTCCCAGTCGTATTCCATTCGCGTGTTGGGGTGGCCTCCACAAGCTTCCTCGGTGTGCCTGGCAAAAGCGACTTTGAATTATATCTTGCCAGGACTTTTCCCGGAACACTAGAAGAATATTTGTTCCGATTGTACCACGGCTACACACAAGAGACACGTGCTGCCCCCCCAAGGCTGCAACCGTAACAGTGCCACAATGTAGGCTTAGGACCAACTTGTCTCCTGTCGTTGTGTCCAAGCTATGAACACCTTTGTACCGGTGTGCCCACGCAGCTCCGCTGGAAGTACATGATTGTGGACGAAGGACACAGAATGAAGAACCACCACTGCAAGCTGACCCAGGTATATGAATTTTGGACACTTGTTACTTTAATGATGGACTGTGTTTTGTGGGATAACGTGTGTTCAGTCGTGCAGAAGCTTTAAGTTCCACTACACTTCAAATACAATCATTAGTACGTGTGGTATTTGCCCCATTCTTATCGTGCAAGGCTATCGTAATGGTGTGATGTTTCACATACAGGTATAGTCTGCATTAGTTTCTCAGTCGGGTGCAATACTTGATTTTATCCTTTGCGATAATTTTGTTATTAATTTACGCAAGCTTTTTACCGTGGCTCAGACACATGGCGTACCCATTTTTTTAATAACGCCACTGGATCTTCAGTGTCCTCAGTGAAAGTGTAAAGCATACGGTGTGCATTTTTTTTTGGTAAAGCACCCGATAGATTGACCAGGGTGGCTGGCTGGGCTCGAACCGTGATCCCCTGCCATCAAGTGGGCAAACGTGCTACTGCTCGGCCGTGTCTACTGATGGATTGACACTACGCGTGTCTTTCTTCCGTCTAGCCTAGGGGTTGGAAACCAAAATTATAAGACCCATTTTTTTTCGAATTCGGTAAATAAACTCAATACTTCAAGAGCCGAAATGCACTTGGTGAATACGAGACTGTGGTCCTTAATAAATAACGTCAGGAAGCAGTCCTTAAAGAGCCGTATGCAGCTCTGGAGCTGCAGGTTTGCCACCCCCTGGCTTAGCCTCCTCTTAACTCTTGATCCCCCCCCCTCTCCCGGTTCCTGACTCTCCGAACGTCGCGCAGGTGCTGAACACGCACTACATCGCGCCACGACGCCTTCTGCTCACGGGAACGCCGCTGCAGAACAAGCTGCCCGAGCTGTGGGCCCTGCTCAACTTCCTGCTGCCCACCATTTTCAAGAGCTGCAGCACCTTTGAGCAGTGGTTCAACGCCCCCTTTGCCTTGACGGGAGAAAAGGTTCGATTGTTCAGCTCTCTGTAGGCGGATTGAGTAGCTTGGTTTAACACGTAGGCTTTCGCGACCGATATCCAAAATATATATGACTAAGATTGACCCCCCTCTGGTGTTTGCACCTGAGGCTCACAGTGATGACATCGCCTCTACTATATGTAAGACCGAAACAGGAAGAAGACTTCACAATTCTGGCTGATCGCCTTATGAAGCCAGTTGTAATCGCCAGTGAAACGTCACACATGATTGTAAATGTGTGTTTACTCTCCCAACACACCGGTGTGCTAAAGGAGTAATTGATTGACACGTTTTGTTTACGTAACCATGCTAATTGGCTGTGTCGGGTGGTGGCGGATTTAACAACACATAATTATGCATTCTAACCCCCAAAAAAAGTCTTTATTAAGGACTGAGTAACGATTGTGCTTGTGGATTCGGGGCCAGATATGAACACGGCACACGTAGTCTCTGTATGGTTAGAGTAAAATGTTGGCAAAGGTCACACTTGTCCGATGTTTTTCATGACGTGCCAATGTAGCAAATAGAACCGATGGTCAAACGTCAACAAAATATATCTCAGCCAGTATGTGATTCTGGCCGATGGTCAAGTGTCATAGGAAGGTTACATAACTGCTGTGGTGGAAAGCAGTTGCCATTACTATACCTACTATAATCACCCAAGAATGTCTGTCCTTGACGCTTGTGACGTCACTCCACATCGACCAGCCCCCTCATTAATAATCATGAGCATGTGACGTCATACTCTTTGGTTCTATTCGGTAAAGTCACGTAGGTAAAAAAATAAAAATAAAATCACGACGTGATTTTTTTTTACCTACGTGATTTTACCGAATAGAACCAAAGAGTATGGATCCTTGCAGTCACAAAAGCTTTAAATCTACATGTGACGTCACTCCACGTGGAACACACTCCCACCCTCATTAATAATCATGAGCAGCTAACGCAACTCCACATCGAACAGCCCCCCTCATTAATAATCATTACTCAGGTGACGTCGCCCCCATGTGGTGTGATGTCACACCACATGGGGGGCCGAAGCGCCTCCTTCCTTCCTCGGCGCCATCTTACAACCCTCACTACAAAGGCAGAACCCTCGCGTCACGCGATCTCCGTAACGCTGTTGAGACATCAAAGTAAAAAGGACGTCATGATGAACGAGGGATTATAACCTTAAAATGAAATAGGTCTGTGTCACCGCGCCCTTACAAATTGCACACGAATGGATGCAATGAATATCACGTCTCTGCGCTTGCAAGTTTCAGATTTACTGCAATACACCCATCCTTGAACTGGCAAAAAGCTAGTTGATAATAATGGTTGTATTGTTGTCAGCAATTTTGGACAACTCATGTAATGCATTCTTTAAATACGTGTGGTATTCACAGGGTACTTCACAAATCGTCAATTAAAATCGATTCTTATGGTTGAAATATTATGCATTGAATTGTACATGTAAGAATCCGTTTTTATTTTTACAATACAGTGATACCTTGGATTGCGAGCATAATTCGTTCCGGAAACGTGCTCGTAATCCAAAGCACTCGTATATCAGATGATTCGTTCCACAACCCAAAAATACTGTATTCATATAAAAAATGATTAATACGAAATACCTTTTAATATTTTTATTATTTAAATTTAATATAAAGTAATCGAATGTATTAATTACATTTAATCGTGGCTGGTGTGAGGCAGACGAGAGGGAGGAGGAGGAGGGTTATTGTGTAGGATGACTTTCACTTGCAGTACAGTTACTAAAGAACAGTCACTACACTTGGACACAATACAAAAATGCTTTACGCACACACACGTGGTCACAACACTATACTGTAGTAAACAGTATACGCTCGCACGGATGTTGACTATGCGAGTGAGGCACGCCGACTGAGACCGAGCATGGGAGATGATTACCCACAATCCCGCAGCGAGAGAGAGAGAAGAACCATTTGCTCAGTTGTGATCATGTGACGCTCTGCAGACAAAGCGTGTACTGTACATACTGGTCGTATTGCAAGACATCGCTCGTTTATTAAATTATAATTTTTGCTCGTCTTGCAAAACACTCGCAGACCAAGTTACTCGCAATCCAAGGTTTCACTGTATTACCTTTAGGCTAATTGAACAAACTGAAAATCAAACAATATATGTACGAGAGAGACTATGATTAATAGAGCAAACTGCTAAAAATATATATTTTACCAGATTAGGCCCACTGAGCTATATTGCTCTTTTTCAGAAGCAACCTAGTCACAAATGGTAGGTCAACAGAGTAGCTTATCACGTGAAAATGTATAGCAACCAAATCTAAACGCACGTTGATTCTAAATGTGGAGGAGAAAACCAGGGAACCCGGAGAAGAATCCGCGCGACCACGGGGAGAACACGCAGTCTCCAAATATACAGCAGGCGTCAGGGTCGTCAGCATGGAATCCACGAACCCACAACCTCCTGCATATCAGGCGACAGTCATGGTGTGACCCAGTGAACCATTGGAAGCCTAGCATATACAGTAAAACCTTGGATTGCGAGCAACTTGGTCTGCGAGTGTTTTGCAAGACGAGCTAAAAATTTTTTATAAATATTAAATTGGTAAACGAGCGAGGGTCTTGCAAATACGAGTAGTACGTATAGACGCTTTGTCTGCCGAGCGTCACGTGATCACAACTGATATACGAGTGTTGGCGTCTTCTGGTCCAACACCAATGGAGACTAGGCTCTAAGAAAAGCTGTCTCGGGTGTGGACCAATCAAATTCAAGGACAGTGCATATTATTATCAGAGTTGTCTTTTTTGTTTGCATTTTGACTGCTTGTGTTGTGGTCATTGCAAACATGATGCCTTGAATAAAGGTGTCAGTTTTTGTGCCAGTTAAAAGGGTAAAACCTATTCCTATATCTTGTTTCTGGCAAAGGAGGTCTCATAATGTTAATGCTCACCCCGAGCCCTCAATACTCTGATAGTGCGCTGTTTTTGAGTTGTACGCCTTTTGGCGTCTTCTGGTCCAACACCAATGGAGACTAGGCTCTAAGAAAAGCTGTCTCGGGTGTGGACCAATCAAATTCAAGGACAGTGCATATTATTATCAGAGTTGTCTTTTTTGTTTGCATTTTGACTGCTTGTGTTGTGGTTATTGCAAACATGATGCCTTGAATAAAGGTGTCAGTTTTTGTGCCAGTTAAATGGGTAAAACCTATTCTTATATCTTGTTTCTGGCAAAGGAGGTCTCATAATGTTAATGCTCACCCCGAGCCCTCAATACTCTGATAGTGCGCTGTTTTTGAGTTGTACGCCTTTTGGCGTCTTCTGGTCCAACACCAATGGAGACTAGGCTCTAAGAAAAGCTGTCTCGGGTGTGGACCAATCAAATTCAAGGACAGTGCATATTATTATCAGAGTTGTCTTTTTTGTTTGCATTTTGACTGCTTGTGTTGTGGTTATTGCAAACATGATGCCTTGAATAAAGGTGTCAGTTTTTGTGCCAGTTAAAAGGGTAAAACCTATTCCTATATCTTGTTTCTGGCAAAGGAGGTCTCATAATGTTAATGCTCACCCCGAGCCCTCAATACTCTGATAGTGCGCTGTTTTTGAGTTGTACGCCTTTTGGCGTCTTCTGGTCCAACACCAATGGAGACTAGGCTCTAAGAAAAGCTGTCTCGGGTGTGGACCAATCAAATTCAAGGACAGTGCATATTATTATCAGAGTTGTCTTTTTTGTTTGCATTTTGACTGCTTGTGTTGTGGTCATTGCAAACATGATGCCTTGAATAAAGGTGTCAGTTTTTGTGCCAGTTAAAAGGGTAAAACCTATTCCTATACCTGATATACGAGTGCTTTGATATACGAATGCTTTGAATGACAAGCACGTTTCCGGAACGAATTATGCTCGCAATCCGAGGTTTTACTGTATAATGATGGTTTGGTAGTCTACCTGCTGGCAGACTGCCAAAAAGTGTTTGGAACCATGCGGAAAAATGCTACACCTGCGTTCTTGTCCCATCTCTATCATCTCTTGGGCTCTGCCTGTTGGCCGGGTTGATCTGCGGGTCGTCCTTTGATGGTTTGCGCGTGGCGTGTTGGCTGCACAACAGGTGGACCTCAACGAGGAGGAGACAATCCTCATCATCCGCCGTCTGCACAAGGTGCTGCGCCCCTTCCTCCTGCGCCGCCTCAAGAAGGAGGTCGAGTCCCAGCTGCCCGAGAAGGTAGTGCTCACACGGGGGCGGGCGACGCCGAGTCCAGAGTGGGCGCGCGGTACTAAACTAAACTTTTTTTTTACCAGGAAAGGCCCACTGAGCTATATATGGCTCTTTTTCAGAAGCGACCTGCGGGATGAGCGAGGAGAGGGGACCTACAGCGGGATGTTGGGTGGGGGGGGGGCTTGTACTTTGGGTATGCCATGGAGTACGGATCAGTTGTCAGTCCACCACTGAGTGAGGGCCACCACCACACCACGTGCGTTGGGGGGGGTGGGTTATTTGACCTTGCTTTACGCTGGCCTTTGTGGGTTTGTTAAAGCGGGGGTGGAGTTAGAGTTGGAGGCTTGAAGGATGGGCTTTGCCGCTTTGCCCTCTGCTGCCCAACAACATCATCTCACAGCACACCGTCACCCCTGTTTATAGAAATATACATGCTGGCACACACAAGGAGGATGCGGGTGCATCATTTTCAGATGAATGCAATAGAAGCCGAATTAAAATCAAATTCATAATTGCTTGTAGTCGTTTGCATTTATAATATGGATGAACGTTTATATCTTTTTCCCCGCGCACGGTATGTTAATGTTGGTGAAATACTCGCAAAGAATATCTGCTAGTGTGCGGTACTGCCTGTTGGAGATTTCTCGTAATGTTCATTTCACTGACCTATGACAAGATACAAAGTGTAATCAAATTCTCTCACGTGGCTCAAAGAGAACAAATTGTATTACCACTGATGTGATTTCTGGTTGTACCGTGTATTTTTCTGAATGACATCGTAAGTTTCGCTGCATGTGCCGGGAGCTTCTTCAGGAACTGCGAACTGTTTAGCGTGAAGTCCGACGATTCATTTTGCATGCTGGGAGCCTCTTCAGTATCTGTGGTTGCCGAGGAACACTGTAGTTCCTGAGGAAGCTACCAGAACGTGGAGCAAAACTATCAGATATGCTGAACAACACAGCACAAACTAAATTCGATTGAAAACGAATTTATTTAGAACTGCTAGTTGTGTTTTAATTTGTTGTCCTTCCCTCGCATCTCAGAATAGCACCGTTTGCTGCGTAATGGCGCGAAAGAAGTTCAACATACAAATAATGCATCGGGAGCTATACAGCGCAACTGTAAAAAAAACCTGCACCGTTCCGTTGTTCGTTTATTAAAACTGTGCGTTCCGGCAGGTGGAGTACGTGATCAAGTGCGACATGTCGGCGCTGCAGAAGGTGCTGTACCGACACATGCAGGCCAAGGGCGTGCTGCTCACCGATGGCTCAGAGAAGGACAAGAAGGTGCCACACCATTATTGCATGGGCGTACGGCACAGAAATCCCACCAACTTGCCTTCATCTCACAGTTTACCAAATCCCCACTTGTGTAAGCTGCAGAGTGTGTGCATGTTGCGGGTTGTTGTAGAGGTCCCCAAGACAGATTGAAATTTTACTTACCCCTGATGTCAGCTGTGACAGGGAATCAAACTCAGGTCGGCAAGGTCATTGCACAGTACTAGAACCACAGTGCCACCACACCGTCTGATAATAATTTACAGACCTTTTGTCAAATCACTGCCCGATAAAGACCACCCACATGTTGTGTAAATGATGGTGTTTGACCATATTTTGCGATCTTCTCAATGTATATTGATAAAGTGGGGACTTGGGGAGTGATACATCGATATTTCTCCAATTTGCACGTTGAATTGTGTGGCTGGAAGCAGTCGCTCGTATACCACTTTCCATTTTGAGACAAGGCTTGGTGTGCAGACCATTTAGAAATTGTAAAACTCCCAAACTTGCTGAACTGTGACCGTATTGTGTTCACATATGGATGAGTTTTCTTCGGTTGCTATGGTTTTCTCCACCATGAAGAACACTCGTGAAGGTCCTTGATCTAACATCTCCATAACGAGTCCTTTAGATTCAGTTCATGATTTCCTGGATAGAGGGCATTGTAGATATCACACTTGTACCAATTGCTTACCCCTTTGGACATCTTCTTTTCACCCACTCGTGATTGTTTAAGTCTCGACAAGGGCCGATGTTAGCACTAATAATTATATATAAAAAGATCTGTTAGGAAAACAATGAATTTATCAATAAAATTATAATATTGCTAGGATGATGCCAGTTCCCAGAGTTGAGGGTGCAGCATAGCAGTAGTCGCGTAACGAGGTTTGTTTTTGACCAGCAACACGTGTTACCCCTAACCTACAGGGCAAGGGTGGTGCCAAGACTCTGATGAACACCATCGTACAGCTGAGGAAGATTGCAAACCATCCTTACATGTTCCAGCACATCGAGGTGAGCGGGTCTGCTGCAAAAGAGACTCGGGGTTGTTGCTACGTTTAGTTTTGCTTTGTGGTTTTGCACTGGCACTCGTGTGCTTGTGTATATATCCCCCTTGGAATTGCCTGATTAATGATGTTTATGTCACTTTTAATGAAATACGCAATTAAAACATTGTTTATAATTTGCTGTTATTACCACTGCTATTGCCATAGTTCGTCGCAATTTGCCATGCGCATTCTGGGAAATTTACCTCTGCAGTTGCCTCAACTGAAGGGCCTTCATGCAGACTTTGGCGAGGGAGAAAAATATTCCAATCATTAATATTTTTCAGCAGGCTCTAGTGTTGATGATACTCAGTATTCATTTTAGTACAGAGTTTGTCACCTTCTTAAGCAAATAGTGAACTAAAACATTGGTCCAGAAGGCATTGTAGGCTGATGGAACAAAATCAAATAAATCGGGACGCATTGTTTTATCAAGGAGTTGGGAGGCGTGGAGAAAATGATCAAAGCTCCTTGTATGCAGCCTGAACCAGGTGAACCATGAACTGCTGCTTGAAGGTGTTTTCTTGGTAAAAGTAGACTTGTCTTATTTTTTTATTTAAAGCTTTCGTGGCTGCAGGGATTCATATTCTTGGTTCTTTCGGTAAAGTCACGTAGAAGGGAAACAATAAAATAATAAAAATATAAAACAATATAATTCTCACGACGTTTCGACTGCAACACAAGCAATCATCATCAGGTGTGAAAACCACAGCAAGAAAATTTGACCTTTTTTCAAATTTGACCTTTTTTCAAATTTTCTTGCTGTGGTTTTCACACCTGATGATGATTGCTTGTGTTGCAGTCGAAACGTCGTGAGAATTGTATTTTATATTTTTCTTATTTTATTGTTTCCCTTCTACGTGACTTTACCGAAAGAACAAAGAATATTCGTCTTATTTTCTTACCTGACCTTAAATCAATGTTTGGCTTCCGGTTGCTGAACGATTACATTTTAAGGCCGCATTCGTTGCACACAAAGTGTTTGCCACAAATGAACCACAATACCTCGCTGCTCTCATCAAAGAGTGTAAATTGTCGCGCAAAACTCTGGTCACCCTCGCAGCGGTGGGTTTTGGCTAACCATCGGGTTAGCTTTTTTAGATGCGCTTTTGCGGCAGTCTGGAATGCTCTTCCGATATTAGGAAGCCACTGGAGCTATACACTTTTAAATATAGATTGAAAACTTGTTTCTTTAGAACTGCTTTTCGTGTTTAGTTTGTTGTCCTTCCCCCGCACGTCCGATTAGCGTGGTTGGCTACGTACAGTGCAAAAGAAGTTCAACATACAATCTTTTAATTTAATTCATTCCTAATTAATCCATTGCTTAAACTGGCATTCAAAGTAATTGTACTTTTTCCATTCAATGGTTAAACGGCCTTGCAGGCTGCTTAATGAAAGCCAGGATGTTGATGTGGCGCCCCTGATGCGATTGATTAAAAATGTGCCACTGGTTCGCGGTAACTAGCAAGTCGTGCTCAGAGAGCACGTGCCACCATTGGATTTTAAACTCTTCCAGGAGCAAGTGTCTTGATTCGTGTCTTGAGAGGCAAATGAGTGACCGTGCTTTGGTGTGTGGGGCTGCAGGAGTCGTTTGCGGAACATCTTGGCTTCCCCAACAGCATCGTGCAAGGGTGAGAGTAATATTAACATTATTACGAGCTTAATATAGTTGCAATTTTAAATGTACCTATTTTGAGGTTATTATAAAGGTGCAAAGCATCGGAACTTTTTTGTTGTGGAAACATTTAGATTCAGTCGCACTGCGGTTTTGCGTGTTTTTTCCACTTGTACAACTTGGGAACATTGGGTGGTCCTGCTTGTGGATGCTTCCCAAAAGCACCCTGCACCGGTTCACTGTTTCGCATTCTTGAATGTCTGTCGGTGACTTACATTCAAGACAGAAACGGGACTTCTTCACAATTCTAGCTCATCGCCTGATGAAACCGGTTGTAATCAATCGCCAGCGAAACGTGCTCGAATTGTAAATATTGTGGGTTTACTCTCCAAACAATACCGGTGGTGCTGAAGTAGTCACTCATTGGCACATTTTGTTTACATCACAAACATTACTAATTTGCTGTGTTGGGTGGTGGTAGGTTTAATGACGCATTTATATTTACAGGATCTAACCCAAAAAACCTTTATTATGGACTTCATCTTAAGTGAACCAAAATGCTCGTGGATAAATGTATTGTCTCTAGCACACACATTCTTAAGTTGTGTGAAGGTACCTTACCACTGTTACGTAGCAGTTCGGCTTCCTCAGATTTCAATTGGTTGCACCTGGTCAAGGGGCATTTTGAAGTGACCATCTGTTCTATGTTGATGCTACTTTTGTGCTTACAAGGGCAGATGGGAAACTGATGTAATCGTCTCCACCCTAGCCGTCAGATTTGACTGTTCACGAGAGGGAGTTTTGTTAATCAACGGTGATCGAATGAGAGTTTTTATGACGTAGCTCTACATTTTATTTGAAAACATTTGCAAACAATTGAAAATGATGAGGTAGCAAAATTTTTGTTGAATTCCTTACATACGTTTACAGTGTTCCTACATTTTAAAGTTCTTGTTGAAAAACATTGGAAGTTAAACTTGTCTGGAGTTGACTCAACGCATCATAATGCCGAGGTTGACAAAATGAGCATCACTTTGTGGGAAACGACCAGCAGTGATCCTGGCGCCTACCATATAAATTCCACCATGAGCTCAAGCTTGGCAGAGATGACTACTGCCTATGACAGTGCCCGTTTGAGAGGCGTACACACTTTGATTTTGTTGGTGTGTTAGTTTGTTGCCCTTCCATTGCACCTCCTATAAGCACGGTTTGGCTACATATGGTGCGAAATAAGTTCAACGTACTTACGTACATTGACTTCGACTAACCAATGTCTTTATAAACTGGTTTCAGGGCTGACCTATTCCGCGCATCTGGGAAGTTCGAGCTACTGGACCGCATCCTGCCCAAGCTGAGAGTCAGCAACCACCGAGTGCTGCTTTTCTGCCAGATGACCTCCCTCATGACCATCATGGAGGACTACTTTGCCTTCCGCAGCTTTCGCTACCTGCGCCTTGATGGTGAGCCGTCTTCTACCTCGTGACAGATTTGCTTTGAGTGAATACACGCGTGATTTAAATTTATAACTGATGAGGTGCCATCGTAGTGGCGCCAATCTGTGCCACACACCCTCCCACATGGCCTTGTGGAAGCCTTGGAACCGATAAAGTTATTTTCGTTATTCTTTTGGTTCCATTACGAACGGAATCTGGATAAAAACTGATGTACATGTACGTCATCGGAACGGGAAAGGGTAAAGGACTACGGGCTGAAATAGCTACCGTGGTAATACAGGACAATGTCCATAGTGCGACAAAGTGCAACTGCATCTCAACACATTGTGCAGCAGTATTGTGTCTTGTCCCCCCGTCTTTCCACGTTCTTGCTTGTGGTTGGGGCTGTGTTGGGTAGGTTCACGTGTATGTCGCATCCCACTACCCCCCCCACCCACCATCTCCTCGTGTGCCCCCCCACTCTACCTTACATGACTACTGTGACTCGTGGAACACAACACTTCAACCATTATTTATCTGGTTGCACAATTCTCATTGTTATCCAGTTGAATCCATATGTAGTGGGTATGCAGTGCACCCATAAATATGAGCTAAAGAAAATGCTGCATGTAAGAATAATCATCCTTTTGGAAATATTAACGCTTTACGTATCAGACTGCTCTCAATTAGCGACCAGCTGCCAAAGCCACGTGGCCAAATAATTAAACTAAGCGGTCATTCAGCAACTGTAAGTCACAGTTGCTTCATCAGCGCATGTTTCAACGTTGAGCAGCGAGGGCATGTTGTGTCGTATATGCAACAGATGGGGACTTGATTTACCCACTCAGAAAAGTGACAGCAGCCCGAATGAGGGCAGTGTGAGAGCAGGTTCTACAATAATATTTAACTAAACTTATCCTTGACCGCTTCACTTGTCACCACCAAGGGAAGGTTATCGCTAGGGCCAAGGTCGGCTAGTTGTTGTTTGTCGAAGATTTTCTGTGTTGTAAGAAGCACATTTTTTTATGTAATAATCGAATCAACGGTCTAATGCTCATAATCCATGCATCTAATGGTGCATTCAAGAACCACCGTCAATGTATAAAAATTATATTTAAATGTTATTCGGCTTATTGAATTAATGACTGAGGAAATAAATATGAGATGGTACAGTAAAAACAATCTATACAATGTCCATAAAAAATGATGACCCTGGAATTGTGACAGATGAAATCATTACATTCTCTCATTTTATTACTATCATAAAGTTAAACCAAAGATTTTTATGGCATTTTTTTCAGTCTCTTTATAAGGGTTATAATTATATGTAAAGCTTCACGCTTAATAGCTTTATTGTCCACATGCATGAAATGTACAGCAATATAATTAGTTTTTTTGTTATCGTGCGTTTACTTTGAGTTTGATTCAATCACGGATCAAATCTATATTAATTGTTGAGTTATATTCCCATATGGTTGTAGCTCATTTACATCTTTTTTATATTATGCTTTTTGTATGACCTGGTTTGGATTTGTGGTCACGTCATTATATAGTATTACATTTGCACTGCAATGGAAATTAACAAAAAAATATTAAAAGTGTACTGTATATACTGAGAGAAACATCCTTAACCTTACCAGAGTTTTTTTGTTCAGTAGCTTTTACACACAGCTAGCAGCAGATCATGAAAGGCATTTCAGCTGGGTGCTTTGGCAGGAGGGGCTGGCACATGTGCATCAGAGGAGAGAGGGCGTTTGTCACCCTTTGACCAATGCAAAGTCCAAATGACGGGCCATGTGCTGCACCGTGAACCGCGTGCAACTGACTTGTGTTTGCGACTGCTAAATAACAACAGCTAGTTTATAGTTAACTAAACAAGACTAGTAAGCTCTAGAGAGTTTTTATTTTGGCATATATCGAGGTGTTTTTGACGAGTGCTGGTTTCCGTGTGAGCAAAGTGAGCTCTTTAAGCTATTTAGTAGATGTACCTTGGTCAGAGAGTCTACACCTTGGAGAAATGTGCTTTAATTGGCTCGGGAAGCCAGCCACCCTAGAGGCAACTCATTAGTGATCTTGACTTCAACTTGTATCAGCCTCTGAGTGCAATTACTGAATTTGGCAGGGGAGAAAAAATAATTTGCTTTTATGTCTGCGACAATAGGCGATGCCTAAATTGGAAAAGAGGCGTGTTTATCCTAGTTAGCTCTTCCTTGGTTATAAACCTAATCTAACTTTCGTTCGGACTGACATACATCATTGTATGATGTCATCGCATGGTTACTGTAAAACGTATTTGTTCACTTCATAAAGCATTGGTTGTAACCGATGCTTATTTACAATGAGCATGGTACAGTTTTATTAATTTAATATTCTGCACGGCTCTACATTGCATACTACCTGATATGACAGGTAGTATGCAATGTAGAAAAAATAATTTGAATTGCACCAAAAAAGTGTGGAAAGATGCTCGCCTGGAGTTAGATTGAGAGACAGAGTGGAACACGGATTACAGAACGTATGCTGGTTAAAAACATCGTAAACTGTTGAGAAAAGGAAGTGTGCCTGGGAAGGACACTTCATGAAGATTTGATAACCGATGGGGAACAGTAATGATGCACCTGCAGCCAAGGGATGGAATGCATCCAAGTGGATGTTCACCATGGAGATGGAGCGATACATCAGCTCCTGTCCAGTTGCTAGGGATTATTGCATCATGGCACCGTAACAGATTGTGGTGGCTTGGATGGGGAGGGCCTTAGACTCTGAAACTCAAGAACTATTAAAAACATGTATTTTACCAGGTAAGGCCCACTGAGCTATATAGCTCTTTTTCACAAGCGACCTGGCTACAAATGATAGCTCAACAAAGTGGCTTATGTGGAATTGCAGCCAAATTGTCTTAAACATTCGTTGATCCTAAATGTGGAGGGAATAACGAGAGTACCCTGAGAAAAATCCACATGACCACTAAGAGAGAGAGAGAGAGACACGCAAACTCCAAATATGCATCGGGGTCGTGATTGAACCGACGACCTCCTGCATACTAAGCGAGGTAGTTAACATTCCGCCACTTTGGCGTCTCTTCATCCAGCAGTGGATGATTGGATCACGGGATGGATGCTTGATGCTGATGCCGCTTGTCCACGCATTCCTGTGAAGGCACCACCAAGTCGGAAGATCGCAGCAACTTGCTGAAGACGTTCAACGAGCCCAACTCTCCCTACTTCATCTTCCTGTTGAGCACGCGTGCCGGAGGGCTGGGTCTCAACCTCCAGGCCGCAGACACTGTCATCATATTCGACTCCGACTGGAACCCCCATCAGGTGAGCGTCTGCCGAAGGAGCATTTCTGAGTCGCGTGGAGTAGGAGAGGACCGGCTAGCTAGTTGGGATGTTCACCAGAGGGGTGATGACCCTGATAAAAAAATATATCTATGTATACGGATAATATAAAACATTTTAAGTTATGCTATGAAATTGTATTTACTGTTTTATGTGCGTAGAATGGGCGTTAAAGGTGTCTAATGTCATTTCTTTATTTTGCAAATTGCTTGCAGTCACATGGGCATTGGGGGGACTTATCTGCGAATAGTTAGGAGCAGCTAGTAATTCAACCAAGCGTGTATGTGTGTAAAAGGTGTGAATGAGCATGGTTAATCTGCAACCCAGATATTATTCTTAGCCACAGTAAAACCGATAATAAAATAATCTTCTTGGCACAACAATGTCATCTGTGCTGTCATCGCATGACTGTATTATTAATCTGGCTGAAGGGGCATCTTAAAAGCTTTGTTTTATTTTCCGTACCCATTAATACGACTGTGCAGAGCACATATTCGGATAAAGTTGGAACACAAAAGCGCCCCTGCCTCACTGTTCGCACCTGATATATTTCAAACTCAACACGTACGTCAGTGAACACTTTGCCCACGAAGGAAAAAAATATGGGCAACATTTTGGTCAATTGCCTCCTCTCCAGAACAGAGAGAACTCTATAGTAAGAGAGAACCATCTGCTGTTAAGAAGGGCCATTGCCCACTTTTATATTTATTCCTTTTCGGGGAGTGTTGTTGGCACACGTGTTGTGTATTTATTATTTGTGTTCATGCACCATTGCCAAATGCAGTTTAACAAAAAAAATATTTGCTAGAATTGAAAGTAAAGTTGTCGGCTCGAATGACGATCCCCATCACTCACCGATTTGCTCCCCCCGACGGATTATTGAGCATTATCCGAATACGGAAGCAAGAGTCGCTCCCTTCGCAACCTCTCCCAACGCCTGACCTTCATGCCCGCTCACATTCCTCCAGGATCTGCAAGCGCAGGACCGTGCCCACCGCATCGGGCAGCAGAACGAGGTGCGCGTGCTGCGCCTCTGCACTGTAAACAGCGTGGAGGAGAAGATCCTGGCGGCCGCCAAGTACAAGCTCAACGTGGACCAGAAGGTCATTCAGGCCGGCATGTTCGACCAGAAGTCGTCCGGCCACGAGCGGAGGGCGTTCTTGCAGGCGGTGCTGGAGCACGAGGAGCAGAATGAGGTGCGAGGGGAGGCGGAGGGTGGGCGAGGGGTGGCCCCCGGGGCTTACTGTGCCTGGAGCCTACTTTTCTTAAGTCTTTTAACCCTGTGTGTGTGTGTTTTTTTTTCAAATCCGTTTGTAAAATTGTTGACTTTCTATTTGGTTTAATTGCAGTGGTTCCTAGCCTTTCTGGACCCTTGTTGGACCATTGGTATTCGCTCGGAAAAAAAACATCGGAGATCATCAGCATATATTTCAAAATTAAAGCTGCGTTAGAAGTTATGTAAAATATTAGTTGAAAAGCCATGCAAACCATTAACTTCCTTTTTATTGATTTATCTATATATTTGTACAATTTGCCATGTCGTTGTCATAGCTACAACATTTCCGAGGGGGGAAAAAATTGTGCCAACTGCAACAGTTCCAAAGGACAACTTACCATGGCGTTGATAATCACCAGTGGCCGATGGACCACAGTTTGGAGTACCAATGGTTTCGTGCATCATCATCATGAGCAGCATCAGCCTGGATCCGTCCAACGTTACATAAATAATAATTTTTACTTTTAACGTACACAATATTCGCTGACTGTCAGAAAAGGAACCACTCGAAGGCACAAGGAGCCACAGACAAGCGAAAAGGGTGACCAGGTGGTGAGCCTGTGCTAAAATTATCTTCCCAAGCTATGCAGTTCTCTCTATGAAGGTGTTATCAGCCAATTGATGAGGGATGTGTGGGGGAAGGTGCAAAATTTTCATCCCATACAGATGGAACAGGTGAAGTCCACATTTTACGTCACCGCCTTCTCGCGAGCCAGGGTTTTTTCACCTCCTCAACGCCCCCTACAGGAATGGAGTTTCACAAAATTTGTGCTGTGATCCACCAAACCCTCGTTGCCTCCACAGTGCTGGATTACAGGCATGCGCCACCACCGCACGGCCAAAAAACATGAAGGCTTGCCATAGCCGCCATCGCCATGTTTCACTGCCCTGCAATGCAGTGATCCACTTGCTCCGAAACTCGATCGATGTCCTCGAAGACACGTTTCATCACTTAGTTGCTACGCTGTCATCAATCCTTTCTATGTATCCTGGCCTTACCCACCTTTCTTAACGCTTTTAATTAATGTATGTAACCTGTGTGTGTTCTCTAATCCATTGGTTTACATTTCTCTAAATGTAATTCCAAACGTCCATCTCTCCATGTTCTTTTGCAAACTTTTAAATTGGTAATTTTGTTGTTAAAATGGCTTTCTGGGCTGGTTCACTACCGCCAAATGTAGATATGCTTTGTGGCATTGGGCTTATAGGAACGTGAGGCACTATACACAGCAATAGTCAAAAGCGTAAAGCAGGCAAAAAGTGAGATATGAAGTCCCAAAGCGTAGCGATGAAGCTCGAGCAGCAGCAGCAGGTTTCGGGTTAGGGTCGTCGAGACGGGGAGAGTGCTTTTGGCAGGATGGCCAATTTGTGGTTTTGGTTGTCGTTAGGAGGGGAAGCGCTAATGACTCTGGCTAATTGGGACTCATTAGGGTTAGTGCTTGTGGTTACATTTTCTGGTTGGTTAGGAGTTGGCTAGTATTTTGTTGCGTGCTTTGCCCACCAACTGTTTGCTGCCTCCCTCTTACCAGTTGCAATGTATCGTGTGTAGTTATCCCTAAAAGTTTTTTTGGGTTAGATCGCGTAAATACAAATGTGTCGTTAAACCCGCCACCACCCGACACAGGCAATTAGTAAGGTTTGTCATGTAAACAAAACATGCCAATACTAATTCAGCACACTGGTGTGTTGAAGAGTAAACCCATAACATATGGAATTTTCAATGTTTGGCCACTGTTTGGTTAGTGGTGTTGACAGTGCCACTTGAGTGATTTATATTGTCGGTGAGGTCTCTCTGCTCCAATGGAAGCTTTATTTTATTTTTCTTGCCTCCGGGGATCATACACTCCGGGAGGCGAAATCAGGAATGTAAATAGTGTTGGTGTGTGTCAGCCAAGTTCAAGTATTTTAGTCCTTTGTAGCAGGATTTTTGTAGAATTTTGTCGATGAATAATACGTCGAGAAATGATCTCATTAAGGTAACATTTTTTTTTAGACGAGAGTGCTGTTTTTCCTGCTCAAGGAATAAAACGGCACACCCTGCATAATTTTAACTGTTGATGTGAACGGAAAACACATTCTGGTCTCTCTGAAAAGCTAATCCAATTAATCAAAGGAACAACATCCCCCCTGTAAAAAGCAGGGAGAACAGCCCACTGAATATAAAACTAAAATCTGGTGGCGTGCTGCATTGAGGGCATTTAATTCTTAAATGGAGTAAATAATTTAAGTGCAGTGCGGTATATGACCGAGAATAAACATTAATCGTATTTTAAAGGTCTCCGCATTTCCGGGATTTTCTCAGCGAAAGGCAGTAGTCGGCACAGCAGGAGTGGTAATTCGGTGGGGAGGCTTTTTGTTGCGTTGGTCTCGCTTCACAAAGACTACAGGCGCTGCAGTCTCCCTCTGGCCGCACCGCTTAGTGAACCAGGAGGACCAAAATAAAACTGCATCGACCGTGGCCTCCCCGGGTAGGATGTGCTTGTCAAGAGAGAGATTTTATAAAAAAAATGTTTACCTTGAATTGACCTTGAAGAGAATCTGGGAAATGATTTTCAGCCCAGTGATTACTCTCACTCTCTGTAAGCTGTAATGAGCTGCTGCTGCTTTAAGCTGCTGTTATTGCATTTTGTAAGGATGGCAGTGGATGTTTTAATAATAATGGTGGTGGTGGTGCTGAATATGATGGCGGATGTAGGAGGAGGATGAGGTTCCGGACGATGAGACGGTCAATCAGATGATCGCCCGGAGTGAGGAGGAGTTCGAGATGTTCATGGTGAGATTCATCAAAGCTAACATTTGCGTCTCATTGCATCCACTTGTTTTTACAATGGGTAATCTTACACTTTCCTGGTAAATGTATGTTTGTTTACATTTAATAATTTCTAATTGGCTTCGTAACATAAGGATCGATGCCTGAACGTGTGTTATCCCATGGACCCCACAAAAACCAGATGCTAACCATCTGACAGCTCCTAATATAAAAAGAGCAATTATAAATTGGTGAACTGTAATGCTATTTGCGTTAGATCATTTAACTCTCCACTGTGTGACAGCTGTACTTGGATGTTTTGTTCTCAAACACTCATTGGGGATCAACCCTCTTGAGTACCATGTGTCGCACACAATACTGCCATTGTGGTCATACATGCCACATAGTGCATGGAGATTGGATGATTTGTTTGTATTGGTAAAAAGCAATACATGTTTTTTTATGGCAATTAATTATGGTAATATTTTTTTCTGAAATGTACATCATGTAATGGCCAAAGTAATCATCCACTCAATCAAATGTGTAGCTATGCTCAACTCGTGTATAAACCGGTGAACAACAACTGTGAACGTTCCACTAAGCGGTCCTCTAATATTATCCCTACAGGAGTGATAGTCTGAGTAGACCTCCCTAACCAAGCTTTGAACACGCAAGACTCCCATTAGCCTCATCTTATATCTTTAGGTTAATGGAATAAACGTGAGCGAGCACACGAGATGACAAACAAGCCAGATTACTAGCGGCGATAAAGTACGAATTGTTACCAACGATGCGCTGACCCAGAGTGCGACCGGCACTTGCGTCCCACCCGTACAAACACGTTGCACCCTCTTCGTTTCTCCCATTTGCCCTCTACAATCGTCATCGCCTCCACCGCCATGGTCGTCTTTGCGGACCCCGCTCGCTCGCTCGCTCGCCAGCGCATGGACCTGGACCGGCGGCGGGAGGACGCACGCAACCCCCGGCGCCGGCCGCGCCTCATGGAGGAGGACGAGCTGCCCAACTGGATCATCAAGGACGACGCGGAGGTGGAGCGGCTGACCTGTGAGGACGAGGAGGAGAAGCTGTTCGGCCGTGGCTCCCGGCAGCGCAAGGAGGTCGATTATAGCGACTCGCTCACCGAGAAGCAGTGGCTCAAGGTATGATCGGCTCGCGTAGGGTTTTTCCCGCGGTTGTACATTGCGGCTCTCCGATGCGTTTTTGTCGTTGTGCGACCCCCGCGCGTTGTTCGGCACGATGTCCGATGTCGCCGTAATGAGCGGTATGATCCAAAAACACATGGAGAGAGCTCAATGTACGCCAAGTCCTCACTTAACGCGTGCTGTTTACACACGGCGCGTTCTCCCATAAGGGGACACTTTTCGCACAACGCGGAACGCACGCCGTTCTAACGTGTCTTTTTGAGCGGTCGACAACGAACTACTTTCTTGAGCCGGGCGGAAGGATACAGTACGTGGAATGTTACAGTAACGCCGCGGCGTACGCTCAGTTATTTGTCCCGCCATCTCGCTGTGTGTGCGTGAATGGTATCTCGCCAAACTTTTATCGATACATTATTTATGGGGAAATTGTTTCTGCTGAACGTGGAAATTTTCAGGAACGCAGCTTCCGCATTCAACGAAGACTTCCTGTCATAGTTTACATTTGAGCACGTTATGATTCGTCGATTTGTTGATTAAAATTGCTCGCTATGCTCTCAATGTTCGTTTCACCAATCTTGCGCGTTAAGATCCGATTGGAGCAGAAGAGATGGGTAACGTAAGAGGTAACAAATGAGCCAGACACTATAAATAAGACGGCAAATTCGACGTATATATCTTTTTATTTGATTCATGATGTTTCGTTACATTCCTGGGGGGGGGTAATCATTGGTTGACAAATGTTTATATATATGTGCGGTCGTCTTTATGCAAGCTCCTAATCGTACAAAATTGAGTGAATGTTGACGAACGTGGTCTCCATTACATGAGGAATTAACAAGAGACGATGATTGGTTGTGTTGCAATCGAAACGTCGTATGCTGTTATTTAATTATTTTTCCTTTCTACGTGACTTTACCGAAAGAACCAAAGAGAGACGATAATGACAATGTGAGGGGATCAGTGGACTTTGACCTACTAAGAATACAAATGTATGAAACGCATGGATTTAACCGTTTTCAAAAATAATTGTTGGCACACCTTAGTGTCACATTATTTAATTAATCGCCACATTGACATTTATAAATTAGCATATACGTGTCCCATATTGCATATTTTTCCGATCCTGAGGCCAGGCATCCATCTAGTTTTAATTAGAATTATTTACCCTGGTGAAGCTCAGAGTCTCAACACCGCTTTGCAGGATGGTCCTGCCTGGGATGTTTGACCGTGTCATTTTTATGAGAGCACGGCATTTTCCATTTGCCATCGCGTTTGTGTGTGTTCCCCATTGTCGTATTCCTCCTTTGGATATCGTGGAAAAGAATGTGTGCCATTTGCATGCTGTCAACGTTAGTTATATCACGCGCCTGCACGTGGATTTTGCAGCCTCCGCCGTTTGTCAAGCCTCCAACAGAAATTTAACATTCTGAATAATGCAGCTTAATGCAGGAATCTGGAAGTTACAAGGGGTTTGACGTTTTTTTTCATAGTACAGTGCTTGTGTTAATGGTATATTTGCATTAATTTACCATGCCAGAGGTGCATTTGCTTATGGAACAAAGAACTTGAATGTTGATTAATTTTTCATGTTTACCATCTCCGCAGGAGGTATTAGCATGCATGCGATATTTCATGTTTCCATGCCGTGTGTCCATAATCTTTCAGCAGCGCCGAGGTATCTCCAGGTTCCTTTTGTTCGAGAAGCATTTAATGAATGTGGATTAAATACAATTTTAACAAAAGCACATTCTGGTAACCAAAAAAAAAATACCATGCCACAGAAATTATTCTGCGGAATATCTTTTGCGTTGATGTGGTTTTTATTATATATATCCTGCCTCATTGGAGTATCGCTGAGCTTTGTGTGCTATAAATATAACACTAAACTGCATGCCCGGCATTGCATATTGCCGTGCACTATTTGACTAATTGTGTACAGTGCCTTTTTAATAAAAAAAAAATCCTGCTCGCTGCAATATGGCTCTCCTCAAGCAGCCTGCCTCTTGCCATCTCGGCACGCATGACTATGAAGCCATGGACCAACGCTGCCCCAAGTTAGCCGTTTCTAAATTACAAATGAGCAGCCGGCAATGAATGCGCGACGGAAAAATTAATTTAGCCCGATTTCTGCGGACTGTGCCAGATGTGAGAGCCCCCCCTCCATGAGCCTCGTTCGTGTCATCCGGTCGGGGGCAAACGATCACCTGCAGAAGGCCGGCCGGCCGGCCTCTGCCCTCCGATCCTAATTGTTGGCGGTCATCGCGTGGCACCCCCCTCCTTCACAGGCGATCGAGGAGGGCAACTTGGACCTGCTGGAGGAGGAAGTGCGCATGAAGAAGGCACGCAAGCGGAAGCGCGATCCTGACACGCCGGGGCCGAGCCGCGAGCGTGTGGGGGCGGCCCCCGAGCCGGAGGAGAAGGCGAAGAAGAAACGCGGCCGCCCCCCCGTGGAGAAGCCCGTGCCCAACCCGCCCGCCCTCACACGCAAGATGAAGCGTATCATCGACACTGTCATCAAGTACCGCGACAGGTTGGTTATGCCCCCTCTCATGAGTTTCGGCTGCTGGCGCAGTGTGATGTTAGCCGCGTGTGTGTGTGTGTGTGTATAGCGATTCATATTTAACGTGCTATGAATAAGGGCTTTCGCCCCAAATCGTCACCTATTATTATACACTGTTAATTTTTAAGGCAGTGTTATCGACGAATGAGTTTCTCACATATAAGGTAATGAGTGTGAAACGTTGTTTTTTTGTTTTGCCAAAAGAGCGATACTCTGTGCACCTCTTGACATGGCTCTTAAACGTGACGTGTCGCAAAGAAATAAACGGCACGATCGGGATGATAAAGAAACCAATTCCATGGGGAATGTTGGGTTGTATGCTGTTGCTTCGACTACACACATGGACCATATGATGCACACTCATGGATCATGATTATTAAGTAAAAATTAATGTATAAGCCCGAATCCACTGCTGGATAAAGGCCTGCCCATGCCTTAATGTCATCGGGATTATATTCTTAGTTCTTTCGGTAAAGGCACGTTGAAGGGAAACAACAAAATAATAAAATGTATAAAACAATAAAAATATATATTTTATTATTTTGTTGTTTCCCTTCAACGTGACTTTACCGAAAGAACTAAGAATATGAATTACTGCAGTCACGAAAGCTTTAAATCAAAAGTCATCGGGATTGTTTAACCTTTCTTGTATAATAGATGTTTTTGGGGTTAGATCGCGTAAATATATGTCGTTAAACCCACCACCACCCGACACAGCCAACTAGTAAGGGTTGTCACGTAAACAGAACATGCCAATTCGTCACTAGTACAGCACACCGCTGTGTTGGAGAGCCAAGCCACAATATTTACAATCTGAGTACGACGTCTCGCCAGTAATTACAACTAGCTTCCTCAGGCGACTGCCAGATTTGTGGAGAAGGCCTCCTGTTTCGTTCCTTATATAGAGGCGTAGATGTGGTGACCACACGTCTGCGCTCTTGAGTCAACGTACATTATGCATGCGCATTATGCGAGCCCTTTGATCTTGTCCTTCCTGTCCATTGTGTGTATTAAAATAACCGTAGCAACGGTAATCCCTGTATCGGCATGCATTTAAACAATATATTATTTGATGATTCGCTTCCACGCAACACTTAAGTCGGTAGCTATCCAAACGGTTAAAATTATTTTTTGCAATTTCGATAGATTCTCTAATTAGTCTTGGCCAGTAGTAGCTAGTTTTGCACAGAACGTCAACATTATCAAAATCAATTGAGTGTCCTTGTTTCCACACGTGTTCTGCTACTGCTGCCAATTGTATTTGGGAGTATTTAATGTTTCTCTGATGTTCTTTTAGTCTCATGCTGATCATTCGTCCTGTTTGCCCAACATAGCATTCGCCACAAGTGCAGTTAATCCTGTAAACAACTTAATACATCTTTTGTACCAGATGTAAAATTCTGTATTTTATGTGCCGTGGCAAATCTGACTCGGATGTTTTGTTTTTCCAAACATCTGGCTAGTTTATAAGTTACTCCCGCAATGGATGTTATTTTGATCGTTTTCATTACTTGGGCAGTTTCAATGCTCGTATTATTTGATTCGGTTTTGGCATTCAATACCCTGTTGATTTGTGCATCATTGTAACCGTTCATTTGCAGCGCTTCTTTAACATGTTTAATTTCACTTCTCAGACTGTCACCATCTGACACTTTCTTAGCTCGATGAATAAGCATCTTGATAAGAGCAGATTTCTGTGCGGGGTGATGGTGTGACTGGATTCAGATAGGCTTCAGTATGCGTTTTCTTTCGGTAAACGCTGTGTGTTATTTTACTATTTCGACCCCGTCCGAGCATTATATCCAGAAATGGTTGACACACCAGTGTGCTGTACTAGTGATGAATTGGCCACGTTCTGTTTACGTGACAACCCTTACTAGTTGGCTGCGTCGGGTGGTGGCGGGTTTTAACGACACATATATTTACACGATCTAACCCCAAAAAACCTCTTATGGATGATATTGGTCGCAAAAAGCCTCCGTGTTAAACTGACCTTACTTGTGTTTAGTTGGTTGTCCTTCCCCCTGCACCTCTGATTAGCACGGTTGGTAAACGTACTGTGCGAAATAAGTTCTACATACATATGTGCGTGCGTGTATTTTCTCTTGTGTACCCGTGCGCAGCTGTGGCCGACAGCTGAGCGACGTGTTCATCCAGCTGCCATCGCGGAAGGAGCTTCCAGAGTACTATGAACTCATCCGCCGCCCTGTGGACTTCAACAAGATCAAGGCGAGACATCGCAACAACCGCACCCTCGGCAAAATTAGTGGGGACGGCATTCAAAGTATTGCATTTATATATATATATAGGTATGTACGTATGTTGAACTTTCTTTCGCACTATACGTAAGCCAACCGTGCTAATCGGAGGCGCAAAAGGTATAGCCCTGCAATTTGGCCTACTCTTGCACTGGCCAGACGTCTCAGAAGACGTGGGGGTACCCACACTTAATCCCACCACGTACGACATACAGATCGACTGTGGTGTACGTATTTATACTGCTGGATGTTTAGACACTTGCCCATTGTTACCACTGTCATGAGACTGACTGGAACTGGTGATCACTGGATTGCAAGTCCAGTGTGTGCTAACCATTACAACAGGGCAGCATCCATTTTTCTTGAACTTTTATATACTCGAATTTAAGTGATTTTTTTGCACCATGATTATATGGAAGAAAAATGCTGCATTTAATAGTATTTTGTAACTACTGAACAGCGGCTGCTATCTACCATCAGATACATGTATTCTAATGTATTGATAGGCTATACAGTTCAAACACGACCTTATTCAATGAACCAGCCAATGTATTGTTAGGCTATACAGTTCAAAAACGACCTTATTCAATGAACCAGCAACACATTTGTCTGGCTGGCACCTGACAATCTGATCTGACACATTCCACTCTTTTAATGTACGAAGGAAGCCATGCATTTTGATTCTAGGAGGCAGATTCACATATCGACAAAACAACTGAAACACCGTTGCCTTGGCCCTTTTGCCCCATTATTGGTTGGCGTTGGAGGCATCGGCATATTTTTGCCAAAAATCGGAAATATTCCACCAGTCGCATTGGGTTAATGTTTGTTTCACACAACTACCTGCCGTAATTGAATTGGCAAGTACAATTGTATTTTTTGCTTTGTCTTATTGTTATTATACTCTTTGGTTCTTTCGGTAAAGTCACGTAGGTATAAAATAAATCGCGACGTTTAGGGCGCAACACAAGCGTCCGTCATCAGGTGGGGAAGCGATGGTCTGCTGCTGAGGCAGACTGTTTTACAAGGTTTGAAATGGGTGTAGCCCAAGGGTCATAAATAAGTGGCCGAGGCAAGTGATGTTAATGTGAGAAATTAGCATGACGTTAATGTGAGAGATTAGCGTGTAACTGTAAGATAGGAGGAGAGCGGCCTCCTAAACGAGGGCATGGAAGTGGCTATGTTAATGTGAGAGATTAGCATGCTGTTAATGTGAGAAATTAGCATTATGTTAATGTGAGCGATTAGCGTTATGTTAATGTGAGAAATTAGCAGGTAACTGTAGAAAAGGAGGAGAGCGGCCTCCTCGATGAGGGAGTGCAACCCAACGGGTGCAATCCAAAGAGCACGTGAGCATGAGAGTGCAATCCAAAGGGCATGTGAGCATGAGAGTGCAATCCAAAGGGCCTGTGAGCATGAGAGATCTAAGAGAGAGGCATAGAGAGAGAGAGAGACAGAGAGTCGGAAAAAAACAGCTGTCTTAGGCAGATAGGATGGAAACATCACAGTCAGTTAAGACTTTACCTGGTTAATAACGTCCTTATTGGTATTGTTTGTGACTCTTGGCCGGCTACGGTATCTTCCAGGAGCGGATCCGAATCCACAAGTACCGAAGCATGGACGACCTGGAGAAAGATGTGATGCTGCTTTGTCACAATGCACAGACTTTCAACCTGGAGGGTTCCCTGGTAGGAGATCTCGCGTAACCACACACGCTCACCATATCTGCTTGCTAGTCCTACTGCTGATGTTGCTGTTGCTGCCGATTCATGCTTGTCCAATTAAACCTCCGGCACAGTGGAGAGAGAATTACAAGTCACGATCAATCTGCCTTGCTCCTTTTATTGCCCGTAAGAGTTATAGGTGAGAACCCGAGGGAGCCGAGTGCGACGATTTGAACAAATAATGGTTCACAATGACGGTTTTTTACTTGTCTAATACCGGACTTAACTGAAGCAAAGTATGCATTGTTGAACTTCTTTCGCACCGATTTAAAGCTTTCGTGACTGCAGGGATTCATCTTCTTGGTTCTTTCTGTAAAGTCACGTAGAATGGAAGTAAAATAATACAAATAAAACATAATAAAATAAAATTCTCACGAGCTTAAAAGACGCTGCCAAGCTTAGCAGTGTTCATTGAAGCGCTGTCGTCCCGACAGTTCTGTTCCTTCACCTGACGAAGGCTACTTGTGTTGTGGCCGAAACGTCGTGAGAATTTTATTTTATTATGTTTTATTTTCATTATTTTATTTCCATTCTACGTGACTTTACCGAAAGAACCAAGAAGATTATTTTGCACCGTATGTAGCCAACCGTGATAATCGGACGAGATTCAAAATGTATTACAATAGTGCAGAGGATGTGGCATTTTTTTCCAAGTATAGTTTTTGTTTTGCAAAATGCAATTCCATCAGAGCCTTGAAAGGAAAAGTATATAATAGTTGACATTTCGAGCAATGGACCTTCTTCAGAGCGCATGCCTAGAGAGGACGGATAAATAGAGTGACTAAGAATTGTAGCCTGTACTATTCACCATGCGGCCGGATTAAAATTTATTTTTTTATGTTTCAAAAATAAACTTTTTAAAAATGTCGAATCATGTTCCATGGTGTAAAGAGCAGTCTCCAACTCATATCCACTCTCTGGCCTCTTATGTGCTATGAAGAAATGACCATTTCCCTTCTTGTTAGAAGTTCATTGCCCAACGTCACCTACTTTCTAACTTTCCTGTTAAGGCAGTCTTGACGAATGTGCACCACTGCCAACGCAGTTATCGCCAAATCATGTGTTTTAATCCCATCAAAGGCCTTGTTGATTTTTTGTATTATAATCCTTGTACGTTTCAAAAGATTATGAGCTAAACATTTTAGTGTTGCACAACTCTCCTGAGAGAGAAAAAAAACGTTATTGTTATTATTTTGATGTTCATCACATTAAAAAGGTATTTTCCAAACATCCCAACGTAGGGAGCCATCCCTGAAAAAGAGACTTACATGAGGCTTTGGTCGATAGATATTGTACATGTACAGCTCTTGTCAATCCACTGTTGAATGAGAGACACCCCACACCCCGCTATTTGTTATAAGTCTTATTTCCCCATACTTCACGCTGGTCAGTGGGCATTGGTGAAAGAATATTCCTTATTATTTACGGGAAAAAAAAAACATGCCGTGTGCTCGTGCTCAGCAGGTGCTTGACGTCACGGGTCACGCCTGCAGCGCTGCCAACGTGCGCGAGTCAGGTTTTCCAATCACTCGTGCAGCACATCGACTTGAGCTGCGTGTGAAAAGCAAGACCGGCCTCATGTAGGCGGTGTTATTTGTGTGCCGCTAGAGTCGGCAATCACATTTTTTCCCAGTCCTGCCCAACAACAAATGTCCACCTTGCGCGCACAATTTTCTTAGCGGCATGAAACGCAAACTGGAAGATGATCTCTTTATGCTTTGATTGTGCCATTTTGATGACCGAGAGGAAAAGAATAACACTTTTTTGTTTTGATTTAAAGCTTTCGAGACTGCAGTAATTCATATTCTTAGTTATTTCGGTAAAGTCACGTGACTTTACCGAAAGAACTAAGAATACTTTTTTGTTTGTTGTTTTTAGTTCATTGTCCTTCCCCCGCACCTCCGATTAGCACGGTTGGCTTACGTACGGCGCAAAAGAAGATCAGCATGCATACTTACGTGACGTCACGTCTCTTTCTCCGACCCCCAATCCCCCTGTTCCTTCCAGATCTACGAAGACTCCAAGGTACTGCAGGGAGTGTTCCGAAGCGAGCGCGAGAAGGAAGAGGAGAGCGAGGAGGAGAGCGACAGCGGAGAGGAGGATGAGGGTGACTCCGACAATGAGAGTCAGTTGCGACACAGTTCACGCGTTATTCGGGGGAGGGGGAATGAAAACCATCGTTATTTACGAGTGAAACACAAAGACAAACGCCCCCTATTTCCACCTTGGAGCGTGAAGGCAAGCGCTGTTGGCATGCACCTATTATTACGACTCACGTTGCACTTAAGGAGGTTGAGCAGTTAGCACCATGCCCAGCTGCTATTAGCTCCCCCATTGTTGAGGTTTGTATTGTTTGCACACTATAACAGGTTTAGGCACAACCTGCCACCGATGTTAGCTGTGGTTGGAGTCACATAGAACGTACCACTCATCCCTGTGCCACAGCTCGCCGCAAATGTAGACATGTACACGGGATGTGGTGAGGTCAAGTTGTGTGCATGTCAGCGTCGTTGACTCCAACTGGCCAGCACAGGAAATAAGGCTGAAGCCCCCCCCAATTAAGGAAGGCCTGCATGCTAGACGTGAATACTGATAATAAGGGCTGATGTCGTACCCATTCATACAACGGGATTGTATGGATGTATGTTGAACTTCTTTCGCACCGTACGTAGTCAACTGTGCTAATTGGAGGTGCGGGGGACGGACAACAAATTAAACACACAAGAGCAGTGCTCAAAGAAAATGTCAGCATATTCAGAAGTAACTGTGTAAGCCTCCCACAGAAATATTTACCAGCCTATAACCATTATAGCAGACACTAACAATTACGGCAGCTTCAGCTTGCCATTACAATTCGACGATGTATCATGTTTACTGCTTAAGGAAATAATGAGCCTATACAAAATAGCAACACCAGGCTTGTATCATTGATCACATTTTGGTCTCCACTGAATGCCCAGTATTGATTCACGATAAAGAAAGCAATCGAACAAAACAAATCATCCTGTCAATTGTACTGCGTAGCGTCATTTAAAGTTTGTTTTTATTGTTTAACAAATCTGTGTAGTTTTTTATACCGAAAGAACAAAAGAGTTAACATGTTGTTTATCAGTATTTACTGTTGTTCATTGACAACCAGGGGAGAGCCTATTGAGGTTGACACAGCACTGCACACCTGAAGACTTACCAGTAGAAAGATATTTAGTGCAACAGAGCTTGTGTATACAATACAGATGTAATGATTCACTTCGTGCAAGGGGGCATGTGTAGGCTACAGTAACGTGAAGGGGTCGTGTTAAACGTTACAGCCAGGTTGAGGGCCGATCGAGACTCAAGGTCTCTGTTTGAAGGTAGATCTGGGTCTTGAAAGCTGTACAAAAAATTAAGCACAGTTATTCAATCCGATATCAGGTGAAGGCTTTCACGTGCTGTATCTGTCGTGGAGACTTTTGGAAATTTTAAAATACAGCACACAGTTTACCAAAAACAGAATCCATACGTTGAATGTAAAAGCATGACCATTACCGAGTTATAATGAAGATAACTTGGCTTGAAATACCAAAAACATTTCGTGAAAAAGTAGTCATGTTAAAAATCACTTAGATTCTTGTTGCCTAAACATTAATGACTGGAAATGGTTAAACATAGAAACGGGTGTTAGACGTAAAAAAAAAAGATGAGATGATGGCAAGAGCAAGGAGCATCTTGATCAACGGAATGGGTTTTTTTGAAAGTGGTATTTGACTCGCGGTAAGAAAACGGTTCCCCACTCCTTCATTGTCAACTTGATATTTCCGTTGTGTCCCTGTGTACACAAATGCGAGTGAATCGGTGCACCGTGATGCACAGCGCTACCCTGCCCCCCCCATCCGACACCTCCGCCCACCTCCGCCCACCGCCGCCCAGGTCACAGCGTGAAGGTGAAGATACGGCTGGGACGGCGGGATCGCGGGCGCGACAAGGGCAAAGCGCGCAAGCGGCCGAGCCGCCCCGCCAAGGTCAAGCCCGTGATCAGCGACGAGGAGTCCAACGAGTCTCAGGACAACCAGGTGGGGGCCGCGCACAACGCGCCGCCCGCCGGGAAACCTGGGCGAGCGTCGACTCCGTTAACGGCGCCAGCCTGTAACAATGACATGGACGATTTGAAAAATTAAACTTCAAGCAAAGGTACTCGTTTGCCTGATAATGAAAGCCAGCTCGTGTCCCCCCCCCCCCCCCCCCCTGCCCAGACCCTGCTTATTAGAGACCCCCCCCCCCTCTCTCCTCTATCAATGCGATCAAATGTGTGTTGCCGTTGAAAATTTGTCTCGGAGTTCAATTTTACGCAGCGGTCTTTAGCTGTTGTCGCCGTGGTCTGCCAGTCAAAGTCACCCTTAAAGAGCTTCTTAGCTCAAATAGGCTTTGCTCGGGAAATAAACTTCTGATTCTGACTGGGAAAAAAAACTAATTTGAAAATGTTTTAACAGTTGGGGGGGGGGGTATGTTCCATTTAGTGTAATGATAGCCTTGTAAGGATAATAAATTAACAACATTTTTTTGTCATTTTCTCTCCATAAAAACCAATGGAGCAATACCTTTTTTTGATGGCCCACTGAAGAGGTAAAAGTGATGCCCTTCGTAGCATGTATGTTTGAAGTACAAATGTTATCGTCATTCTGCCATCATAAAAAAAAACGTTGCTTAGACTGTCCTTCTTTGTCTAGTCTTTGCATCCCCAGAAAATAATATGCACTTGCAGCAAATGTGGCTTGATGAAGATGAATGCGATGCTCGACAAATTAGTTTCTTTGAAAATGTTTTTTTTTTTCCCCCCCCTTTGGTCCAGGAACGTTCGGAGGGAAGCGGTGACACCGAGGAGGATTGAAATCGGCCGACAGTTGGATTGTGACCATCCCCCGGGCTTTGCTAACTTTGTGATATGTACCACTTTCCTGGATGGCGTCGAAGGCCTATTCATGTGCATTTTAGAACACAAATAAGATTTTCACGCCTCTGCTAATCTGCTTTTTTATGCCCAAAGTGAGTGGCTTTCAATGCTTCATTTTTTTCGTGTGCATGTGTTACAGTGAGTGTCAACAAAAAATAGCTGGTTGTTATTTTGGTTATGAGCAGCCTAGTCCAGCAACAATTACCCTTCGGTCGGATCTTGGCATTTGGGATGCGTCCTCTTTACCAGTGAACTTGAAAGGCATTGCAACAACTTTTTCGTGTACATGCTGACTCTGTGCAGACTTCGACAAAAATCAATTGATGCACCCTCTGCAAGCTGCGGTATGATGATGTCCCCCACCAGCAGTCGAACTTTCAACATGAGGCACTTTTTCATGTTCATGTATCAACGCCCAACTTCGGAGCACATTTTCTAATCCACCGTGGCAATATAAGCATATCTGATATGCTTTCTTTTTGGCTGGTTGCATAAGACATCTTTAAGTATAATGTTCCCAGTTTGTCAATATAGTAGTTTAAAGGGCAAAAACAACTTTATGCGTTTTATGCAACTGGTCAGAGGGCATACAATGCATGGTGCGACTTTATGGAATGAAACCATAGTACTGTGGACAGCAGTTTGGTAGAAGTGTTGGCCGGCCAGCCATGCTGTGGTAGATTCATGTGCCACTGTAGCATGGATTTTGCCTTCTCATACTCGACACACACGCCAAAGTGACATTAGTTTAATCCTGCAACCTTTTGCAACCAGGTTAGAGTACATGCAAGCAAACATGTCCTGCTGTGAATAGTGGACTTGATTTAAAAATACGTGGCATAGGGTACCGTACACAAAAGAGAGGGGGGAGGGGGGGGGGGTTTGCATTGGAGCGATTCTACTGCAGCAACTTTTGTGCAACGACGATGGAAAGAAAATAACTGCAACGTAAATGTTAGTGCGTTGCTGCAAAACTGCTTGTACGGCATAGACTCAATGGAGTTGACTAGTATAGCTAGGTTGGCCACACGGGACGTTGAAATCTTGAGAGGAGGGTTGAAGTAGCGAAATAAATAGGCTGAACAATCAAGACTGTACCAGGCTGTAGCCATAGTAGGGTACACAAGAATATTTGTTTTCTTCAATTTGGTCTGTATAGCATTTGTCGCTGTAGGAACGTACGGTTTAAGAGCCATTCGTTCGATCGTTTTTAGTTCAGTGTGTTTCGTGAGAATGAACAGTTGGATGATGTTAATGGGATCAACTGTGGATGAATGGGGACGATGTTCGGGTTACTCATATTAAACTGTTCAGTAGCTCATCCTATTCTTTAGTCAAGCCATGTTATCTATTTACCATATCTCTGTAGCTTAACTTTCCAATACTTTGATGTATGGCACCAGTCATTTAATAAAAAATAATATTATATTTCACGTGTTTCTGACTTGTTATGTGACTGGCCAGTTGGCATGACATGTGCCTTTAATTTGCTTTGTGAACTAATTAAACCAGACATCAATGCAATAACGTGACATTTATTTGTTGTCATTTCATTATGCACGCATCCGTGACGGTGAATTCTGGGCTAACAGAACGTCCATTTCATAATATTCATAATAAAGGTTTTTGGGTTAGATCGCGTTATTTATAAATGTGTCGTAACCCTCCACCACCCGACACGGCCAATCAGCAAAAAAGTGTCACGTTGACAAAAGACAATTAAGTTCACTACTTTAGCCCACCGGTGTGTTAAAGAGTGAATCCACAACATTTACAGTTTGAATACGACGTTTCGCTGGTAATTACATCCAGCATCATCGGACAATTCGCCATTTGGTAAAAAAATAACGACGTAAACGACACCATGTCCTGTTTTGTATCTGCGCTAACGTTCACTGATAACATGCATACACAATTAGTGACATGCGGTGAGGTCAATGGCTGGGGAGGCACTGGCTAGTGTCTAACACGCCCCCCTCAGTAAGGCAGATGTTACAGCTGCCTCGCCTGGTGCTTTTTCATTGCAGGTTCATGACGAGACCAGCGAGCCTAAATATCTTTCGTACACATACTTGAAATAAGTTACCTGGAGTATGGAAGGCGAGGACATGAAATGAAGGGGTCTACAAACATTACATTGGTGACATACTGAGATAGAACGTCGGAGTCGGCCTCTGAAGACGCCGGAGTGGGGCTTGGCTGTGGTTTTGCCGAAGTCGCTCGCAGCGATGTCGAACGCAGGTTCCGTCAACACCGCGACACGGGACGCGCCTCGCAAAGTCGGGGTTCGAATCGTCTCGGCGGATTTCTCCGGCCCTCTCTCCAAAGTTCATCACGGCGACGGCGTGCTGTCGGGTGTCAGCCGGAGCACGAAGACATTCCGTTCCCCTTCCCTCGGACCTTCCACTCTGTCCCGTTCTTCCCCTGGCCTTTCGTGAACCCCCATGTTCACTCTGCTGCGGTCACCCATTCCTCGGCACTTGCACATCCCCTGCGATCTAAATGAATGTTTTGTTGTTACCACTTTTTTTTAAACTGTGTAAAGCGCCTGCAGCTATAAGGCGCTCTCGCTATCTCCATATATAAAAGGCAAAGTTGTGATTATGTGTGTCTGTTCAAAATGTTTAGCGTGCTTTCCCGACATGCAACAAACTTGAAATTTGCCATGTGGGAACTTTCCAGACTGTACACCATGCAAAAATTATAAAATACCCTTTTTTTTGGGGGGGGGGGGGGGGGGGAGCTCAATAATGCATTTTTTTGCACGGCAAGTGAGTTGTGACGTCAAATCTGTCATGTGACCGCGCACGTGGAAGCGTAACGCATTGTAGTGTAGCGGTTAGCGCACCGCGTTATGAACCCGGCGACCCGAGTTCGATTCCCGCTCACGGCCACCACCGGTGACGATTATTTTTACCGATCCCGGGCCTCCACTAGGTCGACTCAGCATAAAACGAGTAACTGCTCTGCTGTGTGAACATCGCCACTGGGGAGACAAAGGTGGCCAGGCGTGGTGAATCCAAGTCCCGGGCGAAGCCGGGTAGTACAGCTAGTATGAATATAAAACATGAAATGACCCAGTGGTCCTTCTTAATCGGGGTCGGATCAGAATGTGTATTTATACTGCAGGAGAAATCTGATGACCTTTTAAACTCTTTTTCACAGATGTCCAGTAGGGGCGGGTCTGAAAGTTACAACAAAACAACAATGTAAAAAAAACCACGATAATAGTTCAAAGTATAGGAAAGGTAAGCAAATCACAAAAACAAATAAAAGCAAACTTTATTTTTATTTCACCGGGTAAGTCTCACAGCGATTCGCTTCTATTTCAGAAGCGACCTGGCTATCAAAAATGATAGCTCAACAAAGTGGGCTTATCGCGTGGACATTTATAGCAGACAAACAATCCAAATACTCTAGCCAAAACGCACGTTTGTGGCTGTGATCATGATGAAGATGGACGGAAACAATGGCACAACCATCAAAACAAGCACACAAAATACTCTGCAACAATGACATTGCAGCACGTAAAAAGTGGAAAATATGAAATGCAGAAATCCGAATCATAAGGGGCCGTCCATAAATGACGTCAGGTCATTTTGGACAATTTTTTACCCCCCCCCCCCCCTTCGTCGCACGGCGTCACAAAAAGTCAGACCCCCCCCCCTCAAATATGACGTCACAAAGCTCTGCCCCCCCCCCCACCCAAAAATACAACATGCTTCAAATCGCTTTAAACTATTGTCATTGTAGTGCGTATTTAATGTGGCGCTGCACTCTGATGTTGTAGGAGAAAACATTTATTTAAAAAAGTATATTTAATTAAGTAGAACGTGTTGCCTATGTTTATTTAAAGTTGCGCATTTTGATGTGACGTCACACTTCTCACCCCCCACCCCCTTTGTCACACATCGTCACAAATGTCTGACACCCCCCACCCCCACTCCTAGGTGCGTGACGTCATTTCTGAACGGCCCCTAATTGAATAATAAAGAGCTAAAAGCGTCCGCCGAAAATGTTGAGTAATGAAATCAGCTCGAACAGATGCGATCCCGCGGTGGCGAGATGTTAACGTCCTCACTTGGTACACAGGAGGTCGTGGGGTTCGACACCTCGACCCTCTGACGCCTGCTGCTGCTGCTCCATATTTGGAGTTTGCGCGTTAGCCCCGTGGTCGCGTGGATTCTTATCCGGGGTCCTCCGATTTTTTTTCCCTCCACATTTTAGAAACGACATCACGCGTTAAGAGCATTTGACCGATATACATTTGCACATGGTAAGCTAACTTTTTGGCCAGATCGCTTCTGAACAATAAAATTGTTTGGTTGAGTTTATCGCGAGAGACCTTCGAAAATTGGGGAAACGGTGTACAAGCACAATTAATAAAAACTAAATTATTTGGGTCTTTCAGTAAAGGCACGTAGATAGGTTCAAAGAAAATGACAAAAAAAACTCCGACGTTTCGATCGCAACACAAGCGTTCGTCATCAGGAAGCAATCGAAACGTCTTAGTTTTTTTTGTTATTTTATTTGAACCTATCTACGTGACTTTACCGAAAAACCCAAAGAATATGAATTTCTGCAGTAACGAAAGCTTTAAGTCAAAATTTAATTTAAAAAAAAACTCCGCACATTTCTCAATACCACTGGCCTCAAAAGTAACACATTGCAACAGGCGACGTTTCGGGGAATGACCCTTCGTCGTAGTTTTAGTTTATTAAAAACATTTTTAAGTCAGCTGCCCAGGATTAGGCAAAACTTCGCCCACTTTTCGCCCAGGCAACTGGAGAGCAGAGACATTGTTTCTAGCACATACATGAAGGGTAATTTCCCGAAACGTCGTCTATTATACGTATTTATTTTCCCTTTAAATTCACCGTGTTGTTGATGAATGTGTTAAGATTTTATAGTAAGTGGGTTGCTGTTAAATTTGTACGATTTGCTTTGTATGTCTCCAACCGACCACAAATTGAAAAGCAAACCTATCGTAATGTAACCATGAGCGGGTGACGTCACTCCATATGCCGCACCCCTCCCCAATAACCATGAGCGGGTGACGTCACTCCACATGCCGCACCCCTCCCCATAACCATGGGCGGGTGACGTCACTCCACATGCCGCACCCCTCCCCAATAACCATGAGGGGTGACGTCACTCCACATACCGCACCCCTCCTCAATAACCATGAGCGGGTGACGTCACTCCACATGCCGCACCCCTCCCCATAACCATGGGCGGGTGACGTCACTCCACATGCCGCACCCCTCCCCAATAACCATGAGGGGTGACGTCCCTCCACATACCGCACCCCTCCCCAATAACCATGAGCGGGTGACGTCACTCCACATGCCGCAACCCTCCCCAATAACCATGAGCGGGTGACGTCAGTCCACATGCCGCACCCCTCCCCCCTCATTAATAATCATGAGCTGAACAATTTTTCTATTCAATATTTCAGATTTACTTCAATATACACCCGTCCTTGGACAAAAAAAACTAGTTATTGTTAATATTGCAAGTGAAGTCGTTACAACTACCCCATATGACTTCATATGTAACGATCAATAACATAATGTAATCGGTGTCACTGTACTACTTAATTGTATCCGTCACGATATATAATTGGAAACGCGTGCGCTTATCAGGCGTGTGAACTAATTCGCGTTAAAGAGCCTCTTTGTGATAATCGTGTGGAATGTTGGAGAAGATTTCACGGTGCATTCCGTGTCCTGCAATTATAGTGATTGATTCACAGACCCCCCCCACCACCACCCCCGACTGAGTACAATTATGGTAATGTACGCTCTTAATTTGGTTTCAAACAGGTCATTGGATAATTGTGAAAGCGACGACTTCGTGTTTCTCGAGAGGAGAATTTTTAAAGAATGCGTTTCACGTGCATTGAGATCGGCGAGAGACATCCCAGTCAAACATGCCAAACGTTGAGCCAACGTTGCCATGTGGTTGGAACCATTTGTCTAACGTTGGCCCAAAGTGTTGGGATGTTAGAGGCTTTGAAATAAATAAGAAATTTACTTTGTAATGTCTAATAAACATGTATCTCCGTGTAATTTTTTGTGGGGTATCTCTAAATGGATCACACCCGCAAAAAATATCGTCATTTATAATATTCTTATCCGCTACAAACGTCGGTCGACGGCTCACTGAGAGCCTCGAGTCTGCCTCTCCCGAGTGAGTTTGTGCGTTTTTGGGTGACGTTTGGCTAATTGCTCGCTTGAAAGCGCGCGGCAAGACAAGACGCTTGGCGCGTGCATGAAGAGCGGCGCACGTGGTGGGCCCTGGCACGTGGTGCTGCCTCGTCTCACGTCGCTTGGGTGGGGGTGGATGGGGGGGGGTGGATGGAATGGGGGGTGGATAGGGGGGTGGGGGTGAATGGGATGCGGGGGGGGTGGATGGGGGAGGTGGATGGGGTGGGGGTGGATGGGGTTGGTGTGGATGGAATGGGGGGGGGGGTGGTGTGGATGGGATGGGGGTGGATGGAGGTGGATGGGGGGTTGGTGTGGATGGAATGGGGGGGTTCGTGTGGATGGGGTGAAGGTGGATGGGATGCGAGGGGGTGGATGGGGGAGGGTGGTTTCGCTTGTCGAACTTCGAGTTCAGTCTGATAAACGTTATGATGACAAATATCGACAATCATGAAAGTCACCGGTGGTGGAGTGGGGAGGGGTGGCTGTGATGCTGTACGGCAACACGCGTGCCGGACACGCACACACACAGTGAATACTCGTGGATTCATTGGCTCCTCCGAGTATAAATACGACCTCCAGCAGCACGTGCGGTGCAACGTTTCGCGCACACACCCCCCCCTCGTGACGTCAGCCAGGCCACGGGCTGCCGGGGCAGCTCATTGCTACGACAAGCCAGCAGGCGGCAGGCGGCAAGCTGCCGCTACTTGCCACCGCTAGTGTCTAGGAAGCTAGGCTTGAAAGCAGCAGCAACAACACCACCACCACCACCAACATCGTGGTTCATTGATTCCGTCCTCCGCCGATTTGTCACGGCGGTCTCCAGCGTTTGCCGGCCGGAGCACGTGGGGGTTGACTGGCGGTGGCCACGCCGGTTGTACGACTGTAGAGGGTCCGGTGGTGCTGGTGGTGGCGTTAATTACCGATTTGGAAGCCTTTCACACCCCCCCCACCATCCACCCCGCTACATGGCTAAGCATGCTTCGTCTACTCGGGATACCGGGCGATGTGCGTCTGTGGCTGGGGTCCCTGTCGTGTTCACGGCCTCGTCCCAGCTGTGGCTGTGGCTGCTGATCGCCGTGGCCTTGCCGGGGCCGCTCGCCTTGGCAGCCGCAGCGCCAGGTGAGCGCCTCGCAAAGATACACCACGGGGTTACACCATGGTGTATGTGGTGTGTGTGGTGTTAGTAGGTGGTGTGTGTGTGTGTGTGGTGTTGGTAGGTGATGTGTGTGTGTGTGTGGTGTTAGTAGGTGATGTGTGTGTGTGGTGTTAGTAGGTGATGTGTGTGTGTGTGGTGTTAGTAGGTGGTGTGTGTGTGTGTGTGGTGTTAGTAGGTGGTGTGTGTGTGTGTGTGGTGTTAGTAGGTGATGTGTGTGTGGTGTTAGTAGGTGATGTGTGTGTGGTGTTAGTAGGTGATGTGTGTGTGTGTGGTGTTAGTAGGTGATGTGTGTGTGGTGTTAGTAGGTGATGTGTGTGTGGTGTTAGTAGGTGATGTGTGTGTGTGTGTGGTGTTAGTAGGTGATGGGTGTGTGTGTGTGTGTGGTGTTAGTAGGTGATGTGTGTGGTGTTTGTATGTAGTGTGTAGCGAGTTACGCGCTAACGCAGCGAACCCGGCCACCCGAGTTGGATTCCCGCTGCTGGGCCACCAGCAGTGGCGATTATCTGAACCGGTTCTGGACCTCTCCTTCCCTAGGTCGACTCGGCCTAAAATGTGTGTCCACTTCGGGGTTGTGAGTGTACATCTCCACCTAGGGAGACGAAGGCGGCCGGGCGTGTTGCTGGCCACCCACCCCCTCGTGTCCCGGGCTTCACAGCTGCTGCTCGCTAACAGAACTTGCCCCAACAGTCTGTTCAGGCTACACGGGGGGGCAGGGGGGGGGGGATATTAGTCTTGGTTGTTGGTAGGCAGGGTACTGCATTGGCGATGTTGGGCTTGCCATGGCAGGCTAGGCATGTAGTAAATGCGGGTAGCCGCGTGCTGGGGTAGTCAATGTGGTGCTGGGGACGACTTAAACGCGGAACTGCGCGTAACCGGAACGAAGGTGACCGGGTAGGTCATGACCTACCAAAGTCATGACCTACCAAGGTCGGGTTTGTAGGTGGGTGGTGTATGGGAGGAGGAGGGGGGTGAGTGTTTGTTGGTAGTTTTCTCGGCGGTATTCTACCGGGAGACAAAAGCGTTATGTAATGCGCAGTACAACATTGTCTACCGAGTACGGTGAAGTGTGTTAAGGGTAGGCTGGCCAAGCGCACCTAAGGTGTAAGGTGGAGAGATTTTTGGTGTCGGATCCGTGCATGGTTTGTAATTGTAAGTACACCACGTGCTTGGTGTTGGGGTACCAAGTGGCGTCGAACGTGCGGACTTCTTTCGCACCGCACGTAGACAACCCGTGCTCATCGGTGTGCTTGAAGGACCACCGTAATCTGTTAAGACTTACGATGTTGCGTGTAGGGGAAAACAAGTGTTTACACGTGTGTGTGTCGTCCTACGTGATTTTGCTCGTCGCATTCTTCTGGCGCTCGTTATCCACGTGGTAGGGTGATGGGGCGACTGCTGGAGAGCGGTGGTGCAGTGATCGGCGCACTGCGCTAACAACAACAGGTTCGAACACGTGAACCGGTTATTGGAACCCCCTCGTAGGTTGACTCGGGCTCCCCAAGATGATTGACCATGGGCAAGTGTCTCCCAATCTTAGTTTGCACGCACAAAGGCGGCTTGATGACGCTGTGCCCTGTAACTGCACTTGCCTCGGTAGTGTTGCAGGCTATCGGGGGGAGTCTTTGTCTTTGTGTCATTCATTCTCGCGCGTGTTTTTGGTTTAAAGATACACTTGTATGATACAATGTGCCATTTTTTTCGCGTTAGTTGTATTGGAATGTGTGTAATATATATAAAAGTTACTGCGTGTACTGACAATCGAGTACTGTATATACAGTCGGCGTGTCTGTACAAAGTGTAAGTGGGGGGGGGGGGAGCGGTGGCGCAGTGGTTAGCGCACCGGCGTTCAAATCGTCTCTGCCACGACCCAAACGATGGCGAGAGTTCTTTTGGAACCGGTCGTTTAACCCCAACCCCCTTCCCAGATCAACTCTGCATCTCTTTTAATTGACACGTACCTGCAGAGAGGGTGGTGTGTGTGTGTAAACACGAACACCTGGGGAGACGAAGGCGGTGTTGCCATTCGGCCACCAGCCGTCCAATTTGTAGCCCTCGTACGCACAGCCGGGGCCTTAATAGGTGCTCGCTAATTGTCACAAGCTGCCCCAATGTTGAACCAAGTGTGTGTGGCCAAGCAGAAGTGGGAATTTGAGGGTCAAATGAATGTTAATTATAATTTCGCAGCCATGTCGAGTGCGTGTTTAGTTCTTGCTGTATGGGGGGGGGGGGGTCTGAGTTGTTGTTTTATGATTTAAAGCTATCGTGACTGCAGACATTCATATTGTTGGTTATTTCGGTAAAGTCGCGTGGTTATCACACCTGATGATTGCTTGTGTTGCAGTCGAAACGTCGTGCGAATTGTATTGTTTTATATTTGTATTATTTCATTGTTTCCCTTCTACGTGGTGACTTTACCGAAAGAACCAAGAATATAGTTAGTATTGTTGTGTTTATTGTACGGTAAATAAAAACCGGCCGCCTTTGTCTCCAACAGCGGGGATACAAAGGCGGCCGGGCGTAGTTGTTGTTGGCTACCGGCCTCCCTCTTTATAGGTGCTGCTCGCTAACGACCCCTTGCCCCGACTGTTTATTGAAGGCTATACGGGGGATCTTTGCCTGTATACTGCAATGTGTGTTCTGTTTGTGTGCGAGGGTGATTTAGTTGCTGGGTGTTTACTGAACGAGTGGCTTAAGTGCCGATGTATACTGAATGAAGTCTCTGTCCTTGTGAGAGCTTATTTGAATGAATAATGACTGCATCTTTGTGCGTGTACTGGTTGGTGTAGTGACTATGGCCTTTGAGGCGTATACTGAATGAGTGTTCTGTACGTACGTCTTTGTGCGAGTATACTGGTGTGTTCTTGATGCACTGCGTTGTGTACAGTACACTGTACACGCACGTGGCTCGCGTGTCCTTGATCATGCGCAAAGCTGCTGTTGGTGGGGAACGCCACGTGTGGTATACAGTGGCTGCGTGTAATTCAATCGCTTACAATAATCGCACCCATTGTTTTTAAAACACTACGGCGCACAATTTTAATGCCGATGTGCAATCCGTACAACACCATTTCGTCACGTGCAAGCGTACAAAACCCCACATGGTAGTGATGATTACATTACAAGATCCGTTACTGCTGTAAATGCAGTGTGGCCGAGGGTAACAATCGTTGCGGCTGCGACCATGCATTTAAGCCTGCTCTGATGTTTTATTCATGACATGTAATAAATTGTGATTAAGTTATAAATAATGGTGATCGGCGCTGGTGCTATCTATTGTACATTTCGTAATACCGACTATACGGTGTACGGTACATTGTGATGTAATTGTGGCATTGCAATGGTCTGCACCTAATTGAAACGCTACCATAACTATATAATGCAAGGCCAGTCCATGTAATATCGGGCAAATGCATAGCTGTGACTTGTCACGACCTAGACCGAATACTCTACTGAAATTAGGGACCTTGTATTGGTTAGACTGGTATTTTACATAGAGTAAGTGAAGCTAATGTGCAGTTACCTATATTGAACATGGTGCCCCATGTCACAAATCCGATGCATTGACTATCAGAAGAAACCCGCTACGGTAGGACACCGCTAACTGGACAGATCCACACGCCGTGTGGCTTTACAGGGCCTTTAAACATGATGGACCCGATTTGAAATCGCTACGTATTTGAAATTGGGTCCATCTTTTTAAAAACGCCCTGTGTAATGGTTGCAAGTGGACCCATTAAAAACAAAACCCTACGGTGTGTAAATATACACTTAGGTTATTTCGGTAAAGTCACGTAGATGGGGAAAATAAATCGCAGATCACGACGTTTCGATCGCAACAACCAAGCGATTGTCCTCGGGTGAAAGAGAAACATGCCTCTGCATTATATAGAGGGGGTGAAGGGGCGAGAGGGTTGGGGAAAATCAGGGCATGGGTGAGAGAAGACAATTTCATAAGGAAGCTTGGATATCAAACTTTACAAAGTATAAATGTATCTACGTGACTTTACCGAGAACCCAAGTGAAATCCTGCAATCACGATTGGTGTGTAACATATGTACCCCGTCAATATTCTTGTCACTCTTCTACCAGGCTGGGTGACGGGGGGGGGAGTTTCAAAGCTAAGAGTAGGTGAAATGCATGTGGCAAAACAAATCTTAATTGCTAAACCTTTGTCTTAAAAGGGACTTCCATTCTATGCTGGAAATGGCTACAATTCTTTTTAGCTTCCGAATACACAAGGCATATCAATGGCCATAATTATCCACGGTTCCCACATTTGGGGCTAAAAACGTGTACCTGAAATATTATTGCCGCATTTATCTTACTGCGTTTTTATTCTAAACATCTCGATTTAAACATGCCATTTCTATCCCCCCCCCCGCCCCACATCAATGGCGAAGACGCCTGTGTACTGCACTACAGCACAACACGAACAAAAGTCCCTGGGTAGTATTTCCTAATTGCGTATGCCTCGATATACAGAAAATGGCTATTCCCTGCAAGCTTTGCTTTTGTGACCAGAACAGTAATATTTTGAAAATGACCCATTTTCCAGAACGTTCCAGATTCGGTGCGAGTAAACTTGGAGTAACTTCTAGAACTTTCCAGTAATAGAAATAGAGGCCTTAAGCCCACCAGTTTAGTTCCAGCTGCCTAAATAGATAAAAATCTACATTTTTCTGAAATGGCATCAAGAGGCTGCAAGCATCCAGCAGACGCATGTTATATCTGCGGCCAATTTATCGAAAATGTACTCTGGAATCATCTGCTAAGATGCGAGGCCTACAAGGCATTTTGGCATGCCTGTCAGGAATCAAGACAAACCCTGGGCACCTCCTTTCACTTGCGAACAATGCAAATTAATTGGAGGTAAGATGGACAATTCGGAATTTTGCTTTAAAATTTAAATTGTACATTAAAAAATGTTGCAAAAGTTTCTTGCACATTAATGATGGGTGAAATG